GTGCTCACTGGAAGGACAGATCCTGAAGCTGAGGCTCCAATACTTTGGCCACCTCATGAGAAGAGAAGACTCCCTGGAAAAGACCCTGATGTTGGGAAAGATTGAGGGCACAAGGAGAAGGGGACGACAGAGGATGAGATGGTTGGACAGTGTTCTCGGAGCTACCAGCATGAGTTTGACCAAACTGTGGGAGGCAGTGGAAGACAGGAGTGCCTGGCATGCTCTGGTCCATGGGGTCACGAAGAGTCGGACACGACTAAACGACTAAACAACAACATATCTCAAATGGCCAGACGTTTTCTGGAAAGCCTTCCACCTTCTTAATTCTTTCCTGTCAGTTATCTCTGGAGAGGAGCATCCTCAACTCCTCTTTTACTCCACTTTTACATTCACACTCCTAAGACTGGGATGGGTCCTGTTAGTCTGTTGCAGCCAAAACATCAAAGAATCTGGTGGCACCATTAAGACCAACCAACTTATTAATATGCCACAACAAGGCAGCTTTCCTGGACCGCACAATCCTCCAGGTGCTGTTTTTGCACCAGATGAGCCGGACTTCGGTCCAGAAAAGTTCCTGCCACAACAAACGTGGCAAAAGCCTCTCTCAGGCGCAGCAAAATTCTCTTTGCCGGTCTCTCTCTCCGCGCCCCCGCCGTTTTGTCACTCCACATGCACGTCAGCCAATCCCCGCGCCTCACCCCGCCTCCCTCCAGCCATGTGCCCAATGAGCACGGTCCGCCTGTCATCCGTTTTGGGTAGAGCGAGAGGGGCGGACAGTTGGGGGCGTGGTTTAAGGGCTATGAATTTTGCATAGGGAGATCGACACCGACGGCGGGTTGGGAGGCGAAACGGTGGGCGGGGGGAGGAGAGGGGAGAAAAGACGGGCGCGCTGCGATTGGCTGCGACGGGGATGCCGGCTGAGCTCTGATTGGCCCAACGGCATGAGCTGCTGGACCGGGTGAGCGCAGCAGAAGGAACAGAAGCAGAGCTGGGGGAAGAAGGAGCGGGTCGCGCGTGGCCGGAGTCCGGGGGACCTTCGACGTGGCGCCGAACCGTCCGCTGCGGAAAAGTCGCTCCTCGCAGCCCGGGATCCTGGTAAGCGGCCTTTTTGCCCGCCCGGGGAAGCGGGCCGGAAGCACCGAGAGATGCTCTCTTGCTTGGGTCACCCAAGCTTCGCCCACGGGCGGCTAAATTTCGATACCCGAAAGTGTGCCGTTTTCACACGTTACGTTTTCACGTGCCCGCATTCCGAGCCTCACGTGTGGAAACGAGCCCGGCCTTGTGGAAACTGGGAACGCGAAGAAAACCGCCCTCCCCCCGCGCAAACCTATAACATTGGATGTTCAGATTTGAAAGCAGTGGGCTGATTGAAATCCACCCCCCCATGAACTCGAGGACAGGCAGCATTTTATGTTTATGTATCGAATTCATTGGTATCCGATTGCATTTATATCTCAGCCTGCCTCCAACGAGCTCACTGGTGGCAGATGTGCTCCTCCCCACCCCCCGTTTTATCCTCAGCAGGAGAATATCTGGTGTGAAGTTGATAGACAGTGACTGGCCCAGTCATTATAGATGGAGGAGTAGGGATTTGAACCCGGGTCTCCGCAGATCTTGGCTGACGCATACATATCATCACAGTGGCATTCAGGTTATTCTGGAGTGAAAGGATATGTCGCCTTACTTTTTATTCTGGAGTAGAAGAATGTGGGCCATTACTCATTATTCTGGCTTAAAAGGATATGGGGTGTTACTCATCTCGGATGAGTCTGTTGTCAGTTTTTTATCCACTTGCCAAGGAGAGGCAGGGCAGGAGCAAATAGTTTCATCTCCTTGCTCTGAGCGCGGCACCTGCTTTCGTAAGTAGATGTCTGTTAGAGAGCTGGCACAGAAGCCTCAGCTGTTATGGTTGGCCAAGCAGCTTATTATCTATCTGTGAGAGAGATAATGGGATGGGAACAAACAGCACATTTAATTAAGACCCATTTGCATAGTCGTATAAAAGTAGGTCACAGGTGCTTCTAAATAATAAGAGAGCCAGTGTGGTGTAGTGGTTAAGAGTGGTAGTCTCGTAATCTGGGGAACCGGGTTCGATTCCGCGCTCCTCCACATGCAGCTGCTGGGTGACCTTGGGCCAGTCACACTTCTTTGAAGTCTCTCAGCCCCACTCACCTCACAGAGTGTTTGTTATGGGGGAGGAAGAGAAAGGAGATTGTTAGCCGCTTTGAGACTCCTGAAGGGGAGTGAAAGGCGGGATATCAAATCCAAACTTCTTCTTCTTCTTCTTCTTCTTCTTCTTCTTCTTCTTCTTCTAATAAACACTCAGACTTGTTTTTAGTAGCTACACATTGTGCATAGATGCCTCTTTGGCCCTGTTGGTCACCTGCCATGGTGTAGCCAAAGGGAGAGGGGAGGCAGTTGCCCCTCCCCCAATCAAGCAAATAAATAATAACTAACCAACCAACCAACCAATCAATCAATCGCATCACAGATAGCTAGGTTCTGCCCCCCTGGAACATAAATCCTGGCTATGCACATGTATCAGAGGCCATGGGATCAGTGTTTGGTTATGCAACCTGTATGACCAAAACAGCGGTAGAATGGCACAACCAAATACCTACACGTTGTAAGTTTCTCTTAGCCAGTGCTTCAGTTTTAGGAGTAACTTACTAGGAGTAACTTACTATACTGATACCAGTGGATCTTACTTCTCAGTCGCCATGTTTAAGATTATGCTAAACCACAGAGCCTATGGCTTGCTGATTGGAAGGTCGGCAGTTCGAGTCGATGGGGTGAGCTCCCGTTGCTCGGTCCCTGCTCCTGACAACCTAGCAGTTCGAAAGCACGTCAAAGTGCAAGTAGATAAATAGGTAATACCTTCCGGCGGGAAGGTAAATGGCGTTTCCGTGCGCTGCTCTGGTTCGCCATGCTTAGTCATGCTGGCCACATGACCTGGAAGCAGCACCGCAACCCCAGAGTTGTTCACGACTGGACCTAACGGTCAGGGGTGCCTTTACCTTTTTTTAAAGAGATGTAGAAGTTAGCAGCTGGATGAGTCATTAGAGCGGGGATAGGAAACCTGTGGCACTCCAGATGCTTTTGGCATGCTATTTTATTTTATTTTAAAGGTTCAATCAACTACAAATGTGCCTCTCAGTTAATCAGGCATCAATATTACAAAAACAATATTTTAATGCATGCACTTGTTGAAACTGAAAATGGCATCTTAATGGCCATCCTTAAAAATGTGCACAGTGGTACCTTGGGTTAAGAGCTTAATTCGTTCTTGAGGTCTGTTCTTAACCTGAAGCACCACTTTAGCTAATGGGGCCTGCCGCTGCACTGCCGCTGCATGATTTCTGTTCTCATTCTGAAGCAAAGTTCTTAACCCGAGGTACTATTTCTGGGTTAGCAGCGTCTGTAACCTGAAGCGTATGTAACCTGAGGTACCACTGTACTTTTAAAATATTCAGTCTATATTTGTACTGCTTTGCCTTTCAGTGAAGGTTTCATTTCTCTTTTGAGAAGAAGCATTTAATTTAAGCAATCTGCCACTTGTTGTGAAAGTAACACCCCCTTCACCCACAGTGGTTTCCTGCAGAGAAATAAATTCCATGTAGGGAAATGTGTGCGGTCATATATGATGAGCACGCACATGGCAAAACAGATGGGTGCTTATCATGAGTGTAACATATAGATAGTGGTTGTACACACAGAAGTGACACCCATCACTGGAATAATTGTATGTGAAGCAGTTTTACTCGATGGTACAATAGGAGACACTTCAGTCTCCATTTTAACAGGTTGTTATGTTAATGGAGACATCTGTGGGGTAATGTTAGGTTCTGTTTTTGTCCAACCGACTCTCTCATTTGACAGTCCTCCTGTGCCGCTTTTCATAGTCTTCTCTTGAGCTTCTTTGTGTTTTTGGCACTAATATCTGATCTTGTAGGCAGTCTGTGCTGGCATGAGCCACACAGCCCCTCTGAATGCCATTTGCTTACCTTCCCTGATGTCACAGAGGCGCATGCCAACCTGAAGCCATGGAGCAGTTTAAGCATATACTCATAGCTGTCAACTTACAGATTTGAAAATAAGGGACCAGCAGCCTTGAAAATAAGGGATCAGCAGCCAAAATAAGGGATTTTCCGGGCACAGGTATGTTCAACTTCTGAGCCCCTCCGAGCCAAAGGCAGAAAGCCCAGCCAGCAGCCAAACGAAGCCTCAAGCGGTGGTTCCCACAGCGCAGCAACCCGGCAAAGGGGAAGCAGCAAGGAAAACCACCGTCACCTCTCCGCTGGGAAGCGCTGAGCAAAAGCGAGTCCCCAGGCAACGTGGCCGATTTGATCGGCGCAAGGCATGCAAGCTCCACCCCCCCAGTCATTCTTAGACTCCTTATTGGGTGAACAACACAGTCAAGCAACACAGTTGGAGCCTCCCTCCTCCCTGGCCGGCAGGGAGGGAGGGAGAGGAGCTGCTTCCTTTGAAACCCGGGAAATTTAAGGGACATCATCAATAAGGGACAGCAGCGGGACACGGTGCTGGGATAAGGGAGTTTCCCGCCAAATAAGGGACGGTTGACAGCTATGCGTATACTCTAGAAATCTTAGCACCAGAGTTCCAAGCTCCATGTTCAACCCGTGTGATCCTTAATCACCATAGCCTTTCAAAGGTCACTTTCTCACTTGTTAAGATTGTTTGGTATTCAGAGCTTCTTCCAAGAAGGAGATTGGCAGTACTTGCAACATACTTGTTTAGATCTTGGAACGTGTGCATTTTAATTGTTGGGCACTGCAATAATATATTGCTTCTGCTTTGTTGAGAAAAACACTTGCTGCTTACTCCAGATGATCCTGAATCATGCAGCTGTGCAACTTAGAGAGAAATTGAGACTTGTATGATTATTATAGTGTTAACGCCAAACAGGAAACTGAGAAGGAACAGTAAATCACCGTCTTTTGTTTTTTTACATCCTGATTTTCTGCAGAAGACAGAAGAGAATGGCAGACTTTCCTGATGTAGTTTCTGTGGCTACAAAGCTAAAAAATGAGGTCATCCGGTACTACAATGTTGAAGATGATGAATGGAGACTTACTAAGAAAACAGTAAGTTACCAAATCGTTGCCTTTCCAGATTCTTTTCTTTTGTTAATAAACGAGTAGGGTGATTTATATTCTACATTTGTGTTTTAGGTGGGCCTATATGGTGCGATGATATGTGAAGTACCGTACATTTGAGTGGGTAGATTTCAGAGCCCTGTTTTGGTGTTTTGTTTCTTTGAGTGATGAAAATCACACAAAGAGATTAAGGGCACTTTCCTCTTTTTTCTACCTTTCCACAAGCTAGAGGTCGCACAGGGATCCTCCACATGGGCGTAGCCAGGATTTTTGTTGGTGGGAGGGCAGGCCTTTTGTTGCGGGGGGACAGAACCTCAGTTATCTATGAGTTTTTATCCATTTTTATTGATTTGGAGGGGGCAGCTGCCCCCCTTTGGCTGCCCCCATGAACCTCCATAAGTAGAAGAGGCTCCCTGCTTCAGACTTTGGCTCTCAAAACTTCTGGAAGTGTGTGGTGCTGGTTCACTAGAGCAGGTGTGACATGGCAACCTGTCCCCCTTTTTCCTCATGTGTTTATTTACTGTGTATGGTTTGGGGAAAGCCTGTTCTTATTTCCATCTGATAGTGCCGTCTCATTACTTAACTGCATGTGCAAATGCTGGCACAAGCATAATATACTTTCCCCCGAGCCTATAGTGATACTCATCAAAGCTCATCATATCTAGATTGGCACTAAATCAGTTTTTTATACTATCAGATTAACACAAAATTAACTTAAAATCTTCAGTCCTAAGCAATTGTGTCAGTTATGATGCCTACACAATACCAAGGCAACCCAGTTAAAATTTGATGTTGTGATAGGGAGACTTTTTGATGTGTGATTTGTCAAGTTTAGTTCTCAGAGTTTTTCTTTTGCAACATTTTTTTAAAGAGGCATGGGATGATATGAATGGCCGTAGTTCATAAAGGATGTGTTCTCACATATGTTGATTTAATGCTATGTTTGGGTGTTGGTTTCTCTCCTCATTCACCAGAAGAATTTACATGATAGTTTATTGCATGCATGTATTTAAAAAAAACAAACCACCACTACAGTTGAATTAAAATACTGTGTACTGATGAACAGGTTGGTAAAAGATGCGCTATATTTGTAAAGTTCCCTCGGTGGTCTGTGTACTTCTCGATTCTGTCACATTTGTACATTCAGAGGTGTGAAGTGATTGAGTCGTTTTTAATAAAGTACAAATATTGTGATCTTATTTTTTTTCTGCAGAAAGATACGACAGTTTGGCGTAAGCCATCTGAAGAATTCAGTGGATACCTGTAAGTTAACTTACAGAGGAGATGAATTCTTTCATAAATATAATTTCCAGTAGCAAGGGAGGGGACTGTTTCTGAGAGGAAGAACCTGGCCATATTAGAGCAGAAGTGGGCTGCTCCCCAATACATTGTGCCTTCCAGCCATCGTTGCTGTATCATACTTTATTTCAGGATAGTTTCTCTGCATCTACCATGGACATAAAAGCATAAAATGCATAGTGGGTGGGGGTGGCTTTGAGTGCTTTGTGGAATATAAATGTGAAACCGTCACTTATGCATTTGTGTACATAATGCCTCTGGTGCTAAGCATCCTCCTCTCAGCTGCATTTTGTTTGTTATAAAAATGGTTATTTCATTTGTAGACAGTTCTTGCTGTTCTCTGAGGCTGAGTAGGTCCTGTTGTAGCTTTCCTTATAGGGAGTCCTCATTAAAAAACCTTTGGCAGACCTCCTCATTCCTCAGACTGAATGAATGAAATCCAACATGGTGTGCCTCCATCCCCACCCTCAAAGTTCATAGAGAATAACTTTTTGCTTTGGCACAAGAGGATTGGGTAATCTGAGGCATAATGGATGAAATTTAACATTCCTAAGGCCCCTGGATCCTGATGGAAAATAAAAGAGATATTGGCACGTGCATGACCCATATATAGTTACTTTAAACTGGTGGAAAGTTGCTAGGCGCGTTGACATTTTCTAAGCATCATTGTATTAAATCTAATTCTGTAGCTACAAAGCACAAGGGATTGTGGAGGATGTCCCCAACAGAATAATAGATCACATACGCCCTGGACCCTATCGACTCTACTGGGATAGTCTGATGACCTCGATGGATATTGTTGATGAGTTTGAAGAGGTAATGCGTCACCCATTTATCACACAACCAGAAGTTCTACTTATATGCTTTTCATTTGGCACAGCAGTTGCAATGCAAGTTAAAGTTTTACAGTCAACAAGAAGGGAGCTTCTCTACTTGCATATATCCACACTTCATTCATTGTGCTTTGAGTGACACTTTAACCTTCTTGTTGGCAGTGGTAGAAACTTTGATGTATAACAAATCTGAAGTGAACAAAATAGCTTTTGCAGTTTTCAAGAAAGTGCCTCATTTTGAGTAGCTGAAAACTAGGACGTACAAATACAGCCATATCCAAGCTGTTTTGAGCATTAATTTCGATATAACTTCCAACTAAATTTGAACTATCCAGAAACAGTTTTAAATCCCATTGGCTTCAGTGGGAAAGTTAATCCCATTGTGATAGATTTAAACTCTTGACCTTTGGCTGCATCGTGCTCTCAATTTTTAATTTAAAGCCTATTTTCTTTTGATGTCCAAAGTCTCTTTTCTTAGCCAAAAAGTGACCTTCAGCAGAACTGTCCTGGTTTCAGCACAGCATCTTAATGAATCCTGAAACACAAGCAAACACTTTTTTTTAAAAAAGCCTGTAGATTCTACACCAGTTCTGGCTATTTACATTTTGCCAGGCACCTTTCATTCTGATGTGTGTAGCTTTAAGCGTACTGTTTCTAGTGAATTTAACTCCTATTAAGAATCTGTTCCTAGATTTCTTAAAGATGATGTTTATTATTTAAGATAAGACTGATGATTCATCTCAGCGTGTTGGAATAATCAGGAGCACTTGTAGGAAAACCTGATTGTTTCTTCAAGTAAGAGATATCTGTATAGTTCATTATTTGAATCAGGCAGTCAATTAAATCCATATTAGGCCTGTAGCTGGATTTTTTTAAAGGTGGGAGACCTAAGGGTACACTGGGTAAGTCTCTTTAAACTTAAAAAAATTCAGCTACATAGAGTCCTGAGTCATATCAAGAGATGGCAGCTGTATCTCTTCACATTCAAGAGACGGCCCTCTAACCACAACCCCCAATGTCACAGGCCTGATCCAAATTGGGGAAGGGAGTGGAACTGCTGCTGCAGAGCTTAAAAAGATGGAAATGTCATGATTTATTTCTGGTCTCATCTAGTTTGACTCTTCAACACAGTCCCCATATTGCTTGGCATAGCTATAAACCCTAGGTTTCTATAAATGAATACTATCTAAACGGGCATTTTGTAATTGCACTGCAGAACTGTTGTATTATGCGGTACACCACAGCTGGCCAGTTGTGGAACATCATTTCTCCCAGAGAGTTTGTTGACTTCTCCTGCACAACAGACTACGAAGATGGGATTCTGTCATGCGGTAATTCTAATTAAACCTCTTCTATCTTCTAATCTTGCTGTCTAAAGCACACTGAAACCTGTAGAAATCAAATCTGTGTACGTTCGTGCTGCTGTTTGCAACAAATTATTGGTTTGACACCCACTTCCTCAAAGCTAAAATTAGAAATAAACTAGCGCCACGAAGAAGGACATCCTGTCTGTCACTTGGCAGATCAAAAGTACTATACAAAAGTCACTTAGTGCAAAGGAAAGTAGAATGAATACGATTGCTAGCTTGCATTTTCTGGTGAGTAAGCTGCACTTGGCCTGAGATGAGGATTGACAGGTTGAACCTGAACCCATTCCTGACTGCCTAAAATGTGGAATTTGAGCAGGCACTGCTTGGCTTGCCCTGAAATCATATAATTGTGGAGTTGGAAGAGATCCGAAGGGTCATCTAGTCCAACCCCCTGCAATGCAGGAATCTCAGCTAAAGCATCCATGACAGATGGCCATCCAACCTCTGTTTAAAAACCTCCAAGGAAGGAGAGTCCACAAACACTGGCGGAGGAAGAGGAGTGCGGGGGGAGCGCACCGCCCTCGGCAGCGTGATCCCAGTGGGGTGCCATCGCGGCTGCCCCCCCCGCCCACACTGGGCGCCACACCCCCAGGACGCACACCAGCCCCGCGCCCGCCTGCTCTCCGCCCCCCAGTGCCTGAGCATGAAGCTCCGCCACTGTCCACAACCTCCCTAACCTAGTTCTCTCTTCTATGTAACTGTTTTGGGGAGCAAAGAACCAGACCTAGATTTTGTTTTGGGAGATTGCCATGGTTCACACCAGATTTAGAATATTGTAAATATTGCACATTGACTTAGAAAGGCGTTCTTGGGTAACTTTGTCCCCAAATCCTTCCTCTCTCTGGATGGGGGAAGGTTGGTTTGGGTAGCTTCTTCTAGACACCACCATTTATTGTTCCAAGAAATGGCCACGTTCCCCATATGATTATAAGGTACTGCCTTGGACAGAAATCCCTCAGCTTTACAAGCACAACTTGAACAGGGGCAAGACAAAGGACTACATATTGGGACTTCCCTTTTTTTTTAAAGAAATCTGCATATAGCTTCTCTAGGTTTGTCAGCAAACTGCTGAAACTCTAGATCCCCTGAGTCTGGAGTTTGGGGTTGTTAGAAGGAAGCTTACCTCTCCCACAGGATCCTTGGGATCCTGGCTGTAATAAAATTCTCAAAAAGATTTCTCAGGAATAAAACTAGGTGCATTCCTTTTACTTGAGAGGTTCAACCCACAACTGTGTTTTATTTTAAAACAGGTGTCAGCCTGGACTATGGTGAAGTAAAACCGGGTTATGTTCGAGGTTTTAACCACCCTTGTGGCTGGTTCTGCTTCCCTCTCAAGGACAATCCTAGACACAGCCTGTTGATAGGCTTCATCCAGACAGATTTGCGTGGGATGATCCCTCAGTCGGCGGTGGACACGGCTATGGCCAGTACTCTGAGTAACTTTTATTCTGATCTCAGAAAAACCCTGAAAGCATAATCTACGCTGACCTCAAACTCTGTGTGTTCCTTGCAATCATATTCTGCACCTCATAGTCAATTCTCAAAACCTTAGGATAGGTTGGAAGCTTCCTGCATGAAGGTTTGTAGTATTTTCCTTATAGGTGCTGGTAGTCCCATTTGTGCAGAAGAACTGAAAACATGTTTACTCTGAAGTAAGATCCACTGAGCTCAATGAAACTCACTTGGCAAGCCTTCGGCACATCGTTGCTTCTTAGCCAAGCCGTGGACACAGAAGCCCATGGCACTCGCACAACCACATTCTGGACAGAACTCTAAATCAGAGTGTTCTAGCAAGTTGAGGGAAAGGATCTCTTCCCTGCAGGAGTACAGTCTGTGGGCTGGCCTACATAACATAATTTCCAGAATGGTTGTAGCTCCAAAGCTTGCAAATCACAGTGCTCACATTTGTAGCACCCCCATGGAAGATGCTGGTTTTCACAAAGGGAAGCTGTAGAACTGGAGGGTGAAAACATGTTCTGCTCTAGCTAATTTCACCCCTAAAGGAAACTAGGCAATGATAGGAAAGCTCTGCCATCCAGCAACCCCTTTATTTACTAAGACTGTTTTACTAAACATTATTACTAGGGAGAAGCCTCATTGAGCACAGTAGGACTTGCTTCTGAGTAAACATTGAAGGCGACGGCCTGTAAGAGTGGGAATAGCAATACACTGGCATCTTTTCTTTTCAAGGGCTAAATGTATGAATGCAAAATACTAATGCTTTCATGTACTTTATGTTGCTTGCTAATCCTGATTTAAAAGATGGTTCAGAATCTTTTATCTTTAAACTATAAAGCTTGATGCACTTTAGAGAATTCTGTGCTCCTGTTTCCATACTTTTTACTGCTTTATAGAGTAATTTTGTCATTGGTTATTTGGGGTGGCATGCAACTGAGTCTTACTCAGAGTAGACCCACTGAAATTAATGAACCTTGCTTAATCTTTAATTTCAATGGACCTACTTTGCATACCACGCATTTTAGCCAAAAAGTTAGCAGTGGTTGTTACTGATTACAAAATAAGCATGTGGTTATTTGCAAAACTGCTCTGATTATTACTAGTACGTGGTGACAAGTTTCAATTAGTAACATCTGTAAAATATATTATCCTTCAATAGGAGATTGGAGGGACTTAACAGTGCTTAACTTTGACTGGGCGCACCTAAGAATTGAATCAAGATTTTCCATAAAAACAGTTTAATAATATCTAAGGCCTATACTCCAGGACATTGTTCTCTTAAGATTGCTCTTATGTTAACTTACCAGGAAAGAATTCATTTGAGACTTTGGTAGAACATAATCTTCTTAAAGCTTCACGATGATGTTTATTTTTTTAAATTGTTAATATGCTTCAATTATTTAAACAGATGTTTTTTAAATTCACTTGCTGGTACAAGTGACCCACAGTTCTACTGAAATGGCTGCTAGTCATTGAGATGGTGCTAGTGCTGGAAGAATATATAGGAATTGTGCTGCAGTTCTGTATTATAACTGGTGAGAGATTATTTATATAAGATGCTTAAGATGTATATTAAAGTATTCAGTTCAAAATATTGCTGGTGGTGGTGGTGGTTTTTTAAAAAAAAGGGGGGGGGGGGAGAAGATGACGTTGCCAGTCACATGAATCTGCTTTATACAGAGTAGCTGGGGAAATCCAGCCAGATGGGTGGGGTAGAAATAAATTATTATTATTATTAGTCTGCCTAGTCCAGCATTGTCTGCTTCAGCCAGCACTGAGTCTCCAATGTCTTGGGCAAACATCTTTTCCAGCCTTTTAGCTGAGGTTAAAGCAAAGCATATGCCTAGGGGAACTGGTTCTGGCCAGCTAGTCACACCCACCTGTCAATTGCCTGATGTCACTAGGACATCAGGTGACCCAAACAGGGCTTGAGCTTGCTGCCAATCAGCTGCTTGGCACTGACTTCAAGCCCTGCAGCCAATTCCAGCAGGCTCGACGCCAGCACTTATCAGCTGTTTGTTCATTGACTAGAAAGACTTGCCTATCAGGAACGCACCTTAAGATTACCAGCTGTGCACTGGCAGCTGCATCTCTCTACCTGCCCCATGCCTGACACCCCATAGCATCTTTGTGACAGGTGTGGGTGATCTGGAGGAAACATCTTGTTGGGGCTGTGGACTTTCAACACCTGGTGTATTTTTATTGGGACAACTAAGTGCAAAAGCCCATGAGCATATTTTTGAGCTTTCCTTCCTAAACACAAGTTCCCATGTGCCTATTGTGAGCCATCGTATCATAAGGTACCAGCTTGAAAGCTGGTGTTGGATTTCAGGAGTTACTAGGCAGATCTTGGGATCCTATCAGCTCATCTAATGTAAACACAATATAAAGCACAGAACCTGGACACACTTGAACAGGTAGAAGTTCTTCCAGATCCTATCCAGTGCTCTGTCACTCAAGCATCACCCATCCAAATCAGAAACTCTGAAAGGCACAAAATTGGCGCTGACTCTTGGGTTGTCACTGCATTTTCCATTTTCACAAATATATGGTGTTCTAAGTACCTGCCCGCCCCTGCCCAAGGTCTCTTATATAAAACTCTGATATCACAGAATGACAAACAGACTTCTCTAGACATATGTGTTTATTTTTATGGTACATGCAAAGTACTTCTTAAACTTTTCAGCATCAAAGTGCATTCTCTTCATTCTCCAGATAATTCGTTTCCATATGGGCATATGAAAGGCTAGGTGAGATGCACTTATTAAAGCTGCAAACATGCCTAATTCTGAGACTTCAACAGTACTTTATCATGTGATAAAGGTTTTGCAAGCTTCATCCATCAGATTCTTGGTTATAGTTTTCAGGCATTTCCACACACAGCTATTTCTTGTTCTTTAGTAACATTGCAAATGGGTTTTTGGATACACTAAGGAACAAAAATGTGCTAGATGTTTGGAGCAAATAAAGCAAAGGTGGGGAAAATATACAGTACATACATAGCAACCACACATACACAAGTGTTGCCCAAACCAACTCTAGGGGTCCTTTGCTAGTGCTACTTTTGTGCAACATACCTTGGGTTAACCATAATCATTCAATGCTTTACCTGAAAGGTGGTCCTAGGTGATAGTCCCACAAAAAGTGCACATATTTCATTAATGGGGGGGAAGGAAGGTTTTTATACTTAAGTCAAGTGCCTTAGGCCACAATCTAACACAGTTAAGTGTGCTTAATCTCATTCATTTTAGTAGGTTTAAGGCTGCAATTTCTATATACCTTTGCATCAGTTCTATTAACAGTGTTTACTTCTGAGTAGACATGCATAGGATTGTGCTGTTCTGTGTTGGACGGTGTCTCCTTTTAAGAGTCTAGAAGTACACATCCCAATAATGTGCCCACCAAAATCCTGAGCAGGAGAGAATTCCTCTTCCTTCTTCAGTCAGAAGTAATATTAGCATTTATAGACTGTTTTCTATACACTGATATATAGCACAGTAACTTTTACAACAGTCCTGTAAGGTAGGCCTATATCATGAGCCTATATTGCACACGGTGCTGGAAAGTTGAGGTTCAGAGATGCCAAGGGTGCCAAAGGCCACCTAGGGAGTTTGAGGCAACCTCTCTTCACTTAGCCACTACACTAACAGTGCCAGGCTTCTCCAATACGAGCCAGTATTAGATAAGAATCCATAAACTACTTCATGGTTGTGCAAGGGATTGCAGCTGTGCAGCAGGCCATTCAATTTTTGCAATGAGAATCCTGAAGTGCATTGCAAACTGTTTTTGAAAGTTTAATGGCGCAATTGAGACCTTCCATATCCATGCTTTTCAGACATACTAATAATGCCCTAGCTGCATTACAAATTGGTTATTAACAACCTAGTTCTCTTATACTAGACATGTATTCCATGTTGCACACTTGAGATTATTCAACGGCAAATGGGCTGCAGGTGCATGATCATGGTTGGGTTTCTGCCATATTCCTTGATCCCCGTTGTAAGAGTCAACCTTAGGCACTCCTAATCTGCTTCCAGGTCTGTGCAGTCTCTTTACCTGCTGTTCTCAATGGTCATGATGCATGCTGACCCCTGAAATCCTTTCTGCCAGGTTCTCTACTGATAATGCAAAAGAGACAACACAGTGACAGAGCAGTGGAAATTATGTACAGCTACTCACATGAAAATGCAGAAGTAGGAGCAGCAGGATCAGTTGCTCTGCTTGAGGGAACCCTATGTCCTCAAGGTCTGCAGGAGTACAAAAACATTTAGGGAACCCCCCCCCACAAGCCCATGGAGGGCTGAGTTTGCTCAGTAGGCATGGGATGCCCTCCGGCTGTTAGAGAAAAAATGGGAAACCAGGTGGGAAGGGGGAATAAATGAAGTGGCTGGAAACTTGAGCAGGGGCAAGCCACACTGCAACATTTAATTGCTGGTCCCCTTCACCCCCTATTATTAGCCTTGACATTATGCATTAACCATGGGTGTAGCCTGGCTGAGCAGAGACTTAAAATCAACTTACAGTAAGTCATTTGACTGATTTGTTGCTGTTCTGCAACCAGGAACAGTTGACATGGCAAAATAAGTTAGCACTCACGAGAAACATATTCCGTGAAATAATTTTGTAATAGTACCTGCTATACTAGACCCTAATCTTATCTCACCTATCGGAATAATAAAAATACCAGTGTCTAATTAACTTTACCAATAGCATGCATTCAATGTTAGTCTACGCCTCGTTTTCTTCCCCTGTCACAGTAAGCTGCTTTCATACCATTACGTGAAATGGTAATGCTATTCCTCAGGCAACCACAGAATCAAAGTCGTATTTTAAGGCTGCAACCTTATGCACACTGATCCGGGAGAATGTCCCGCTGAATTCCACAGAGCTTACTTTTGAGTAAGTATACGTAAGACTGAGCTGAAAGACTCTTATAAACTGGAATTTCCATGACCCATACAGAATCAGATATAACACACTCCCTTAATTTGCCCTGATGCTTATTATTAGAGCATATGGTCCAGCATGGCAGAGATCAGAGAATCATAGAGTTGGAAGGGACCCTGAGGATCATCTACTCCAACTCCTTGCAATGCGAGAATATGCAGCTATCCCATACAGGGATTAAACCTGCAGCCTTGGCGTTATCAGCCCCATGCTCAATAACAAACTGAGCTATCTGCATCTGAGTGCACATTTAATACTGAGACTTGCAAAAGGGGAACTATTTCTAACACACTGAGCAGAAATCATAACAAGAATTTAGCAATCGGATCTGGTGAACAGCAACAGCTTCTGAACTGCACCGTTGTCTGTTAGCCATACCCCATAACCTTGCATGGGTTTCGTATTCTGGGTGTCTTTCAAACATTTGATTACAGATCACAACCATAGAACTATTCCTATGACATAACGAACAGTAGTAATAAATCCTCCTTAACAAGCAAGGGTGTGATGTTTATGTCAGGGGTGGCCAACCTGGTGCCGTTCAGATGTGGGGGCTACAACTTGCATCAGTTCAGCCAGCATGACCATTGGTCAAGGCCAGGGATGATGGGTGTCCATGGTCCAACAAGACTGGAAAGATGCCATGTGGACTATCCCTGCTCTAACAGTTTCATTGCCACAGAAAATGGGTAGCACCAATGCAGTGTGGAATCTTGGTTTCCCAAGAGCACAGATCATTTTGACATACTTGATCAAGTGCTTGTCATGATCAGATTTACACACCAAATCAAATGTATCTAGAATAAGTATAGCTGAAGGTTCTGGACCGAATTATGAACCTTCAGGTGTTTTGATTGTCCCCAGACCTCGCTGCTACCAAGATGCTGATTTTTAAAAATATATTTTGTGTGGTTCACAGCACGAGTAGCTTCCAGACTTCTGATCATATGCTACCAGAGAGAGAGAGAGAGAGAGAGAGAGAGAGAGAGAGAGAGAGAGAGAGAGAGGGAGGGAGACTAGTTTTCTGGAAGGATTTCTGAAGCAGTTGTATAAGAAGCTAGGAAATCACTGCATGTACCCTATGTTTCCCGAATGGCTGGATTTAAAAACAATTCTGTTTTCCTGGCAGCAATAACCTTCCAACTTAAGGCTCAGTACCCAGAACACATAATGCAAGTCACAGTGTGCAGCTGAGAAAGCAGCCCTTGATTCATTTCAAGCAGATATGCAGCTGATTGTACCCAGAAGCTGTGATCTGGCACTCCTGATGTGTGCACAGAACTTCACATGCAAAGGGGTCGCCAGCCCTCTTCTATATCAACTCATATTGCATGCAGTGGGCAGTCTCCATGCAAGTCCAGAGCATTCCTCTTCACAGAAGAAAAAGAACTAGCCCCACCTGCAAACTGCTTTGGATTGTGCTGTGCTTTTCTAGCTAAGCACTTCGAATTCTTCCTTTTGCCAGACAAGCAAACACTTTCCAAGAACAACATCTTGGAATCAGTTCATGTCCTTGGGCACAATGATTCCATGTGCAAAACAAATATTTTTCATGTAAGATCTACTTATTTATCCATTTATAAATGAGTTAAAACATTGTGGCAGCTTTCAAAAGTCATACAGGACACTTTCACTGCAAAAAAACTAACTTAGTATTCTGTTCTGTCGTTATCAGAGTTGTTTTAATTTACCATGTCTCGTAGAAATATTATTTAATTACCTTTCTAACTACAATAGAACAGAAGACACAAAACATGTGCCTCCTCTTGGTTTCTGTAGTTTAACTGATTCTTGTTTCTCTGCAAGATAATACTATTTCAAAGACAAAGAAAAAAGAATGCAAGAAATAACTAACGTATTGGGGTATTGGCTGTGTTCCTGAAAAGCCACAGAGACTGCAATACTATACCCACCTACCTGTGAGTAAGCTCCACTGATCTCTGTGGGACATACGTACTTCTGAGTATAGGATTGCACTAAAAGTTAATTGTTGCATGCTAATTTCTTTGGATCGCTTTTATCTATACGTTAAGAAATTCGGGTGCTACAAAATGTATTACAAATGCTATCCATTCTGCTTATTTTTCAACTCGCATAGGTTACACCTGGCAGAGTAAAGATTGTAACACCTATTATACACAAGTGCCTGAATAGAACATTTTCTTTCTTTTTTGCAGTGATAGTGTCCTATCCTAACCTTAACCTGTTCTTTACTGGCACACTTATACAGATCAAGTCTACGCTGACAGATTAAACAAAAAGAAACAACAACTGGCTACACAATTCTCATGTATCTCTAATCATGCAAGCATTTCTATTGCTGCCCATGGCAAGTACCTTGACTGGTATCCTAAAGCAAAAGTATCATGCTGTTGAATATTCTTCTTGCAGGACATTAATTGCAGAATCCCCCTCTGTATAAACAGGTGCACAGTTTCATAGTCACGACTAATTCCAATTGTACCTTAACAATGGCACACATACCTGCTCTGTTTGAGTACTATCCTTAACATTGTTTTGTAAAATTAATACTGGATAGTAATGTGACAGAAGTCTGAAGATATTCTAGTTATCATCAAAATACTGTACAGAAATGGTTACTTATAGAGGTAAGGCATTCTTAAGGAACATAGTTTCATAGCCATTCGAATAAATCTTTCACAGGAATCAGTGGAATGTTTTTTTGCATATAAATATTTAAGTTCTCAATTGTAAACAGTTTGTAAACTATCACGGATGAATGCAAAATATTCCATATGCCATTTAAAAAACACTAGGCGGGTCTTAGCGCCCATTGATCTACTGGGTGATTATGAGTTTGAAAAGAAGCAGATTGAAGAAATGTCAAGATCTCTCTAGAAAATCTTGTATAATAAGCCATAATCATCATTCACTTCAGAGGTTATCTATAAACACTCTACATGAGATATACATGTTGGTAATAAGGAGTGTTCCCTGCTCTCCACTTCATTCGTTGGTATTACTGTAAATATCACTTTATCCATGGCATGCCATTAAAAGACTGTGAACTATTTATTTTTTTTCAGAAGCAGTCACATGCATTTTGAAGTTCAGGTCACCAGCTAGAGCATTTTCCATCCCAAGGCAAAGCCACTCAGAGTAGCCATGCTTGTAATTTGCTTCTGAATGGTATCTTGGCTGGCGCACGGAATGACAGAACTTGGCTGGAATAAGATACCCCAAGATTTAAGATTCTCCTTCAGTTGCTTCTTCATGAGCGTCCTCTTCATGAGATTCAGTGAAGTTTGCTTCTTCTTCTTCTGCTACTACTACTTCTTCTTTTCCCTCCACGCTGTCCTCTCTTTCTGGGCGCAGAGACTGCCTTTGGCTGGGCTTATTGCTGTCGTGGGTGCTGTGGCAGCTTGCACTCCCAAGACGAGTTGATGCAACAACAGCTTTCACTGCAGCCTGGGTTTCAATAAAAACAAACAAGAGTGGTTAGATTTCTTGGCACCTATGCTGTGGTTTCGTGGCACCGATCCCATCTGTCTCCACTGTGTACCAACCCAGGCAAGGCTATAATCACTTCCTAGTAGATTCTCTCCTACATAATGTATGAATTAACTCTATTTAGACTTGCAGGGGTTCAGACAGAATGTGTCTCCAAACTGAACAAATCAGTGTGGTCTAACGAAAGAGAATACTTTGCTAAAAGCCAAAGTTACTGAGACACCAGCTGTTTCTGCTAAGACTGGGTGATATGCAGCTGTGCACATATAGAGTAGGTTTTAAGGGAATAAACATGTTTTATCCACACATTTCCACCTTTTTAGGTATTCTTTACAGCAGCCCCTCCTTACTTTTTTCTAAGTGTGTCACTATGAGGGATGGGGGAGAAATTCAGTTCACTTTATAGTGGTACCTCAGGTTAAGAACTTAATTTGTTCTGGAGGTCTGTTCTTACCTGAAACTGTTCTTAACCTGAAGCACCACTTTAGCTAATGGGGTCTCCTGCTGCCGCTGCCCCACCACTGCACGATTTCTGTTCTCATCCTGAAACAAAGTTCTTAACCCAAGGTACTATTTCTGGGTTAGTGGAGTCTGTAACCTGAAGTGTCTGTAACCTGTAGCATCTGTAACCCGAGGTACCACTGTACATTTAAAGGGCAAACCTACTTCTCACTCTCCAAAGTAATACACAAACCAAAAGATAGCCACACTTCTCTGAAGTTCTCTGGCCAGGTGATGTGCACAGAAATCCATGCACTTTGGTAACACATGCATAAAAATACACACATCAGTGAAAACAGCATGCAAGTATGGTGCTACGTAGTGGAGCCTGTTGAATAGTGGGTAGACATGGCAGACGACACAGCGATTTCTCCAAAGCAGCTCTTTATTTTGTAAGCTGGAACAGAACTGCACAGCAAACAGCTCAGCCGGCCTGCTTTTATAGGCAGCCGGCTGTCAAGATTGTAGCAACAACAACCCAGGGTTTCCCGCCTAAAATAACTGACGTGGACCTGAGTGAAAACTATCTACAGTATCCCCCTGCTGGCCCAGGGTGAGAACTTTAGTACATAACAGAGCCCTTGTGTTGTCTTCCGTTAACAAAGCGAGTTACTTGAATCCATCCAAATGTAAACAATAACACCCCACCCCCCTGAAATGTACCTTAAGTTTACGCCGAGCATTGAATTCTTGGAGTTTCTTTTGGGCTGTGTCCATATGAGCGAAATTGGCTGCCTTGCCTGTGACCCAAGGGTGTTGTAAGGCTTGAAATGTGGTGAGACGTTTCTTGGGGTCAAGCACAATTAACTTCTTAACCTGCATAATAAGATGATTTAAAAGTAAGGGGGAAAACGCATTCCTCGGAAACCTTGTAGGCTCCAACCTAAGGATATATGCACAATTTCATATGCTAGCAACTTGCTACCCAACCAATATCCACTTCTAGCATCAAACAACTGCTTAGAAGCAACGTTAGAGTAAACCTGGTGTGAGTGCTCCGCACATATTATTTATGATTAATTATTGCATTTATATCCCACTTCTATTTCTCCAAGGAGCTCAAGGTGGTGTATATATTCTTCTGCTCCTCTTTCAAACCCCACAGCAACCCTATAAGGTAGGTTAGGCTAAGAGGCAGTGACTGGCCCAAAGTCACCCAAGGTAGCTGAGTGGGAATTGAACTCTGGTTTTCCAGGTCCTAGTCCAACACTCTAACCACTGGGTAGAAACATCCAGTGAACGCATGGATAGAAATTCTCAATGCACATTATCCCTCCCCCTCAAAAAGGAGATGGAAAGGAGTCAGCTTGTGCCTCTAGCATCCAAAGACTGTTGCCAGCTGAATCAGCATATGAACTGGGCCAGTAACGTGCTAAAAGTGCATCTGAACAATATCAAGATTCAAAACTTTCAGGCTATAATTTTACTGGGTGAAATCCAATGTCACACAAGCAGATTTCTGCTGATGCAACGAGACTTCTCCTTGCTCTTCTGTCTCCTGCAGCCCCATGGATCCCACCTCCGAATCTGTTCCATAGGGTCCACCAACCCTCCACAGATTTTGACGGTACGTGGGGGCTGCAGAGGTAAGGATAGGAAGGAGAAGTGCCATTGCATTGGTGGAGGTCTATTTTTCTCATGCACAGACACTGTGGGGATATAACCTATAATGAATATACATAAAGTAGATTCCACATGTATAGTGCAATGCTGATTATCCTGATAAAATTATGCTGATGGTAAATGGCAGAATTAGCCGAACATACCAAATCCTTGGCATTTAGAGACACATCATCCCACCAGGGGGAAACGAAATCATATTCACAGTTCAGGATCCTTTTGAACATGTACTGGTCTCCTCTTTCATCGTAGAACGGCTCAAAACCACAGAGTCTAGAAACAAGCAATAAACAAACTTGTCACATCAATATCAGTGAGATAGCTCAACCGCGTTGATCAGCTTTAGCTTCCTTGACACAAAGAGCATGTTATGTCTGCAAAATACGGAGGAATGTGTAACCTCTGTAGTAATCTACCTTGCCCTGCATGTGCCCACTTGACCGCTTCAATCAGCGAAATTGGTACTGCTACACATCATGCCACATAATATCTGTTCAGCGTTTGTAAGAACTCAATTGTGTAGTGTGGCAGCATCTACACTTTGGAACTCCTCGCCTATTGAGATCAAGCAGGCAGCTTCACTGTACTCTTGTTGGCACCTGATAAAACTATACCTGCTTAGACAAGCCCACCCAGATGCTTAGGAAGTTGAGGTAATTTTAAACTGTTTTAGCATTTTAACTTTTGTATGTTTTAAAGTAGGCTTGTAAATTTCTCTTGATTTTACTGTTCTATGCTTTGTAAACTGCTTTGAGGGGGTTGTTTGTTTTTACAATCAAGTGGTGTATTAATTTTAAGAAATAAATAATATTGGACGTAGAATTCATAGCATGTTTAAAAGTCTTCAGTACCAAGAGTCAAATGCAAGTGTGTACAGTAAGGAACATCAGATAGAATGGCCCTTCTCAGACTGTAGGGGGAGTAGTCACATGTTTATCTCCCCATAAAATTTCCCCATGCCTAAAAGAATAGAGGAATAAGTCCTAAACCAGCTTCTTCCTGCTACAGCAGCTTTCCACATATGTTCTTATGTGCTACTCTGTTCAGCCAATGGCTCACGGGATCAGGCCATAAGAGATTAACAGAGCACAAAGGATTTTGCAATACGTATGAAGGATTTTTAATCTATTTATTTTTCTTCACAACATTTGGGAGGATTACCGTATTTTTCGGCCTATAGGGCGCACCTAGTTTTTTGGGGGGGAAATAAAGAACCCCCCCCCCAGGCGCGGGGCTGGGGCGGGGGAAGCCTGAGCTTCCCCTGACCCCAGCCCCCAGAACAGGCAGCTCTCCATAAGCCGTGGGAGAGCTGCGCGACTTCGCGCAGCCCTCCCACGGCTTGCTGAGAGCTGCGCAAAGCCCGAAGCCTGGGGGGCGCTGAGCTCCCACGGCTTGCGGATAGCTTCCTGAAGCCTGGTGCGCACCGACCCCTCTCGCTCTCCAGGCTTCAGCGAAAGCCTGCATTCGCCCCATAGGACGCACACACATTTCCTCTTCATTTTTGGAGGGGGAAAAGTGCGTCCTATAGGGCGAAAAATACGGTAAAAAGTATTTAGGCAATTTGAAACCTAAGTATATCTCATACTGGGCTGTAGGTGGAAGCAAAGTAGCATTAGAAATATTCTGTTCTGAGGCTGACACAGCAGAAAACCTGGTAGGTATCAAGGCTGCCATCTATTGGTTTCTCTGAAAAGTTTCTCTGACAGTTTCCCCATTGCTGTTCTAACTGCATGTCTAGGTTTACAAAATTGCAGCCATGAATACTAAAAGAAGGAGCACCATTGCTGCAATGGGGGTTGCCTTCTCTGTAGATAACAACTGGCTCTATCCAGTGCTATTTTTCTAGAAAAAGAGATGCTGGAACTCACCATGAACACCTCCCTCATTCTCTTGGAATGCAATGGCATTGAGACTGAGTTCCATCAAATTCCACCTGGAAAAAAGCCCTGGTTCTATCATAGTTAACCAGGCAGAGGGCCTTCCCTGTGAAACACCCTCCCATCACCAGATGTCAGGGAGATAAAGAATTACACAACTTTTAGAAAATATTTGAGGGTAGCCCTGTTCAGGGAAGTTATTAATGCCTGACATTTTATTATTTTTTATATTTTGCTGGAAAGCCACCCAGAGTGGCTGGGGGAACCCAGCCAGATGGGCGGGGTATAAACAATAAAATTGTTGTTGTTGTTGTTCAGATTTAACATAAGCAGCCACAATACAAGTATCATCTCCACTACAATTAAAGACCCAATGCAAAAAGGGGTTTCCAAAAAATTGTTTAAGCTATCTTGAGGAACAGCCCCCCTCTCACTCTGGTGACCTAAACTCCTAGCTCTTTCTGAGGGGGCATTCCTTTCAATAGGTTCCCTATTCTCCTGGGAGAGCGCTGGGAACTTACTTCTCAACTTCTCCCACAAACATGAGGGAAATTGGATGACATCCTCACCGTGCTTCCAACCCAAGGGAGTGACAATCTTTGATACTACACCTTCATGGCTGCCTGTATTGGCTAAAGGACAATGTTGATACCAGTGCAGAGTATCATAAGAGTGGACAAGAGTGGCGTGTACTGCAATCGTACCCATGTTAATTTGGAAGTAAGTTTTTACTGTGTTTAATAAGGTTTCCTCCTGTGTAAAGTGCATAAACTGCAGCCAAAAATAAAATGCCAATTGACTCATGATCAGCGTGAGGGAAGCCACTGATTCCAGTTAAAGATCAGTGGCTATTCCAGTTAAACATAATGGCCATTCATGAAAAAATAGAGTAATTAGAAGGAGAAACATGCCAAAAGACTTCAATTTTCAACAAATGAGGGGCAGTACAATTTTTTTAATGTACGGTTTGTACCATCTTCCAAACACATTTCAGAACACAAAATCTGGTGGCTAGAAAACAAACTACTTCAGTAAGGTGAAAGATTTATACGATCTGAAGAGAAACCAAGCAAACTAATAAATGAATCACATTTGCCTATATAGGGTAATTTTTAGCCAAACTCACAGGATGTAAGTGATTATTCCCAAGGACCACATGTCCACTTCTGGGCCGTAGGCACAGCCTCGCAGTATTTCCGGTGCTGCAGATTATAAAAACCTTGTCAATAAAACAAAAATTTAATGTAGAAAGAAATAGCAGTGAAACAGAGCAGTGGCCAACACGGATGGGCCCAATGCAGAGGCAGTGGTAAGAAAAAGCATAATTCTAGAAACCTAGAATTCCTATGTGAGAGAGAGAAAAAGAAAGAAAATAAATAAAGCAGCTTAAGCTCAGCAAAGGTAGACCAATTTCTTTACTGAAATATGTGCATTAATTGTGCATTCAGATGTGCTAGGAGAATATGTTTCAGGAAAGAGATATAGTGAAGCTATTCAGAATGAATATTATTAAACTATTATTCTTCGGTAATATTATTATCATATGAAGTGAAGCTTCTTCAGAAGAACAGAAGAAAGCACAGTCCCCTCTCAAGCACTTGTCTCCTGCACTTCAATTGCTTGATGATACTGGCTTCTATTGTGGGACCTTTTGTTACAACCCTTCATAATAATAAAAAGAAATCTGGACCATGAAATCTGACTCTACAGCTGTGTACTGTATATACTTTATCTTTAAAGCACATTCGAAGCACATCCTTTCCCTCAAAGAATTCTAGGTACTGTTGTTTGGTAAGGCTTGCTGAAAATTATAACTCTTTGTAATTACAACGTCCTGTTCAATTGTCTAGTTCCATGTTTGGCAAAAGGGAAAGAGCGAAAAACATTTGGTTCCAGAATCCAGTGGAATGTCACCCAAATAGGTTCAATTTATTTTAGTCAAGGGATAATGTTCCTTTTTAAAAAACTAGCAGCAACCCCTTTTTCTTTTGCCTTCATTCAAGATGCAGTCCTACACACTCTTGCTGGTAAGTACTGTATTTTTCGCTCTATAAGACGCACCAGACCACAAGACCCACCTATTTTTCGGAGGAGGAAAACAAGAACAAAAATATATTCTGAATCCCAGAAGCCAGAACAGCAAGCGGGATCGCTGCGCAGCAAAAGCAGCAATCCCTCTTGCTGTTCTGGCTTCTGGGATAGCTGCGCAGCCTGCATTTGCTCCATAAGACGCACACACATTTCCCCTTACTTTTTAGGAGGGAAAAAGTGAGTCTTATAGAGCAAAAAATACGGTAAGTGCCAGGAAGCTCAATGGGACTTAGTTTTGAGTAGGGATGCATAGGATCCCACTGTTAATTATTCATACTTTTAATTTCCTTTCAGATTCTGAAAAGTGAGTTTGTATTCCTTGCATGTCTTAATCAGTGCATTATCTGAGATATCAGATCTTGGCTCGTTACACATAATGTGCTCAAAAAGTGATAATCTATTATTTCCATTTTGTGGTTGACTTGCCTTGCTACCCTCAGGCAATGCATGACTATTCTCGGAAGTTAATTATTCATGGACAAGTAACACCACCATTTCTCATTGCATGTGGTTGTTTCAAATTTTCCCATTTGGAATCCTGCTTTTGTCTGGACATTGTTTTGCTGCGTTTCTAATCCCTTACCCTTTATTTACATCTATTATTAAAAGCCCAAGCCTGGTGGTGCGTTGAAACAAACAGATTTATTTCTTCCTATCAAAATGCAACATAATCTAAGCTAATGTTTTAAATATTTACAGGGCAATCTTAAGATTCGGAAGGGAGGAGGATGACTCCATGGTGGAAAAACCACCACTTCCTAAGCTGGCAGTGGCCAGAGCAGAAAGTAAGTGTGGATGGATTTTCTGGAGATGTCCCCCCAATTTGACTTTTTAAATTCCTCTTCTCACTGATACCGATGGCAGGGGAAATAACTAGCTCCAGGGCTGGTGTACATCTTCCAGCTTTTCTGGGGTGTCAAAGGAACAAAGAGACTTTGGATCCTGTGGATTCAAAGCTCTTCTGATACCCTTCCAGAACATTCGGTTTTGGGGGCCGCTACCTACAGAACACTGCCACTGCTAGAGCGATGGCAGAGGAGCTTTCCAGTGCCCTACCTGGAGGACCTCCACCCAGGGCTCAAGACATTTTGCTGCCTGAGGCAGAGCAGCAAACGGCACCCTTTCAGTCAAGGTGCATACCATATTTTTCGCTCCATTAGACACACGTTTTTCCTCCTAAAAAGTAAGGGGAAATGTGAGTGCGTCTTATGGAGCAAATGGCACTGCGCAGAGAGGTAGAGCTGACCAGCGCCCCTTCAGCGAAGCGGGAGGAAGAACGGAGCCCCTTCTGTTCCTCATCCCACTTCGCTGAAAGGGCGCTGCACAGCTCTCCCTCTCTGCGCAGCGCCTGTCCTGCGAAGCCGGAGGAGGAACAGAAGGGTCTCCTTCTGTTCCTTCTCCAGCTTCGCTGAAGGGGCGCTGCGCAGTTCTGCCTCTCATAGAGGGAGCGCCCCTTCAGCGACGCGCCTGCCCTGGCTTCTGCCTTAGCCACGCACAGCCTCTTCGGGCAGGGGGAGCCTTCATCCCGCTGCCCTGAAGAGGCTTGGCGCAGAACAGCCACATGGTATCCCAGAAGCCAGATCCCTCTTGCTGTTCTGGCTTCTGGGATTCAGAATAATTTTTTGTTTTCCTTCTCCCAAAACTAGGTGCGCCTTATGGTCTGGCGCGTCTTTTGGAGCGAAAAATACAGTACTACTTAAAAGCCAGTCAAGATATTTTGGCATCTTGAGGCAGAAAATACCACAGGGCAGAAGCGCTGAGTTATGCTCAACATGGGGGGGGGGGTCTTGTCATGTGGTGGGGAGGCCCAGCAGGGCTCAGCCCCTCAAGATTGGGGGGGGGCTCAGCCCCAGCCCCATATACTATGTGGGGACTGAGCTGTCCTCAGCCTCATAGAGTTGGCATGTATACCACAGGCACCTCTTAATCTCCTTTGCAGAAAAAAAACACAGCAATAAGAAATGAATTAACTTGCTGTCATTTCATGACACTCAGAACCAGCTGTCTGACTTGGCTGCCTCACCCTACCTGATAGTAAGGCCACAGCTTCCAGTGGCCTTCATTTGGGACTTTAGGAATGCTCACCTAACATTACCTCAAACAGAAATACCATTAATTTTCCTAAAATGCCTTGTCCTTTGTACTTAACGCCACCTTCTACACTTTACCATTTGCGCATTTAACACTCTTAAATGTGTCTTTAACACTGTTCATTCCATGTTAGTAATATTCATTTTGTGATTTATGTTGACAGAAGTCGTGATAAAGAAAATGCAGTAAAGAATAGTAATATTCTTGTTCGTCAGTCATAATGTGTATCAGTCATAAATGACGCCCCAAATGGAGGGAAATATCCAAAACCCTTTACAGAGCCCTCTATCAACTGTGCCTTTTTAAAGTGAAGCTACAAGTTTTTTCAGTGGGTCTAATCTGAATAAAACTTAGGTGACTACCACCCTAAGCATTTAAGGCAACTGAATACAAATAGATAGATATCTAACATACTGTAAGCAATAAAGGAACATACCACAGTACCCTGGAGTCCCACAGACTGTTTTCATGGTCACTTGATCTGCAACAATCTTGGAAAGTCCAAAATCAGCTGTTACATATAAACCAGAAAGGATTCATTATTTGTTATTATCATTATTTTATATTTCTTGTACGATACCGTGGAATGAAATGAACATAATATTTCGTCATTTGGAAATGTTATACTAATCAAATAACAATCAAACACTAATCAAATTACACCTTGTGTAAGGTACAGGAGTGAAACTTTCTGGTGGGTGAATACATCCAATCCTAAATTCATTGAATCCAAAGTTGTCAATGTATGAGTGGGAAACGCTTCTGCTCGTGACAGAGGGGCTTCCCAGGTTTGTGTTGATTTGCTTCTCCTGGTACATATCACCAGAGCATATTCCATGACATCTCACTCAGCAGAGAAGAACCAGCAGACACCCTTCTGGTGCCTCAGCGAAGAGGCTTACAAGGTTAAAACTTTCTCTCTGTCCTCCAAGGAGATTCCCCCACCCCAGGCCGGATTGAGGTTTGATGAGGCCCTAAGCTACTGAAGGTAATGGGGCCCTTTATATCTCCAGCTGTCCTTTGTCAACAACAAATTGTCACTGTTTTTTGTGTTGAATACAGTGGACGCTTGGGTTGCGAGTGTGATCCGTGCGGGATGCGCGTTTGCAACCCGCAGCGGCACATCTGCACACATGCAGGTTGTGATTCGGGGCTTCTGCGCATGCGCGACCGCCAAAACCCGGAAGTAACCCATTTCAGCAGGTGCATAACCCAAAAAAACGCAACCTGAAGCGGCTGTAACCCAAGGTTTGACTGTACATGCTATATGGTAATTTATGGACCTAATAGGTATCTAGAGCCATTTTATTTGTTTTTTATCTTATATTTTGGAAATGTACATCCAGTGTTTCTCTTCCTTTAATTTTTTGGGGTGCCCCCAAGAGAGTGGAGCCCTAAGCTATAGCTTGTTTAGCTTATACGTAAATCCGGCACTGCCTCCACCCCTATGTCTTCAGGGATGCTTTCCTAGGGACCACAGAATTGCATCCTCAGTTGCTTAGATAACGGACATTATTATTTTTATTTATAATTGAAGACATCATATGCCCACTAGGGCAATTAAAGGTATCTATTCATTTGCTGATTATTTCTAAAACAGAATGCACAGAGGTATAGGGAAAGGAGGACAAGAGAATCCTGAGAAAATAATGTAGTACAAAATAATGTCTTCGATATGGACAATTGATTGTATAGGAATGGGGATCAGTGAAATTCAAAGGGTTTTTTGGCGACTTAAGCTGATGGAATATGTGCAGCTTGCAGACCTAACATATAGAATAAGAGAAGAAGAAGAACATACGTTTAGAGAAGATTGGAAAATATTTATTGAATATATGGGGGGAAATTGTGTACATTTGAAAACGTTGGCAGCATTAAGATAAATTCAACAGTGTAAATTAGTTTTGATGGATGTAATGATGGAATACTGAATGGTTTAGTTTATGTAAAGTATGCAGGGATTCATGATATGCAAAATGAACCATGAAAAGAGAAGAAGGGGAGTCATTGATATTTTAAGGATGTTTAAATTGAGTAAATTGCAAAACAGAAAAATGAATAAAAATTATATAAAAAATAAAAATAAAGGAAACCGCTTCCCATTTTAAAAATAAATAAATAAATTCAAAGGGTTTTGTAGGGCATGCAGAGGTCTCTGAAGCACAGGGTGCCCTATTCAAAGCTGTGGAATGTTCTGTGAATAATATCAATGAAATGAAAGCATGCACATTCCCTTTCCTGAATTGAAAACAATGGGGCATCTGCACTAGACTACAGCATCCTTTCCCCAGTCTCGGGTCCCCAGATGCTGTTGGGAAACAACTCCAATCATTCCTGACCACTGGCCCTTCTGACTAGGGGTGATGGGAGCTTATCCTGTGAACCGCCCAGAGACCTGTGGGTATAGGGCAGTATAGAAAAGGCTGCACTAGAACACCAACACGCAAACCAAAGCTGGTACAGAAGAACAGTATTTACCTATTTTTAAAGATGCATCTGGAGCTGGCGTTGCATACAGTAGATTTTCTGGTTTCAAATCACGGTGAACAATTCCATTGGCATGTAGATACTTGGAAGGAATAAGTGAAACGCACAATTTTAAACTTGCATTTGTGATGAGTATTTCTCCCCCACCCTCCATAACACTGTGCATTTAGAGTACTACTATTCCAACAGCAAACGAAGCAATTATTTGAAAAAGAAAATTCTATCTCAAGACATTTGAATGCAAATTGTAACTTCAAGAGGAAACGGAAAAGAATCACATTTTATACAGCAAAAATGTACCAGGTGGAGTTTTTTTAAAAAAAGTTATTTTGGAAATTACAATGGTAGCCATAGTTTTCTGCGTCTGCACAAGATGTAGCTACACTAGTGGCCAAAATTGTGGAAACCTTTTGGGAAAAGTGTATTCCCGAGGTTTGATGGCTCATAACACCTGATTGGCTCTAACACTCATGCTCATTGGCTACATTCAAATGAAGGAAAGTTACTGCATATCAACCTAAGCAAGTTATGCTTCCTTTTTCTGGTTATTTGGATAAAATATAACTTTTGATAGAATACAGATAATTGAACAAACTTTGTTGCATTAGATTCTTCATTAAATTATCTTTCCATTGATATATAATGATATGGTATTACTCCCCCAAAAAGTGGTGTTATGAGCCATCAAACTTCAGAAATACACTTTTCCCAAAAGGTTTCCACAATTGTGACCACTAGTGTACATTTCTAGCCTTGGTAATGGACTATATGAGAGCCAACAAACTGAAGCTCAATCCAAATAAGACTGAAGCAGTGTTAGGAGGTGGTTCCCTATACCGGATGGATGGGAGGTGGCCTGCTCTTGATGGAGTTACACTCCCTCTGAAGGAGCGGGTACATAGATTGTGGGTACTCCTGTGTCCATTGCTGTTGCTTCAGGCTCAAGTGGCCTTGGTGGCATGGATTGACTTCCATGAACTTCGGCTGGTGACCCAGCTGCACCCCATCAGAACAGGGATGGTCTAACTTCTGCTATCTATGCTCTGGTAACCTCTAGGTTAGATTACTGCAACATGTTATATGTTGGGCTGCCTCTGAGGACGGTTCAGAAACTTTAGCTGATGCAGAATTCAGTGGTCACGTTACTCACCGGAGCAAGAAGGTTTGATCAAAATAAAATGAAGAAATATCTAGCCTATTCCTGCATTCAGATCTCATGATAAATCATGATATATCACTATGGGAATGAGATGTAGTGAGTCTTGGGTCCCTGTGCTTCACCCTTCTCCAGCGTGGGTGCAAGAAAGGCTTCAGAAAGTTTTGCTTCCATTTTTTAATTAACTGCAGCTCATCATTTTGTCGGAACCGAACAAACTGGGGTTAATTTTAATGTGGTTTGTTTGAAACTTCAAATAATGGCTTGTTTCAAATCTTGGATCGTTTCAAGAAATGATAGTTAGGATTAACTGTAGTAGGGTTTCACAATAATGCTGAACCGTGATTAGTAAAAACAACAACCAGAAATGAAAAACTCCAATCTCCACACCAAAAAAGGAGAGGCGTTGGTGGGGGCAGGGAAGTTTGAAACATGTAAACCTCAGACATGTTGCTGCTTGTTCCTGTGGCTTATTGACATTTGAACAAGCATGATTGCTCTGTGCAAAAATACAATTAGATTTTCTCATTTCAGAAGCTCCTGATGATTTACAAGCATTGTTTATTTAAGCTGCAGTCACAAACCGAATTACCTGTTAATAAATTCTAGCAATAACATGGCTGTAATAACTATGTGTTTCATAGGGAGTTTTGATGTAATGGCTTCATGAACTGCAACCAAAATGAACACAGTAACATTATAAAAAAAGAACTTTAAGGAGATACAAGAAAGTACATCAAAATATATTCTATTATAAAAAAACAAGATATATTTTAGCGTAATTATTTTATTACTACAAAGGGCAGGCTTGAGGAGATTTATTACATTGATCTTGCTTTCTAACCATTCCTCTGTCATCTGCTATACAGTGGTACCTTGCAAGACGAATGCCTCGCAAGACGAAAAACGCGCAAGACGAAAGAGTTTTCCGTTTTTTGAGTCGTTCCGCAAGACGAATTTCCCTATGGGCTTGCTTCGCAAGACGAAACGTCTTGCGAGTTCTTGCGAGTTTGTTTCCTTTTTCTTAAAGCCTCTAAGCCGTTAATAGCCGCTAAGCCGCTAAGCCGCTAATAGCCGTGCTTCGCAAGACGAAAAAACCGCAAGACGAAGAGACTCGCGGAACAGATTAATTTCGTCTTGCGAGGCACCACTGTATATTTTGGAAAAGTGACTTGTCAATTTGTCCATCCTTCTGTTCTCTATGGTGTTTCTAAAAGAGCACATTCTCCAATATCAACTATCTCAGACCATTATGATCAGCAGGTGAAGCCTTGGTGATGACTCATGACAACAACACCTTTTCAGTGGCAGATACTGACTGTGGAATGCCTTTCTTTCTGACGTGTGTCTATCTTTCTCATTATTGATTTTTCAGGAAGACCTTCAAAACATTCCTGTTTACTTAGGCATTTGATGGCCAAAAGTCACTGTTCTTGGCAAAATTCAGATCGCCAGCTGAGAAAATGTTTTAACTGTTTTTAGAATGAACTGTTTTTATGTTTTAAATTGTGGTGTGTTTTTTAGTGCCTTAATTTATTTTACTTATTATTGATGTGCCACCTTGGGCTTATTCAGGAGGACTGAATAAATAATTAAAATCAATCTCCCCCCCTTTTTTTGAAAATTAAATGAATAAATAATAAGTAAAGAATCTGATTGCACTGTTAACACTATAAATCACTGTCTTTACTCCATGACTCTAAAAACATTTAAGCATGGCAGATTTGTCTAATCTAGTATTCAATGAATGGTACCTTTCCATGGTAGTTAACTGCATTACATTTTTAAAAAACTAGTTTATTCTGTAATATGAACTTTTAAAAATGTGTGCATACCATACATATGAATGATTGGAATAAAGCAAAATCTTCAGCTGGAAAAGAAATTAATTTACCAGACTTACATCAAGTCCTGAATATATTACTTGGAATTAAGTTGCACACATTTTCAACATAGGTTACACTGAAGTAATACAATGCAAGTTAAGAATTGCTTCCATTATGAAAAGGAGGTCAAAAAAACAGAAGCTACAGGTTTAGTCTCTCTATAATAGATGTAACCTGCTTTGGAAGGGGAGGGGGGAGTGGAATCTAAAATGACACATGAATAAAATGATGTGTTTTCTGCTAGTGAATGCTAGGTGATTTCTGACTGCTTCTGAATGCAAGGGAATAATTCACATCACACCAAGTGTTAGCAAATTTGACAGCCTTATTAAAGTCCTCTGGTTTTTTTTGGATGACTAATGCTACAAGGTTAGAATTTTAAGTAGTTGTGAGCCTAGAATACTAACTATAAGAAGATGTTGACTTTTTTGGATATGGATTTCTGCTGGACCTATGAACATGTCACATGACATGTTGATCAAGATAATCTAATAAAACACCTATGTTTATTTATTCAAGGCAAGCGTATGCATGCATTAATGTTTCTCCCTGTTGAACCTCACAAAGCAGTTCACATTTAAAAGACTTAATAAGCATCAATAAAATGTATATAAGGGGGGGAAGCATGGTATTAAACTGAGCTTTAATCAAAGTACCGTATTTTTCCGTGTATAAGGCACCCCCATGTATAAGATGCCTCCTATTTTGGGGGACTCTGAATTAAGAAAATACCCCTCAGCACTACCCGTGTATAAGACAAACCCCAATTTTAAACCTAATTTTTTGGTTAAAAAACCCTCTAGTCTTATACACGGAAAAATACGGTAAACCTATTGAAAATAACAGACGTAACTTAGGCTGTGTACACACTATACCTTTAAAGCACATTTGAAGCACATTGTTTCCCTCAAAAAAAATCTGGGTACTGTAGCTCAAACCTCACAGGATCACAACTCCCAGCAACGCTTAACAAACTACAATACTCATTATTCTTGTGGAGGAGACAAAAGGAATGAAAGGGGTTAGGCTAAATTCAGTTATGTCCACCTGAAAAGAAGTGGGAAGGTGAAATATCTGCCTAAAAGAAGCAGGATGCCATTCTATTTCCACCCCATTTTTAACGTAGCTTCTGTTAATACTGTTTCTTGCTTCTTCTGACCTCTCGCTTAGTCTCTGCATTTGGATGTGAGGGTGGTCTGACTGTGACATCTGTCACCCCATTTTTTTAGGGGGGGTTATTAAAGATTTTGTTGACTTACAAAAGTGTGCAATATCTCTCGTGGTTTTTTTTCCCATGTAACATTTTTACAAACCAGTTTCATTTGTTGAGACATTGGGAAGAAAAGGGGGAAAGAGGTGGAGGCCAACCCCAATCTGTCACCCCATTGATTGCCAGGGTTGATTCAACTGATCTGGCCAGCTAGGTGGGTGTCCCCTCCCTCTCTCACCGGTTCATGTGCATCCCTCCCAAAGCTGCGCGCTTGGTGGAAGAGGACGACCATCCCAGATAGAAGGAGTGTACAGTGGTACCTCGGGTTAAGTACTTAATTCGTTCCGGAGGTCCGTACTTAACCTGAAACTGTTCTTAACCTGAAGCACCACTTTAGCTAATGGGGCCTCCTGCTGCCGCCGCACCGCCGGAGCCTGATTTCTGTTCTCTTCCTGAAGCAAAGTTCTTAACCTGAAGCACTATTTCTAGGTTAGCTGTGCTGGTCCCGGGGGGAAGGTTACCATTGGCGTAGTCAAAGTCCGGTCCTGGGTCACTGGTCTGGAAACAGTTCACAAGGAGCGAGGTGAGGTCCGAAGCAGGAAGCCTGGCAGGGACAGGAACACTGGGGGAACAGGACTGGATGCTGGCCGAAACAGCTCATCAACGACGTTGCTCCCGCAACCTGGGACCGGGCTGACTGGCCTTTATCTTCTCTGAGGCCAGGGGCGGTCCCAGCCCCCAGGAGACCCGCCTCTCCTGGCCTTAAGGCGAGCACTCCTCCTGGGAGAAACCAGTTCCCTTCACCTCTCTGCCCTGAGCCTCTGCAGTTCAGGAGAGGCTGAAGGGTTACTGTACCCAGGGGGAGACTCACCTGTAGCCACTGAGTCCTCAACCACCTCCAGAGCCAGAGTGGATTCACCTGGTGCCTGCTCCTGAGGATCCGGCACAGGTGCAGGCGCTTCAGAATCAAGGCCCTGTCCCAGTTCAGCCGGCCCTGGAGGCGGGGACTCCTGTGCAGGCTGGGATTCCTCCGGTTCAGCCTCTGAATCGGATTCCCAGGCCATCACATTAGCGGAGTGTGTAACCTGAAGCATATATAACCCGAGGTACCACTGTACCGTTCTTCAGTCAAGTCTCTGCATTTACTTGAGCTAGCCCTGCCCCTAATTTCCACCCTGTCTTGCTTTTCCTGTTGTCTGATCTTTTCTCTCTTTTGCTTTCATTTTAACCTACAACATAACACTCTTCTTGACTCTGTCCCTTTCCCCTCCACCAAAACCCACTGCTCCCACCATTCATCTCTTTTATCTATAATCTCTATCTTCTGTCACTAAGGTGCATCTGAGTTTCCATTGGGCAAATGAACTTTCTTCACGAAACATGACTGATGTACCCAAAGGAAATTAATGACTTGCTGAGCACTTCACCACACAAAGCTTTTACTTCTCGCTACTGCAAAGAGCTACTTTTATAAATCTGTAGAGAGTCCTCTCTGCTTTTGACAGTTGCACCTTCTCTGATTTCTTGATGCATCATGATGGTTGAACTGCAAATGCTTCTTAAGAATGAAAAGTATCATATTTCCATTTCTTGCAGTTTTTCCAGAGGTACTGTCAGGGCAGAATGTTTGGGACTTCATGGCCCTTTAATTCCCTTGTCACTAGCTTAATGTAATCAACTAGGCAAGCAAACATCCCATTTTCCACTGCAATACTAATCTGGCTGCGTTGATGGAAATCTCAGTTTTGCCTCACTTCTCTCATGTTAGCGAAAGATTTCTTAGAGGGTACAATTAAAAAAAAAATATTTATCAATTCACCAATGTCATTATGCAGCTTTCAAACACTGCATTTTATAGTGCAATGAGTGAATTAAATCAGAGGATCCAAAATAAGGATGAAGAAGGCAGACATGATAAAGTATGGCGAAACTGCTGCATTCTGACTTTGTTTCCAGGGCAGTCAGAATGGCTGTCTTCATTCTAATATAACATTGGTTATTTGATTTCATGATAGGATTCCATTCATCAAACCATACTTTTGAATTACAGATATATTCCCCTAAGGTGGAAGGCAGATCATTATAATCATCATAATCACAATTAGAGTGCAGGTTACCTAGAAGCAGAACCTAGCCTTTGGGAAGTTAACAGGGTAAGGTTAAAATGACATTTTAATTCTGAGGTGCCTATTTTCAAGGAAGAATCTTGCAAGAATATTTGAAAAGCAGCAGATTGTGGACTGCTAATTATGGGAAATGAATCCACTAATAAATTATGTAAGGAGTACACCTTGTATCCATGGGGAATATGCCTCTGGATGAAAACACGGCTGTTAAAAGTAGCCCTCGTTTTTCAAAACAGAACCTACTATGACTGCGTCATTTCAAAAACAGCAGCTAGAAATCTAATTACTCTGTACTATTAGACACACAATACACACACACTTTCCTGCTCAGCTGCACAGCATGGCAGCTTGCTGAAAACCAAGGATTGTAAAACTAAGTAAGTTTTACTTAGAGTAGACCCATTGAGATTAGTAAACACAGCAAAGTTAGGTCCATAATTTGAGTGGGTCTACTCTCAGTAAAACTTACTTGGAATACCACCCTAAATAAAGGGAGACTATGCAGTATATTCTTATGGGTTTGTGAGTGTTAAGATATTTGTAAATTCCTGCAAGCAGTAAGTGATAGAATTTAATCACGGTTCAGTGTGTTAAAACTCTGGGTGTCAGACCTGTGTGCATTAGGCTGTGTGCTGGACATGTCTAATCCTATAATTAAGCCAAGTGTTAAAAGCTAATTAAGCTAGGCGAAGCTTCTTGTGTTGAAGTGATAGCCTAGGGATGGGCTATTAACAACAAATGATCAAGGGACTCTGTCTGAGATGGCAAATGGATGGGCCTCCTCTCTCCCTCAAAGCCAAAGCTTAGAGAGGTTAGAAGGAGGTGTTATGTGACTGGGTGACACAAAGCAGCAAGCAGAGCACAATGTTGGATCTCTCGTTGGATCCTAGGCTACATCTATGGAGGAAGCAAGACGCTCTTGGAGTGCTAATGCTATGAACCCCTCCATCGTAGGTTCAGGCAGTATATATGTGTACATAAGCCATATATCATAAAGACACCACTGTCTCTGCTATGCCTCGTTTCCAAAAGGAAACAGGGATCCTGGGCAAGTGTGCCTGGAACTCCTGGAATCTCATATCACTGTGGCAACAATATATTGAGAGAGGTGCGTGCAACATGGATGAAATATAACACACATGCATCCCGATGGAGTTTTACAATAAATGTCTAGTTGTCAAAGTCAAGTATTGGGCTTCAGTTACATTTTTTAACAGTTTGCTTAGAGCTGCCATACATCCGGATTTCCCCAGATATTACTGGGATTTCAAAGGCAGAATTGATATCCATGGGGAATTCCTGAAAGGCAGCGCTTCGTCCTGGATCTCAGGCAAGTTAAGTGAAAAACTGTGTGTTGTTTGGCATTTTTGAAAAGAAAAAAAAACACATTTGGAGGTTTGTCTAAAAGAATCTGAACAACTTGGGGGTTTTCCTTTAAAAAGTTCAAAAGTTTTGGTGATTTCCTTAAAAAAAAAAAGAAGCTCAACAGGACATGAGTACAAGCTCCTGGTTTTTACTTTTTGAACTATGGCAACCCTAGGATTGTTTATTTAACATATTTGATGAGCTACTGTAGGTCTTGTCCTAGGAAACTACAAGAGGTAGTTGAATCAATGGTAGGAATAAAGAGCTGGATTCAGGGAACATCAAAATAAGCAAGTAACCAGTCAGGGAGCCAAAGCACCATCAGGGTATGGCTTTTAGCATAAGCTATGTATTTATATTTTGGAATTTGTATTCTAGACCACTGCAACTTTCTCCTAGTGGGCTTTTACATCTGCTGTATCTCTGCTCTGCTGTTGAATCAGAACGTTACAGCTACAGTCAGCTGTCCTCTTCACCCCTGTTTACAAATTTCACCTCTATATATTCCAGCGCTTGTGATACAAGTCACTTTCTCATGGCAAAATATCCAGGCCTGGACACGTAAAATTAATGTTAGTGCTGTCTTACATGGACTGCTGCACAGTTGCAATCCTCATTTGTCATTCATTTCATGCACAGAAGCAAGTGAGAGGATGAGCTTCGCTGGGAATTTAAAATGATCGTAGGCAAATAGTCCTGAAACCTAATCTGACAGGACTAGGTTGTCCACACATCTTTCATTCTGCTTCTTCCTCTGCAGGAGTCAAGAATCCTTTAAGATTAGTGTGCCACTTGTAAACAATGAAAGCTTCGTACATTTCGGTCTGTATGTTAGCAATAGCTGTGAGAAGAGGTGAAGGTAGTTTGACAGACCCTCTGTTGCCCTGGATGTATTTTCTACTCTAAAAACAAAGTTTCCTTATTTCAGATCAGATTATTTCCTTCCCTAGCCTGGGATGGGGAATCCTTTCGGCTCCACAAACAAGATTCTTATCAGGACCAGCCTTGTGGCCACGTTTGGCAGGTGCGCTGGGCTGGGTGAGGATTTGGCAGGTGGGCTGGGTGCAAACCTGGGAGGGCAGGCACAAAAATCATGCCTTTCCACTCTGAATTGGAGTAGCTAGGAACCTGCCCACCAGTCTGTGCACTCCCTTTTAGACTTTCAAGTCCATAGTATCTCCCAGTATAGCTCCTTGCCAAGGGTGTAAGGGATGGAGGGGAGGGTCACAATACAACTCCTTCTCAGGGGCGCAAGGGAGCCTAGTACACCTCTACACATGCACAAAAATACATTGATGCATTTTCCTCTACCCTGTTGCATTTGTATTTTTGCAGATTAATATACAAAGCTGGAGAGCAAAGGAACTTGTTATAGAAAGCAATAAGGCACCAATATTTCTCTGAAATTGCCAGTGGTTTCTTGCTCTTTATGAGAATGGCAGGCTTTAATTTAGCTTGTACACAATGGCTCCAAATTACCAAAAGTACTAGTACAAAAGAAAATGGCTGAAAGAAAGGAAAGAATAATTTAAAATATATAACCATTAATAAAACATTGTATCTGAGTTGAATAACTCATAAATATAAAGCAGCTTTTTTTGGAATAGCGAGTGAAGTGCACTGAACTCAAAGGGTTTCAGAACTGCAGTCTTTGCTTTCACAGATGAAAGGCTTCCTGAGGATATGACAGTATCTGCAGTGTTACAAAGGATGTTCATTTAAAATCGATTTGATGCTGGCTCATATCTAAAGGCAGACCACAACAGAGTTGGCACAATGCTGTCTGCAGCAGGATGTAGAGTCAACAGAACTTGAGATTTAACCTTGCATGTCTATAGTTAGAGCACGAAGTCCTAGCTTATTCGAGAATGCTGGCTAAATCAGCATTACTGAATTTTCAGGTGCACAGAGGTACCCTTTTTGGTATATTTGTATGTTGGCAAGGTTAGTTTTCATTACTGTGTTAGGTGTGCTTCATTTTCAAGTGGACCCGCAGAAAATACCCGTATAATTTCCTCAAAACAGAAATGGTTCTAACGCTGTTAACAATTCCACATGTTTTGTGTATTTTAGTGCCTATCAACTGTTGTCAAATTCAGCCAGGAAATTCTCAGCTGGGCAGAGCAGCAATGACATTACTACTAACTGTTCCCGCTGACTAGAGCTCAAGTAATCGCTGGGCACCACAGAGAGCTCCATAAGCTGAAACATCAAGGATGGCAACTAAAGTGCAGGTAGAGAAATAATTGGGCAAAAATAACTAAGCAGGTCTAGATTCCGCTTTTGAGCATACTGAGCAGTCATGGTGGTGTGATCAATGAAATGATTACGGTTCTTCACTGTTGCATCAATGAAATGTTGGTCATTGGAGCTTTTCTGGGTAATTCTGAGTCTGAATACTACAGGTGAGTCCTTTAAAAGAGGCCCCATGGATACAGAGTACACATGGGGCCTCTTTTAAAAGACTCACCCTGTATTTGCTGGGGGTTGAAGCTGGGAGAGTACTATTGCACCCATGTCCTGCATCTGGTTGTCCACTGTGAGAAGAGAATGCTGGATTAGATGGGCTTTTGTCCAGAAGGGCTCTTCATAGGTTCTTATGGACTACTCAGTTGAGTGATTACTCAGTGATCTGTTGTGACATGTTAACAAAACACTTTGTGAATAAAATTTATTGCATCCTGCTTTGAACGGCCTGCTGGTTGCAGAGCAGTTTAGTGAAGTGTCATGGGCCTTGTATGAGCACAATTGCTTCAATATGTTTTGTTTGCTATGGACACATTCCAGAAGGTATTAGGTTGATGACCTACACTCTAAAACTTTGTCCATCATGCCTAATTATAGAGAAGGGCCAGCTCTGGTAATAGGCTTCTCTGTGAAGACCCTTTGGCTTCTCAGTTCTTCCCAACTTCCTAATTCTCCAGCGTCTTTTGTAGCACCCAGTTCCTCCAACCTTAGGTCTTGAGTTCTGCTTTTCCTCTGTGCCAAACTCATCTTCCAATTTCCTTAAACACAGTTACAAAGTTTTGCAACTGACCTTTGTTTTACGGAGGGGAGAAATAAATGGATATTTGGAAGTTGCAATGAAATAAAGTTTCATATTCGACAGTAAGTTGGTTGTCATTCAACTGTATTTCATGTCTGACAGTGTTTGATAGACAACATGCAATGATAATTAGTAGTTGACGGCTTCATGAGATTCTGCATGTTTTGATTTTAACAGGTTTCAGTCAGGAAAATCTGTTAAGGCTAAAAGCATTTTGATTCAAATTGCTGAGGTAAGTGTTTCACATTCAAAAATGAATCTGGATTCTCCATTCAAAATCTGGATAGATATATTGGAAAGTTCATTTTTTTAAATCCTAAAATTATTTTTAATGTTTGGTTCGGACCTAATTTTAACAGTTGATATATTTGAGGAGCTGCCTTTATTTGAGCTGGACTTAGGGTCTACAATCCAGTACTGCTTACCCTAACTGGCAGTATCCTTTAAAGGGCTGAGCTACTTCAGCTGGAGAAACTAGTCATGAACCTGGGACCTTATGCACTACCACAAAAATTTGCCTCCTCCCTGCTCTAGTGTATAGTTAGCACAAAAAACTATTTGTCTGTTTCATATTTTTTTTAAAGCAAGCTGTGTGTGTTTAAAGCATTCATATGATATAGGTGACCCAACTCTATGATTCTATTACAGTTCAGGAAAAACAAATTAAGACTACATACTTTGCAATGTTTATGTGCTAATCGTCCATACTAATATTTACGTCCATACTTCATTATAGAATAAAAGCAAAGGCAAAACAAATCAAAATTGACTGCTGACAATAAATTAATGACCAGAGCACTCAATATTTCATGAAACAAACACTGCCAAAAGTTCAATTTCTGAATGGACACTGAATAATTGCCCAATTTTTCTCATGAATTTAAAACCACTGGAAGAAGGCAGAGTTCTAGGAACCCTACTTCGGTTCCCCAAGTTGATGAATGTGAGTTCTCCTTTTATAGTTTACTTCATTCATCAGTTTTTGAAAGGGGTTCTTAATAGACACAAACAACAGAAAAATAAAAGCCCTTCTACTATTATTTAAACTTTGTCCTAAAGGTAAACTTTTGAGTAATGTTTTTATGGGGGATGGCATGTACTGTTTTCCTATACATTTGCTAAAGGACATGAAATAATCATCCAGAGCCTTATAAAAAGTGGTTAGAAGAAGAAAGTGTGGTTCATTTAATATAGATAGGCTTTGTTTAAAAAGGTAAAGGTACCCCTGACCATTAGGTCCAGTTGTGACCAATTCTGGGGTTGCAGCGCTCATCTCGCTTTATTGGCCGAGGGAGCCGGTGTACAGCTTCCAGGTCATGTGGCCAGCATGACTAAGCCACTTCTGGCAAACCAGAGCAGCGCACGGAAACGCCATTTACCTTCCCGCCAGAGCGGTACCTATTTATCTACTTGCACTTTGACATGCTTTCGAACTGCTAGGTTGGCAGGAGCAGGGACCGAGCAACGGGAGCTCACCCTACCACGGGGATTCGAACCGCCGACCTTCTGATCTGCAAATCCTAGGCTCTGTGGTTTAACCCACAGCACTTTGTTTATTTCCACATAAAAGCTCAATGCACCTAACACAGCATTGTGACTGGGGCTTATTTTACCCTAGAATATCTCGTTATATGAATTGTTATATGAATCCCAGGGTCAATCATCATCCTGGATCATATCTACTGTAGAAAATTATGTCCCACAAATCATTTTAACTAGGGTTCAGGGAGGGTGACATGCTAATCCATTCCTGCCAGCTGTGCGATACATCTAGAAAAGTTCATTGTGTGGAATTACCTGCCAAGGAGACTCCTGGATATTCTATAACCTGGTTGTTCAACTTGGGAGTCAGGTGCACTAGCAGAAAATGAGGCAAAGGGAAGTGGCAGAACATGGGAATGAGAATAATTCTTTCGGACATAAAATACATGCACATAAGCATGATGAGCTACAGGGAACTGGGGTATGCAGCCAAACTTCACCTCCTGCCTGTCAGCTGTCACCCACCCATTGGAAGAAAGTCAGTTGATTGACAGTGGGCGTGGTTTTTTGGGGTGTGTGCCCTCAAGGGCTAAACTGAGACTCCTGGTGGGCCAGGACTGGCCCGTGGGATGTTGGTTCCCAATCGCCTAAGCCACAGTGGGGGCTCTGGGGTCCAAGAACCACCCTAAGTCAGGTCTTTCAGAGCCTGCACTCCTGATGAACCAATCACCTCCACATGGACACATAGGCTGATCTACCAATGTATGTGGTAACACATCTTGAGGGAACTTCTAGGCTCCAAGCCATGTCTGCCCTGGTAGAACAAAAACCTTAAATCCTCTCTTTGTTGGAGCCACTTGCTCACTTTTAGCACTCCCAGGGGCTGCAACTACCAGCATGCCTTGTTCCACCATACTGCATTGGTTCCTTGGTTTAAGGTCAGACAAAAACACCCAGCAAACTTCATGTTGAGTGAGAATTTGAACTTCTGCCTCCTCAGTCTTAGTCTTGCATCCTAGCTTTTCCTTGTACTGTGACATTTATTCTAACAAAATACAAATTAACCTTTCGTTAACTTTTTCTTACATGGCTACAAACACGAAGTAAAGTCAGTCAGTCAGAAGCCGTCAAGTATCAGTTCAGTAGTCCTGTGTGAGTCATCGTATTTAAACTAGCATATCATGAACAGGATTCTAATGAACTTCATTGAAAGAGCAACAGAAGATCAATTAGTTCTGAAATTCCTCAGTTCTTACAGAATGGAACAGAATATTCTGGCACTTCATGACCTGACATTTGTAGTATAAACAGCCATATAACCAAGGCAATGGAATTAAAATGAGACACAATGCCTCACTTTTTTTCTCTTTAGTTAAATGAAACATAATCTCTGGCAAATTCCCCCACACTCCACACGCACACACACACATTTTGGGGCAATTTGTTTCAAAGTCTTCCTGTAACAGCCTCTTATCCCTCTGGACATTTTTAATTTCATGTGTTTCCAAGTTAATGCTTTTAAAATAGAATTGTACATGCCGAGGCACATGGATAATAAGACTTGAATTCACTGCACAATAAAGGCAAAGGGAGTAGTGGTGGAATATTCCTGAGGTGCAAACCACTGTGGTGATTAAAATAGTTTCTTTAACTTGCAAGGATTTCTCATTCACTTTAGCATCCTGCATGCAGCCAATGTATGTGCAGAGATGATGCTGACGTGACAATGAATGAGGAAGCATGTCATGACCCTTTATACAGAAACAGACTTGGAAAAACTCTTATAGATGAGGAGAAACTTGAAGAAGCCATGCTGGTGGGAGTGAACACACAGAAGGAACTCATGACAAACTCTTCTTGTTACTGGATAGCACTCCTTGCTTATTCCTTCACCAAAGAGGAGAAATAATAATAATAATATATTTATACCCTGCCCATCTGGCTGGGTTTCCCCAGCCACTCTGGGTGGCTTCCAACAAAAGATTAAAAATAAATTAAAACATCAGTCATTAAAAACTTCCCTAAACAGGGCTGCCTTCAGATGTCTTCTAAAAGTCAGATAGTTGTTTATTCCTTTGACATCTGATGAGAGGGCATTCCACAGGGCGGGCGCCACCACTGAGAAGGCCCTCTGCCTGATCCCCTGTAATTTCGCTTCTCGCAGTGAGGGAACCACCAGCAGGCCCTCGGCGCGGGACCTCAATGTCTGGGCAGAACGAAGGGGATGTAGATGCTCCTTCAGGTATCAATAAAGGACATCTCACCCCCTATTTATGAATTCCCAGGTGTTTCTTCTGGCGTCCTCAGGTGCATCCTCTACAGCCCCCATCCTATCTTCAATCCCAAGGCCAGCTCTTCACACCTCTTGCCACTACAGTGTGTGGTCTGGGCTGATATTGCTTTGATGGCGAGGTGACCATTTAAAGAGAGCTTGGCTTGAGCCATGGCTCCCTTTAGCAGTATTTCAGAGCACAGTAGCCCCCAATAATCTCTGAGCTGGAGAAACAATTAAAGCTCTTTTCAGATTTAGCCCTGCACTGTGCTCTCCTGTCCTCTGCCCAAGAACATCATGCCTCACCTATAATTCTGACCACTGAACTGGTGTTTACTCAGATCCTACTTTCTACTGCAGACGCCTCAGTGTGACTCCTTCCTAGGTGAGACTAAACTGAAGGTACTCTCCACTGCAGCAGCAGCTCCTCCATGGGCACTTTAAAATGTCATGCTTTTGTTGAAAGTTGTAGTTTACAGCCACAGAAGAAATCTGGTTGTTTCCTGCATCTTTCCTTTGTGTTTGATTATGTGACTCATTCAACTGGGTGGCAGCAGCCTTCATCCACTTTCTGATTGAGTTTAAGATTTGTACACACACCAATCTACTCTACAAATATCTGAGAAGGCCAACACTGTTTGAAAGATCCCTCCAACTCCAAGCTGAAATCGGTATGGGGATGAAGCAGAGCCTTCCTAGTTATTGCCCCAATCATTTAGAAGATAACATAGAACCTGATACTTATATTACTAGGCAATATGATAGCTGCTAAAAAAACCCCATTTGCTCATGGTTTGGAGCAGCAGTAGAGTGCAGTGGATCTGTTTAAATATGATGACTCACACAGGACTACTGAACTGATACTTGATGGTTTCTGACTTCCTTTACTTCATGTTTGTAGCAATGTATCAAAAAGTTGGCAAAAGGTTAATTTGTATTTTGTTAGAATAAATGTCACAGAATAAGGAAAAGCTGCTCACCTGACCTCCTTCCAGCTGTGTTGCTGCTGCATACTGGGAAGGAAAGGGGAAGGGGAGGCAGCAGAGAGGTCAGCGCAGTGCAAACACATTGGAAATAGTGCATGTGTTACCCTTATGTTATTGCTGCATTGCCTGCCCCCCTCCAGAAGCAATGGAGCTAGAGGGAGGTCAGGTGAGCAAAGCAGCCCCAATGTGCTGGATTAGTTTCCGCAATGCAATGATCTGCTCCAAGCTTAACCCAACCCTCTGGAGCAGATTTTGAGGGTGCACAGTGGGCTGCAAGAAGGACAGAGGGAGGTGATGTCCTGTTGCACAAGCAGAAGTCTGTTTCACTCATGCACAGAGAGCATTGGATCACAACCCAATGAATGCAAGGTCCTGGCCTGCAGATTGCTTGGATTGTATAATTACTTCTCAAGCCCACACTGGCGATGGCTCAGGTATGAACACAGGCTAAGCTTTCAGTTTGGGATGAAGCAATCTTTAACTGCGTCACCACATGCCCAGCCACTCATCATGAGCAAAATGAATCATGTGGATTTTAAAACATTGTCCATCAAATGGTAACCAGGGAAGTTGGTGTGCAGAATGCTATCTGGCCTCACATTCTTCATCTGAATACAAAGCTCAATGCTGCCCTTGAACATCTGCTGTTATTTTGTTAACTCTCTATACAGTAAGAAACATACACCCCAAACTGCCTAAATATAAAAGCAATATACTAAAGATGCTTTACCAGAACAAACGGATAGCTATTGGCACACAGAATATTGACACAGAAAGTGTCGCTGTCAAAGCTGCCTCCTCATTCTTGATATAAATGACCAAGAGTGAAAATAAATAGGTTTCACAGAAAGTGAGCTGTCATAACAATCATTCAGGTATGCAGCATGAAAGATGACGCTGTCGCAAGATCACTTTTGCCTCAAAGATGCCGCTGATTTAGACAGGTAAGCAGAAAACCAACCCAAGAACCGTAGGCAAGAGCTGTCACACCTATATGTATACTGATTACATAAATTGCTCCAGGTAAGTAAAAGATTATTCTGCAAGAGTAGTAATGCTTACAGCAACTGCCTCCAGGATTTGTTTGACAGCATCAGCAGCATCTCGTTCACTGTAATATCCTTTTTCCACAATCCTATAAAGAAACAGAAGATTTATTTATTCATAATAAATTTGTATACTGCCCTTAGCATAAACATACAAACCATACAAAACACAGCATAAACATACAAAACACATAATAAAAGCAAGAACAAAAATGAAACACACCCATAACCCCTCCCCGCAACACATTTAAAATGACAAAGATTGCAAATCAGCCCAAGGCCTGGCTGAAGAGGAATGTTTTCACTTGGCACGAAATTTCACTTCAGACTCAACGGTTACAAGGAAAGCACAGTCCTAGGTAAATGTGCTATTAAAAATTAATCACACAGTAATCAGAGCAGACACATCTTATAGCCTAGGAAGTCTCCTGCAGAATAAAAAAAGCCACTTGCTCATGGCTAAAAATAGATTTACCAAGTACCGGTATACAGCAACTCTGATTCTCAGCTAATAACAAAAAGATTGTTTTTCAAGACATCAGCTTAGGTGCTATGGGAATGAAATGAATTTGTGCTAATAAATGCAGTATCCTTAAAAGGCTACCATAAAAAAAAAAAATGTTCATACTTATGAACTCCAGAATTAAAGGGCAGATACACAAACTCCATACTCTTAGTCAGGAATAAGCCCTTCTGAGTCCAATGCTATTTATTTCTGACAGTGTAAAGGACTAAAGTCAGGGCTTGCAAGCTTAACCAAGCTATAATGAAATAAAAGTGATATATAGGAAAAGGCAGGAATAGGTAAGGCCATAATATGCCTTCTATTTTGTGTGTATATACACTAGTTTCATTCATTCTGTGATACAGCTTTCAGGTCTAAGTGCTGTTCTGTAGTGCCTTATTTTTACAGAATGGGAATCTCAGTGTTGCCATTGATAACTACTGAAAAGCTGGGCCACACAGTTGGCTTCCCAAACAAGGAAACCATGAACCAGGCTCTATGGATATACCTTAAATTATTCCCATGGTTGTGTTGGCTGGACATGCATATGGCTGAGAGATTGGCCATACTCCTGGCATGTAGGTAGTAACAGTGATTTTATGATTTAGCCTTAAGTAAACCATCTAGCCCTAGGGCAGGTGAGGCAACTGCAGCCTAAGGCTAACAAAGCATCAGGGTTTCCTAGAGGTTGTACAGGGTGCTACTTGCATTCATAACTTTTTAGGAGCTTGATTGCACTGCAACTGCTAAAAGCTGCAGCATAGGACCAATATTCACATTGTCATAGCTCCATTGCACAGAAGATCATTTTAGAGCAGGGATAGGCAACCTAAGGCCCGGGGGCCGGATGCGGCCCAATCGCCTTCTCAATCCGGCCTGCAAACAGTCAGGGAATCTGTGTGTTTTTACATGAGTAGTTATTTGTGGGACATAGGAATTCGTTCATTATTATTCTTCAAAATATAGTCCGGCCCACCAAATGGTCTGAGGGACGGTGGAGCGGCCCACAGCTGAAAAAGGTTGCTGACCCCTGTTTTAGAGGAATAATCCTCATACCTTTTACTCTGTGGCAGTTGCAGTGAAATCAATGGATCTACTCCAGAATAAATGATTTGAAGACTGCAGAAATAATCTGTTGTCTCCTGTACAGAAGCAGCATTTTGTTTTCAGGCTGTTCACTGACTGAAGGCTCCGTGAACTAAAATGTGATCACAGCACAGCTCCTTAGAAAAGAAGATTGCTTCCATGCTATAGTAATAACCACAGTACAATGAAAATAATACAGCAAAATAACCTTGAACAATCAATTATTGCAAAGTGCTTCTGAGTTGGAAATAGAAAGAAAGAAAGTTGGTATATTTTGAGGCGCTGAGGCATTCGACAGCCAACCTTTCCCACAGACTCACTTTTATTACTCTATTGATCCAAAAGAGAGAGAAAAAGATTAATCTAGCTCAGCTCAGGGGGGGAAATTACCACAGAAACATTGTTTTGTACAGGGTTCCCAGCTTTAAATTTAAGAAATATTAGCCACCTGAGTCCATGGGGAGAATCAGAGGAGGCCAGAAATGGCGCTTGGCAGGTCAAGGGTATGAGGTAAAATATCGTTGCCTGGGCTTTCTCTGATATTTACTGGGTTTTTTAAGATATTGATTCTAGTTACTTCCCAGAACATTGTTTTACTAATAATAATGGATAGTTTGGCAATGCTGCTTCAAGAGTTCATTAGACAACTGAGACACATGTGAGTATACGGGACACAGAAAAAGTATACTATCTTGTCAGAGGCTACACACACACACACACACCACACACAAAAGAACACGTCTAGATCATTTATCAGTGCTCTCACCTTCAATTGTCAGCTCATGCTTTTCAAAGTGCTAAATTATCTGATTTATTGATGTCAAAAAATATCTCGACAATGCAAAAGTTTATGCTATTACTCATCCCCTATTCCTCAGTTTTAATGAACTAAGAAGGCAAATATAACTTCTCTGTATGTTCAGCAAGGGTTCTACCTCTTCTTCCATTGAGACATGCCCAATGCAACCCCCCCCAAAAAAACCCCAAAACTTATTTCTTTCTGCTCATATGAGGACCTGATAATTATCACTTTGCCTTTTAACTGCCCACACTCAGAATAATTTTTCATGGGGAAGCAGACAATTCAGTGGGTTGCATCCAGTGGTGGCTTTGCCTCACACAAGTCAGGGCATTCGATTTTTGCCAATCTGCCATGCCCTCTTAAGTCCCCCAATCACCCTGGAAACTGGTTCTGAGAACTAGTGGGACACCCCCACAAAAAATAAACACATAATGGGATATGGCTCAGAGAGCTGCAATAGGTAAAAGGGAAAGCACGATGTCACAACATGCATGAAACATTTCCACTAAGGCAAAATCACATTTGGATTCAATGCAGCATTTTAGATTGCTAAATGACTGGTCCAAAATCACTTAGGACTCAGCTACATTAGTAAAGAAAAACCATTTTATATGCGTTATAACACTATGACACCAGATGGCGCTGTGGAGTCCCATCTTCGTCAACGTGATTTTCCTTTATAAAGCTTACAACGCGTTTAACTGAAAGCTTCTTTGATGTGTCTAGATCCAGCCTGGGTTATATGAACTTTTTTAAAAAAACTGATTTCCCAGGGACAGAAATCAAACATTACGTTTCTGGATCAAATTTTAATAATAAAATACATTATGTTTTGACAGCTATGCGAATCACCATGGAACACACTGAATGACAGCTTTTGCTTTCTTTAAACGTTTGCAGCTTCCATAGTATTTCAAAATTCCATAGAGGCATCATCTAGAGCTGTGGAGTTTGTTGTCATCAATACGCCTAGGACACTAAATTTATATTTAATTAATTTAACATCCAGAACAGCTATCTCAGCTTGGAACCAACGTCTGGAAGCAATGGATGTGGTAAGAAGCAAGGAAAAAAGAAAACCCCAGGTGTTTAATCCAGAGAAGATGGAGGTGATACTGGTGGATAACTTCAAGGATCTTGAAGGACTTGTTAGGAGAGATGGTAAAAAAGGTAAAGGTTAAGGACCCCTGGAAAGTTAAGTCCAGTCAAAGGTGACTATGGCGTTGCAACGCTCATCTCGCTTTCAGGCTGAGGGAGCCAGCGTTTGTTCATAGACAGCTTTCCGGGTCATGTGGCCAGCATGACTAAACTGCTTCAGCACAATGGGACAAGTGCCAGAGCGTACAGAAATGCTGTTTACCTTCCTGCCACAGTGGTACCTATTTATCTACTCGCACTGGCATGCTTTCAAAACTGCTAGGTTGGCAGGAGCTGCGACAGAGTAAAGGGAGCTCACCCCGTCGCAGGGATTCGAACCGCTGGCCTTCTGATTGGCAAGCCCAAGAGGCTCAGTGGTTTAGACCACAGTGCCACCACCATCCCTAGGAGAGATAGCATCCCATATCAGAAACACTGGGGGATGGGGAAACACAAACTCTTGAGAGTCTCATGGACTGCAAGAAGATCAAACCTATCCATTCTTAAGGAAATCAGCCCTGAGTGCTCACTGGAAGGACAGATCCTGAAGCTGAGGCTCCAATACTTTGGCCACCTCATGAGAAGAGAAGACTCCCTGGAAAAGACCCTGATGTTGGGAAAGCAGAAGGAGACAACAGAGGATGATATGGTTGGACAGTGTTCTCGAAGCTACCAACTTGAGTTTGACTAAACTACGGGAAGCAGTGGAAGACAGGAGTGCCTGGCGTGATCTAGTCCATGGGGTCACGAAGAGTTGGACATGACTAAACAACTAAACAACAAATGTGAAGAATTCGCCACTTCACTGAATAAATATTTCTTCTACTCTCCTATTTTAAATCGCTTATATTGTTTCATTTTTCTAAAGTTGTATAATAGCTAGATGATTGTTTAAAGCAGAGACTGATGCACAGAGACTGATGCTTTAAAATTACAGGTATCTTGGGATTTTTTTTTCCTTTTGCGGACTGAAACTGTTGAAAAGTTTGTAAAATATTTAAAACAAAATGGGATCTCTTTATTCCGCTAAGAAATCTGACAGCATATGGAAGGCTTTCCCCAGTGCCTGCCATCAGCATTGATGCAGTTCCAGTTTCTTGTTGCCAAGGTATCTTTAGATAGTTACAAAGTGATGTGTCTTTGAAAATGAATCCAGGGTGCTAGTTTTGCACTTACTTCAGAATTTTTAGCAAATGTCATCTAGCTAGCCTTGTAAGAGATCATATTCTGACTTGTCTAGCTGTCATGAAGGAACTGTGCTTGGCAATGGTGCTTTCTCAACAGCATGACGCTGTCTCAGGATCCGGCCATATAGCACAGACGAACATGAACTTATGTTGCAGTTATATAACCCCAAAGGCCTGGAAACAGTGTTATGTTTTCTGTATACCTCACCGTCATCATGTGCATAGCAGTTTACAGCAGAGATGGGGTACCTCTGTCAGCCCTAGACTGGCGTTGCTTACCAGACATACAACCACTACCACCCCAGCCCTTCAGACTGAAATGTCTGCAAAAATGCACTCAAGCTTTGTCTCTGGACTTCACTGATTGCCCTTTCTGCCTTATTCAGCATGTTTTCCTGCTCAATATTCTTGATTAGAAACTGTTCAGTGCGGGCCTTGAAAACAGATCTTTTTATTTTATTTTTAATTCAGTTTATGGCTCCACACTTAAGAAACAGCCTGTCATTCCTCTGCACCCTTCACAACTCCTTCCTGCCCCAGTTTATTAATTTATTTGGGGTGGGGAGTGGAGAGTCAGCTGCAGACTATGCCAAGATCATTCCAGGACCATTCGGAAGGAGGGTGTTTAAGGAAGGGTGGTCCAAAATCATGCTTCTTCGCAGGCTGTGTTTATTTACAAACTTTGCAAGAGACTCAACTGGTTTTGAACATTCTGAAATCTTCTTCTTCTTCCCCCGCCTTTTATCCTGACAGGAACTAAACATGTGCTTTCGTTAACAATGCAGACAAGCAGTGGGATGTCTGAGTTAGACAATTCTTCACCAATTGACCGATGTCCGCCTTGACTCCTACAGCAGCAGTAGCCTGCCTTTGGCTGCGGCCACCGTCTTCACCAGCCTGATTGTGCTGCCCCGGGTGAGGAGCTGGAGGGCCACAAAAACAGCTGCAAGGGCCACATGTGGCCCACGGGATGCATGTCAGACCACCCTGGCCCAGGTGAAAGCCATATGAAAGAATCCATGTAATGTGCTCTCTAAAGCCAATCACCCATAGGAACCTGCATTAGGAAATTCTCAAAGTTTGCAGATATAAGCAAATAAGAAAAACAGGGCATCCTTGGTTAAATAATGTTTAGCACAGAAAAATGGACCTAATTACTATCTATCTTACCTCTAGGATCACGCAGCACTGCCGTCTGAAGGAGAAACGCAAGAATGGGAAAGGTTCAAAGTGGTCTGATTTTTACAACTCATTATGATGATACAAATCTTGATGATTGGTTATTTTATCCTCCACTTCCTTATCCTATTAAATGCCCATCTGTTTCTTGTATACTTTTGCCTCACCTGCAGATCTGACCACATGCATTCGCTGGCAATTTGCCCGCATTCGCCTTCTGAAACTCTCACTGTTCATTACTCCCTTCTGCTCTGTTGAACTTCTATAAATAATAAACCTGTTTGACATACTGATGTGACCAGAGTGTTCATGATACACACTGTTTACTTTTGTCAGGGTATTGGAGCATATGAGGTATGAAACTTCTCCTTTGTGATCCATATTTGTGGTATAAAATGTTGTCTTTGAAAGGCTGCCTGGGTGAGAATATTCCTGTGTGTATGTATGCATGTATGTATGGCATTTGTATGTATGTATGTATGTATGTGTGTATGTATGTATGTATGTATGTATGTATCACCCAGTAGTGATGTATGGAAGTGAGAGCTGGACCATAAAGAAGGCTGATCGCCGAAGAATTGATGCTTTTGAATTATGGTGCTGGAGGAGACCTTGAGAGTCCCATGGACTGCAAGAAGATCAAACCTCTCCATTCTGAAGGAAATCAACCCTGCATGCTCACTGGAAGGACAGATCCTGAAGCTGAGGCTCCAGTACTTTGGCCACCTCATGTGAAGAGAAGACTCCCTGGAAAAGACCCTGATGTTGGGAAAGATTGAGGGCACAAGGAGAAGGGGACGACAGAGGATGAGATGGTTGGACAGTGTTCTCAAAGCTACCAGCATGAGTTTGACCAAACTGCGGGAGGCAGTGGAAGACAGAAGTGCCTGGCGTGCTCTGGTCCAGGGGGTCACGAAGAGTCGGACCCGAGTAAACGACTAAACAACAACAACATGGCATTTTTATCTCAGCTTTTATCCAAGGAACTCAAGGCAGCACACATTGTTCCTCACACCCTATTCTATACCCTTAACAACTCTGTGAGATAGGTTAGGCTGAGAGAGAATGATTGTCCCCAGGTCACTCGGCATCATGGCAGAGTTGGAATTTCAACCCAGGTCTCAGAGATGCTTAGGACACAGGAATAAGCATCCCTTCCTGTTTCCTCTGTAAGACCTTCTAACAACGGCACCACACCAGAGAGAGAATGGGTCATTCTGCAAACTTAAAAGGAGGCTTTGCTTTTGCTCCCCAGGGTAATACTGGAGCATTCGGAGAACACAAATGCTGCTGAATGAGTGTTTTTGTGTTGCTGAGTCTGTCCAGTGGCTGTGGGGGATGGTAGATGCACGTACACAGTTCTGCTGTGTGTATGTCTGCCTGCGTATATCTGTGCATGCAGGAGCGTGGGGTGGCTGCACTTATTTTTGGCAACATATGGCGCTGGCATGCAGCCCCTGAAAGATCAGCTGGTAGAGCATGAGACTATGAATCTCAGGGTCGTGGGTTCGAGCCCTACTTTGGGCAAAAGATTGCTGCATTGCAGGGGGTTGGACTAGATGATCCTCGTGGTCCGTTTCAACTCTATGATTCTATTATTTCTATGACTGGCCAATGGTGAATGCAGCCCTCAGGCCCTCTGCCCTGCAACGCTAGTCATTCCTGATAAATATTGGTACATAAAACGTGGTTTAGTGTTACATCTGAACCCAGCAGAGTGCCTTAACTATAGTTTAACTTTTAAAGCCATGATTTGTTGTTGGCTCAGTGACCTTAACTATGACCAAGTGTTATGTGTAAACATGAGCAACTCCCTAACTACAGTGGTACCTCGGGTTAAGAACTTAATTCATTCAGGAGGTCTGTTGTTAACCTGAAACTGTTCTTAACCCGAGGTACCACTTTAGCTAATGGGGCCTCGCGCCTCCGCCCCGTGATTTCTGTTCTCATCCTGAAGCAAAGTTCTTAACCCGAGGTACTATTTCTGGGTTAACGGAATCTGTAACCTGAAGCGTCTGTAACCTGAAGCGTCTGTAACCTGAGGTACCACTGTATATAGTTTATGTGACCCTTGTAATGTCACCCTTCCCAAATTGTCCACCAAGAAACAGACACCAAACAAGAGTAGCTGAAAAATGAATCCGCTTTTAGTGCTCAGTTCCTCTCATTGGCACTTTTCTTGTAGTTGACACTGCTGCCAACTTTGCCTGGTAACAGAATCCTTTCCCCTTCTATTCAAAGTTGCAGCTCAAGCTAGATTTGAAAACTTAAAGGAAACACTGATGAATTTTTGCTTTGCAAATGTTTCCACTGTTGGGCGCTGGAGTGGTTTTGGTTAGTGAGTGGAATGATTTCTGGGAATGTGTCTCCTTTCAATTTGGGCAGCTTTTGAAGGAAAAAACTCATTATGCATGAGTTCGGAACGAGATTCTGTTCCTGACAGTCATTACAATTAACATATGAAACTACTTAAGTGTGCATTAGTCAAATCAGTCTTTCAATACCCACCAGGCAAAAGAAGAGCGTAGAGAGGGGTCCAATGTAAGGAATGCTTACTTAAACCATGCAATAAAAGGCATGGTTGCAGAGGAAAGGAGTACACTTTAAGAAACAACAAGCTGCAAAATAGTGTGGGTGTTTCTTTCCTGGCAGAATGGAAAGAGGGAGCAGTTGTTTGATGAAAAGCTCTCACTCTCACAGCCGACCAGTGGAAAGGGAAATGGTGGCATGGTGAGGCAATGCCAGTAACTAGGTGCTGCAAACATTTAAGTGATGTCAGAAGGAGGGGCAGAAGAGAGTTAGAAGCCAAATGGGATAAAAGGGTGAAACAAACCAGAATTACTTCGATAATTTGCAGTTCATCCTTTGGTTTAAACAAGCTTCGTTGACTTGTTTAAATAAACCACTGTTTAAGAATGGTTTAATGTGATAATAATAATAATAATTTATTATTTATACCCTGCCCATCTGGCTGGGCTTCCCCAGCCACTCAGGGCGGCTTCCAACAAAATATTAAAATACAGTACGTCAAACATTAAAAGCTTCCCTAAACAGGGCTGCCTTCAGATGTCTTCTAAAAGTCTGGTAGTTGTTGTTCTCTTTGACATCTGGTGGGAGGGCGTTCCACAGGGCGGGTGCCACTACCAAGAAGGCCCTCTGCCTGGTTCCGTGTAGCTTTGCCTCTTGCAGCGAGGGAACCGCCAGAAGGCCCTCAGAGCTGGACCTCAGTGTCCGGGCAGAACGATGGGGGTGGAGACGCTCCTTCAGGTATACTGGACCGAGGCCATTTAGGGCTTTAAAGGTCAGCACTAACACTTTGAATTGTGCTCGGAAACGTGATGTGTGAACCACACCATTGCTGTGACAAAAACAGGCTTCAACCTTATTCATATTGACCAGGTACCAGAAATGTCAGCATGTGATGTGTAATGCAGTCACAGTTCTTGCTAAGAAGCCTAGAAGGGAAAACATTAGAAACAGGCTGCTTCCAGTTGCTTCTGCCTGAGGTCATGGCTTCTTTTGTGATTGCAGTACTGGCTATGATGCATTTGTGCCCTGAGGCATTTAAAGTACTGCCTGCAACCTTTCTCTAGCTTAGATCCCCAGATGTTGGTGGACTACAGCTCCCATCATCCCTAGCTAGCAGGACCAGTGGTCAGGGACGATGGGAGTCTACCAACATCTGGAGATCCAGGGTTGAGAAAGGCTGCCTTAGGGGCTTAGCTGAGAAGGGGCCTGAGGCCTGTTCCTCTTACAACCTAACAGGGAGGTCCTTGAGAAAGACATTTACTTTGAAGTCTGCCCTGTGAGCCAGAGGAGAGCAAGATCACAGCAGTTTTCAGGGCAGGACAGTGGAAAACTAGTGCCCATTCAATAGTAACTCTTCATTATAACAACATTCCTGCAAGAGATATAGAATAACTTTCACACATTGCCTACCTGTCAAACAGTTCTCCTCCCGTGACCAGCTCCAAGACAAGGCTGATTTCTGTGGGGGTTTCAAATATCTCCTTCAGTCTTATCTGAGAAAGGCACAAAATAAGGAATTTTTAAACTTCAGAGAAAGTATGTATATATTTTGAAGGTCAACAGCAAGGAAGTTACAGTGAAGGATGAATGTCTCATTTATCCCATTAACTTGGTCTTGGGGTTTGTTTGAACTTATTCTTGTTTTTAATTACTTCTTAAAACCTCTGCTTTTCATTCTGCCTAAAGGTTCCACAATAAAACATCTGTATCGCAAGCAAACAAGCAAAAAAAATTATGTTGTAAAAAATAGCCAACTTACAATATTTGGATGTGAAAGTCGAAGTAGAACGCCTATTTCTGTTCGGACAATCTTCTTGTCTACCTAGTTAAAGGGGGGATTCATAATAAGTTGTTGGTATTCATCTTAGACATTTTTAACTATTACTGTGCAATCCTAAACACATGTCCTAGGAAGTGAGTCCTATTGAAGTCACTGGGACTTATTTGCATGCTAATGTATTTAGGATAAGGCTGCAGGTTAAGAAATAGATATTTGAGCAAATATACCAGCATTCTTAAAGAAATTTCAAAGATTTCAGTGACGTTTCATACGAAATTATGATGGAAATCTGGTCAGTACCCATTGTTTCAGCTGACAGAAAGTTCCACTGAATCAAAAAGTTTTCTATCTGCAGGCAGCACAACCTGCTACAACCACCTGTCTCATTCAGCAAGGCTACTTTTTAAAATCTTGCATTACCATTCAAACATCCTATATATTTACACAATATATTAGAAACACATTATTATTCTGAAAGCTGCCTTGTGCCCAATTACCTTCTGAGCACAGTTCCAATGACATCAGTGTGACTGCAAAAACCAATATAAGAAAATATGCCTTCCTTTCTTGAGTTTAATGTCTACATAAAAAGACAGTATGTTGTTCAAAGACTAGAGGTGTAGCAATAAAACTGCTAGCACATTTGCAAAGCTAAGCAGGGTCCGGCATGGTTTCAAAGTGGATGGAAGACCATGTGTTGAGATTCCTGCATTGCAGGGGGTTTGGGCTAAATGACCCTTAGTGTCCCAACTCTATAATTCTGCGAAGTGGAAGGCAAGAAGTCTCAGGGGGTGGAGGGGATGGTGGAGGGAATCTTGCTAATACCAGTGAGAGGAGAAAATGCTCCAGGCACCGAGGTCAACATCACTGAAACCTATATAATGAAAAGAAATCATAAAAATAAAATTAATAGTAGATGTGATCGGGGCGCAAAGAGGTCTGAAGTCTGAAACAAAGATGATCAGCTGTTTTAGACAGATTTGAGAATATCTCAAGATACTGAGGAGACAAGAGAAGTAAGTTTACACTAAGTCTGAGGGGGGGAAATATGTTCAAGAAACAGAAGCAAGGTGTACATGAAGCAAGACTTCCCTTTGTTTTATTAGGTTAGTAAGCACTCCCTGCTGGCAAATATCTGTGCCCCCAAGCTACTTCTGTGTGAGGCAACAGTGACCCTCTAGTGCCAACATGTCACAGAGGATTCTCTTTTTACAACACTACAAAGTTAATTTTAGAAATGTGCTCAAAGACAGAATTTTATATCACTTGTTTACACATTTGGGAGAGGGGAAAGGTTTCCTCTGTGCTCTGAAAAGACCCAGCAAGCTAGCTGAAACAAGAGGGTAAGGAATAAGTGCCTAGAGGGTAAACAAGAACGGAAGAAAGGAACGGGGGGGGGGGGGGGATCTTACTGTTTTGTAAGCTCCAGTAGTTTTTCTGACTGCCTCTCCACTTAAGATGAATGTTGCATGTTTCAGCAGAACTCATCACTCAGTTTTATAAAATAAAACATTAATTACTCAGTCCTTCAGTGCACTCTGCGCACCCAGCAGATTTTTGTTTTTGTTTGTTTCCAGTTTCCAGTTCATACAATGCTCAGAAATTCCATTTGGCAGTTTCCATCCCTGATTTGCCAGTATGATATCTACACATGTTCATACCACAGAGTAATAGTTGGCATTTATTATTGTCCTACTTTAACGTTTTGAAGTCTCAGGATGGAATTACAAGGTTCCATCTGCAAGCATATTTGCTTGCCAGATGGAACATTCCACTCTCTGTATGTGCTGTTCTGGGGGTTTTCCTGACCCCCTCAGATGCAATTTCAGGGCAGGGGGCATGTTGGGGGGGGGAGGGAAGAAATGAAGAAGTTCCCTTGCACAAGTGGAAACCCTTGCACAAAGCTTCTGCTGGCAGGGTTCATTAGGTGAATCCCGTCCTTAATGTTTGTTCAAAATCGTTACATAGAATTCATGACCAATAGTTGCAGTAAATGCCATCTACCAAGCAACAGCTGCTGCACACATGTTACTTATTTCCTTGCAGAATGAATGCTGCGCATTTAGCTGAATGTGTAGCATAAATACTAGGCAAAATGCACTCTTTACCATTACAACAAACAGGCTGCCGTCCAGGTTCAAGGCGCAATGTTCTTCTTACTGCTCCTCCCTGCTTTGTAGTCAAAGTAATAAGGCTACTGACTGATTAGTAATAATTTATTTACATGAATGGCATTTACCTAAGGCTGCTTTAAACACAAGGCTTCAAATGTGCGACTCAGTGTGTGTACAGACATTGAATTCCTGCGTGAATTAGCCTTTCACTTCCCATGGAGCAGGCAGCCCAACATCAATGAAAAGAATGGAAAAATACTTAGAGAATTTCCTCTGCAAGCAGATCTTTTGCTGCATGGGATTACTAAACTGGGCAGGTATATTTTTGCAGTTCTAGTTTTTCTGAAGCCACTTAATACTCTTCCTATTATCATATATATATATATAAATATCGCAATACCTTTTCTTGAAACAACTTCTTTAGAGTTGCACAGAGCTCTTCAGCAGGCAACATCTGAAATAACATGTTTGTTTACAGATTACTATAACAGCTTTACGCCCAGTTTAGCCTTGGCCCAATGGATACATTGGAGCTCATGGTACAAAAAATAGTATATCCTTATACAGTGCTATTTTTCTAGAAAAAGAGGTGCCGGAACTCACCATGAACGCCTCCCTTGTTCTCTTACAACGGCAATGGCGCCCAGCTGAGAGTTGCCAGAACTGTGTTCTGCCGAGTTCTAGCTGGAAAAAAACATCCCGTCTTCCCTAGGTCTTGCTAAAAATGTATCCAATCTCTAAACTTTGCTCTGAATACATGTGTGAATTAATGTTTGTGAAACATACTACCTATGCTAAAACATCAAAATGTTTTAGCAGCCACTACCATGGCATTAGTGAGCTTTTCATGTCATGACAACAACAGGTAAATGTTTATGAGGATGCTCACTGGTATCTCGCACTGCAGAGTTTCTGTGTCTCAACACTGAAGACCACATTTATTTGATACTTATCATTTGTTATATAATTTATAAATGATAAAGTATGCATCATCATTAAAAGTCCAAATGTTTAGGATAAAACCTTGCGGGGGGTGGGGTGGGCAAACCAATAATCTGGATAAAGTGAAATCCATTCTACTGTTTACAAACCTATTACCAAGCCCTGCTCTGGCACTAGTTTGGTGTTCATAGAAACAAGACTCAGCTGCACATTACCTGGTTTAGTTCCAACAGTCTGGTCAACAGATGGTACAGCGAAATACTGCTGGCTGTTTCTTGCTTTACTAACCTTGAGCTTCAAGATTCAAGCTGTGTTTGGAACCCTACGGAGTGAGTGCAGCTTATATATGAGGGAAGTAGCAATTTGCAGCACAGGAAAGGGTTAAATAACTCTGCTCTCCACTAAAACTGCTGTTATTTAGAAAGAGAGCTGGTGCACCAGCTTCTTTGCATGCATTTTTGCAAGATGGGTAGTTAGCCCTGCCAAAAATAGAGGGTCTGCATCTCAGTAGTTCAGCTGTTGCTTGGCATACAGAAGGTCTCTGGTTCAGACCCCATCATCTCCAGTCCAAAGGGTCAGTGCTAAGTTGCTGTGGTCAAAACCACTGAGCCTCTTGGGCTTGCCAATCGGAAGGTCGTCGGTTCGAATCCCCATGACGGGGTGAGCTCTTGTTGCTCTGTCCCAGCTCCTGCCAACCTAGCAGTTCGAAAGCATGCCAGTACAAGTAGATAAATAGGTACCACTGCTGTGGGCAGGTAAATGGTGTTTTCGTGCGCTCTGCACTTGTCACAGTGTCCCATTGCATCAGATGCGGTTTGGTCATGCTGGCCGCATGACCTAGAAAGCTGTCTGTGGACAAACGCCGGTTCCCTCAGCCTGAAAGCAATTTGAACACTGCAACGCCATAGTCACCTTTGACTGGATTTAACCGTCCAGGGACTTTTACCTTTACCTTACTTACCGTAAATTAAACATCTGGCTGTAGAACAGCAGCTAACTGGAAAAATGGAATCACAGCACTGCCAGCTTTACTTAGCCGAAAAATAATCATACCAAGTCTAGAAACTAGAGTAATAATGAAGACGGCTCTTCTTTACAGAAGCAAACAAGTTTTTAAATGATTTTTTAAAAAGTTCTCATAGTTAAACTATGCTACGTTTGACATTCAAGCTTCAGGTTATCACTTTATCAGAGCCAGACTCCATATTACATTCAAATGTGTGTAATGAATGCCTCACAGTCACTTTCATGTAAAGAACCCCCTTTCAGCTAAGCCTTCTCCTTTGAAGGACAAAGAATGGACAGCGAAAAGCACTGAAGTAGCCATCCAGACAGGCAACCACTGAAAATGTTATCTCCCTCTCCCTCAACCTGCTATGCCAGCCCAAATTCAACAACATTATGCTGAAGTTTCACAGGAGGTGAAATAACCCAGTGTAATTCAGCGTTCAAAAGGATAACAACATGAAAACATAGGAATGCAAATGTTTTAGCAGCTTTGTCATCTGGATTTTCTGTAATCATTAGGTCAATGAATTATATTAATTTCAGGGCCCAGTTCAACTCTGCCTCTTGCGTGGTGCGAGAACTTCTGACACCTGAATTTCTCTTCTTTATCTTTCTGCTCCTCCTCCTGCTCCCATGCAGAGGCTGCATTCTCATGCGCCTATTCTTTTAAACAAATCCTGCAGAATCACTTGGGACTTCCAAGAAAGCATAGGCTGTTGCCCATTGTGATGAACATTGCGGGAATGGTTATGATATATGCAGCACTGCATGGAATTACTGCTTTGATTTTGCTTACAGTGGACAGTGGGAAAGCAGTGCCTCAGCACTACTAAAAGGCTTGACTGTCGAAACAACCCAATAATGCTCCCTCCCTGATCTTTGAAGCGGTTTTACACTTTAAAAAGCTCTGTTGTGTAATTAATTAGGTGGTGAATGAACAGATAAATGCAGAAACATTCTTGCATTTCAAGTTTAAGCAACAAAGGCCAAACAGAATGTGGAGAGCAAGACTGATGGCTGGACTAGCTATAAGTTTGCTGGGATGCACATGGAAGCAGCAGTTGACTGTAAATGAGCAGAAGATTTGATCAAAGAGGGGTGAACAAGTTGGCAGAATTGGAATGAAAGTTGACATGACAGTTAAATGGTTCTTCCTGGGGGCTCAGATTTGTGACAGCACACAATCCTATGTATGTCCACTCACTTTTGAGGAGGACTTACTTTTTCCTATTTAGTTCTATTGTGCTTACTTTCAGGTAAATGGGTGCAGGACTGCAGTCCAGTGCAATTTCACTTTAGTGTCTCTAAAGCCTGAGCAGATCTCTCAGTCTTTAAAGACATTCAGTTGAAAGTGCCTCACGTAACCTCAACTGCTGCTGGTAGGGAAGATTTATTTTTGAGAGACAAGTAGACTTGGCTCCATCTCTGGATATTTTATCTGCTGGGATGTAACCTAAAATTGCCTCAAGTCCCACAATAACAGTTGCTGTAAAAACTGTTGCCAGTTTGGGTCGTGATCAGGAATAAAACATATCTTTTTCCTCTTCTCTGGGAAGATTAGTACAATGATTTTCTCAAAAATCATCCCTGAGGGACTCCCTTTAACATGACTAGAATGCTTCCATGTCCCTCAGGGGATCTGTTTTAATTTATAAATGTCATCAGTTTATCCCAAAGGTGCTCTCTATCACAACACACTTTTCATTCGAGTTTCAAGAGAGGAAGTTGGAGTCAACCAACAACTAGGGAAGGGGAGGGGAGCCGTTTTTTATATTGCCCTTTTTAATTTTTTGATAACAAGACACCTTTAATCTATTTCCTTCCAGAGTGTCCATCTTAGCAGCCCCATCTTCATTTCTTTAGCTTATTGAGGACTCTAAACAAAACATGGGGATTAAGGACAAGCTGTTCTCAAATACAAGTCACCTATCAATGAACTCCCTTTTTCAGAAGGGTAAGCAAGCTTTGTGACCAGTGTATACCTTGATCATCAATGAAATTCCACAGGATCCACTGCAAAATAATTGTTAACATAAATGGGCCTGCAGAGCCGTGAATGCCAAATTTTGCATTAATCTATTTCTTTCATAATGTTCTACTTGGTCCCCTTAAACTAAACTGCTCCGGTGCCAGAGCATGAAGCTCCGCCATTGAATATGGCTGGATCATAAAACTGTTGTTGTAAAGGAAATGCATCTAGCTTGGCCGTCCCCGCTGTCCCCTGCACTCCTGTATCCAAATTCTCTCCCCTCACCCCACCATTCTGCTTACAAATATGAAAAATCCATAACTTATATGAATTTCGGCCTCAAAGCTAAATACGATGCTCGAATAATAGCAACTCTTTTGAGAGAGTTGCAGGTGCTTATGTAATAGCCAGCTCTTAGACGAATCCCCTGACTGTACTTCTCTTTTGAATTTTTTAATCCTAATGCTATTTTTATAATACCATGAAACCTTCAGCACTCAGAGAACATGCCACAATGCAGAGTTCTCAAAGTACGGCATGCTAGCAAAGTTGAAGCAGCACCTGCCATTAACCTACTTACAGAAGAAATTAGCAATTCTCTAGGAACACATAAACAGTTTTACTCTTGTTTTAAACCTTTCTCTCTCCCCCCATCCCTCTTCTGAGGGCTGAATTGAGGGCTGGCCACCCCCTGAGTCAGAACGGTTGCTCAGGTACAACTGCAGCATGAAACAAAAGGTAAGGTTGCTTCCTTCGCAAAAACAAGAACTGTTGTATTCTTTCTGGCATGTAGTCTTGGGGTGATAATCTCTTTCTTCTTCCCACACCCTTATGCCTGTGCAGAAGATTCTGCTTTCGATAGAAGGCTGAGTTCAAATCACGAAGTCATACAAGATATATGGGTTAGTTTGCAGAACCTCTTGTATTTTTTTTATGTCCTTTCCATGGCTTCCTGCTGCTTTGTTCTCATCAGGAATTCATGCACTTGGTGTTTTCTAAGTATACATTTTCTACTAACCATTTTACAATATGCAGATAGAATAGTAATATACAAAAAGATGAGTAAATGCATAGCATGTCTTCGGGAATAATTTCCTCCAAAGGCTGCTGGTGTGCACATCATGAATTTAAATCAAACAAAGCTGGAACATCCTCACTGGTCAGACTGTGCAATTAAAGCCTAAACGCATTTGCAATGGATCCTCTGAAGAAAACCTCTGTAAGAAAAATTTGAGAAGGGGTGGTGGTGGTGGTGGAATGAAACTTACAGTTTTCTTCAAGATTTTGACAGCAAATGGCTTTTGTGTTCCTTTCTGCCTGCATCTGTAGACAATAGATGTTGCACCCCTGAAAAAAACAGAATATAAAGTTACGTTCAGATATGTAGAATATATTCTATTCTATTCTATTCTATTCTATTCTATTCTATTCTATTCTATTCTATTCTATAAAACGTAATTTCTCTGAAAACTGAGCTTGCTTTAAAATTTGAAATTTAATTCTTGGAAATTAAAATAAGTTATGATTTTTCACTGTACGGTTTTGATTTTCAGTTTTGATCAAGTACTTGCTTGGAATTTATTTTGGCTATATTCCTCAGCAATGTAACACCTACAAAAAGTAATTCTGCTCATTATTCCATTCCCATTGCCCAGGGATATTTAACTACAGTACAGTACTAGGGAATCGTGAAGAATAAAAAAATAAATAAAATCCAGTGCTATCGACATTGTAACACTCCTGCAGAACAGAAAACTGTTTCATTTGTAGCTCTTTCTGTTCCACGGGAGAGTTGTTATTTCACTGCTGGAATGACTTTGGCACATTGGAAAATGCAATCTTCAGCTGTCAGTCTTGAAAATTTCTTTGCTCTTTTCAGTACTGTATTCAACTTTTCATACACCCCCAATTCCTTTAAAAAAGCCAAAAAACAAACAAACCCAACGACAACAGAATTAGGTGGTGTGTTTTCTTATATGGAATATTTACACTGCAGTTCTAGAAGTGTTGTTTGGTAGAACTCTTTGAACATTAATTTAAAAAAACCAGACGCATCCACCATTTCCCTAATGCAAAATGTGTTACTTTGAAAAATACTTTAGCAAGACCTTCCAGTTGCCATTTGTGTGTTCACACAAGCTTCTTATCTACATGTTAAGAAGTGAGGGAAAGTGATGTATGAATTTGCATCTATCCTGAGCACATCTTCACTGAATGAAGAGCATCCATTTCTAATTAATATATTTGTAGTATATATTGTAGAGAAGGAAGGGAAGTTAAAATAATAGAAAATGCAATTAATGTCAAGTAGACCTGACCCAGCAGCATACTCAGAACATTTTAAAGGAAGTTGTAGCACAAGGCAGATGTGGAAGACACAAAACGAGAAAGAAAAAAAAAATCTCTGAGTAACGGTCCTTTCAATAAAGATGAAAGAGCCAATAATTCTGGGGCCGCTCAAGAAACTGTCAGAATTCCAGTTGAGAAGAATCCTGTTATTATGGCTGAACTTTCTTCCATTCCCATCAGCAACCCTTCCTTCTTCTGGGCATTGCTTGACAGACAAAATTCTTGCCTCAAATGTTTCCATGGGACATAACTGTCTCTTTGTTCACTTTTTTTCAGATTCTCTGAGAAGGGTGAGCAGGGAGTGGAGTGAGGTAGTGCCAGATTTAAAAGGGGAATGGATTTGGGAACTATGGTACATGCAAGGTCTACATCATGGGTAGGCCAACTAAGGCCCAGGGGCTGGATCCGGCCCAATCGCCTTCTAAATCTGGCCCACGGACGGTCTGAGAATCTGGGAATCTGCGTGTTTTTACATGAGTAGAATGTGTGCTTTTATTTAAAATGCATCTCTGGGTTATTTGTGGGGCATAGGAATTCGTTCATTTATTTTTTCTTCAAAATATAGTCCGTCCACCCACCCCAAGGTCTGAGGGACAGTGGACCGGCCCTCTGCTGAAAAGGTTTGCTGACCCCTGGCCTGCGTGAACCATTTGCAAAACAGTATGCAACCACAATGCAGGCATGCATGCATGCATAATGCTAAATAAAATGGCAACTCGGCTGCCCATCATTTTCCCCTCTCCATCCTTCAGTCAGGCTGTATACATTTTTATTTTTAAAAGCACCACATGATGCATTTCTGTGCTCATTCGTTATTAATATTTTATACACTTTTTATTTATTTATTTAAGTGCAAGACTGCTCCAAAGTTTGAGGAACCAGAGAGGTTTTTCTTCTTGGTATGAAGCCAGCCAATGAGCACCATGCACAGCTGGTTTCTGCAGAAGATTTGCAAAACCTCTTTTGTTCGAGTTCAACAACAGAAGGGAAATGTGGATCAAATGTAGTAAAGGAGTTTCCAGAGTTGCTCCACTGTTCCAAAATGTCACATTTGTCTTTGCTCTATGTTTCACAAAGCAGCTGCAGCACATTCAGAAGGAAAAGAAATGTTTTGCTTAATAAAGCTAGTAAAGGTAAAGGGACCCCTGCCCATTAGGTCCAGTCGTGGCTGACTCTGGGGTGGCAGCGCTCATCTCGCTTTATTGGCCGAGGGAGCTGGCATACAGCTTCCGGGTCATGTGGTCAGCATGACTAAGCCACTTCTGGCGAACCAGAGCAGCGCACAGAAATGCTGTTTACCTTCCCGCCAGAGTGGTATCTATTTATCTACTTGCACTTTGATGTGCTTTCGAACTGCTAGGTTGGCAGGAGCAGGGACCGAGCAACGGGAGCTCACCCTGTCGCGGGGATTCAAACCGCCGACCTTCTGATTGACAAGTCCTAGGCTCTGTGGTTTAACCCACAGCGCCACCTGCATCCCTAAGTAATAAAGCTACAATTGCACTATGTATCTTTTAAAAAAGAATCAGATCAGCCCTGTGCTGCATTTCAAATACAATAATCACCACCACCATCCAATCCTGCCTAAATTTCAACTGGATAAATTATTCAAGTCTTAAACAGATTTGTGTGAGTATATTTTCAAAATCCAATTTCTATTTTATCTAATCGGAGAATTGCTACCCAAATCAAAATAAAAGGTTGTAAAATGATGAAATGAACACGGGTAAATGCTTTGCATGAAATGGTCCTGATAAGGTACTGGATCCGATACTATAAAAGCTAACTTTTTCTACATGCATAAGAGATTAGATGTGTAATTTTGTAGGATCACACAAAATTGGTAGTCTGCACTCCACAGTAGTCAAAATTTTGTATAGGTAATGATTCAGAGAATGTTATAGTCTCAGAAACCTTGTGTGTGCACGTGCAACTCCCCCCTCCATTTATTTAATGTCCCTGTGATTATCCAGAAATAATTTGTGGGGAAGGCAGCAAGGTCCCCCACCACTTAAGAATCCTTGGCAAGTTGGAAAATCTGGCTTTGGGCACACTTATTTCTGGTTATTGTTTCAGAATTTGACTCTGCTCCTTTCCCCTTTTTGATCCATCCCCTACCCTGCCTTTAATTATTATACGTTCCATTTCCCCTATTTCTTCTCAGGACAAAGTAGAGATTTATTTTATCATTTAATATTACATCCATATCTCACATTTCCTCCAAGGTGGCATAGTTCCAGTGCTTTCTTCCTGGGGGTACTCAAGGGTAGAGTGGTACCTTGGGTTAAGTACTTACGGTAATTCGTTCCGGAGGTCCGTTCTTAACCTGAAACTTTAGCTAATGGGGCCTCCTTCTGCCACTGCGCCGCTGGAGTACAATTTCTGTTCTCATCCTGAAGCAAAGTTCTTAACCCGAGGTACTATTTCTGGGTTAGCAGAGTCTGTATCCTGAAGCGTATGTAACCTGAAATGTATGTAACCCGAGGTACCACTGTACACAGTACTGACACCTTTTTATGATGTTAAAAGTGTGGCACTCATAATAACTTTGTGGTGAGTACTGGCACCTTTTCTTCTTAAAAGATAGAGAGAGCACTGCATAGTTCTCCCCCTCCTGTTTGATCCCAGCAACAAAGCTCTGAGGTAGGTTAGTAGCCCAAAGTCACCTAGTGAACTTCATGACTGTGGGGGGATTTGAACCCCCATCTCGTAGGTCCTAGACCAACACACTGGCCACTATACCACATCAGGTCAATGACATGAGAGAGCCAGGAAAATTATCTCCTGCATGTTTGTTCTGTTGATAGCAGCTGTGGAGGAACAGGGCCAACCCAAGACATTTGGCTGACTGAAGCAAAGGACAAGATAGTGTCTCCCCCAAAGGATGGCAGAGAATAAAGAACATGACTGCAGGAGGGAGGGAGGCGTTAACCTTTCCCACATGCCATTTTGCTGATTGAAATCACACACCCTGCTAACATCTGCAAAACCCTGCAAATAAAATTTTGCTAGCGTTTTTTTCTGCTTTCATTTTTCCAAGAAAGAACATCCGTGCACTTCTAGATTTTGGATCTGTCTTTTAGCTCCCAAATGGATGTTTGTTGGCTTGTTTTACTATTGGGTCTGACAAGTGAACCTATCAACAACACTGGTTTATTGTGCACTACTTTTCCATCATTGTGGGACGCGGGTGACGCTGTGGGTTAAACCACAGAGCCTAGGACTTGCTGATCAGAAGGTCGGCAGTTCAAATCCCCACAACGGAGTGAGCTCCCGTTGCTCCATCCCTACTCCTGCCAACCTAGCAGTTCGAAAGCACGTCAAAGTGCAAGTAGATAAATAGGTACCGCTCCGGCGGGAAGGTAAACGGCGTTTCCGTGCACTGCTCTGGTTCGCCAGAAGCGGCTTATTCATGCTGGCCACATGACCTGGAAGCTGTACGCTGGCTCCCTCGGCCAGTAAAGTGAGATGAGCGCCGCATCCCCAGAGTCGGTTATGACTGGACCTAATGGTCAGGGGTCCCTTTACCTTTACCTTACTTTTCCATCATAAGCCATGCCCAAAGGAGCTCACCATAATTAAAAGTCTACTCTAATCTCGGGGTCACCAGGGGGCGCATTGGAAGATGGCCGACAATAACATCTCTCCAACCCACACGAGGTAATTAAGAGGCTGTTATGGGAGTATGCAGCCTCCCTTGCCCCCCCCAAGGGAATGGGGGGGACTGCCTTGCCTGCTGTGCCCATAATTCACCCCCAGATTCGAAAGAATGGGGTGAGGGCACTAGGCACAAAGCCCTTGGGTGGAGTCGGCTCTCCTGGACGCTGTCTCTGAATCACGCACTGGTTTGCATCAGCTCGAAATATATAATTGGAAATAGAAGCAAATGCACATACTTCAAGTGAAGATCAGGAGTAAAGACTGCTGATTAATGGGATCTCTGTGAGCGGAGCAACGGGCTGGACAATAAATCAAGTGAAGACTCATCATTAAAAGATCGGTATGTCGGAGCGAAACAGAAAGGGGGGGGAGGAAAAACGTTTCTTTTTTTGTCTTATGTGAGTACCCAATAATCCTCCCTCCCAGAGAGAAAGAATCGTTGCAAATTACTAATCACAAGCAGGAGATTAAGAACTGTGTGGAAATAAATTACTGATCAAAGAGAGGACTGGTGGGAACGTCTGATGGAAGGAAAGCTTTGTGATGCAGTTTCAAATAGAGATTTGTTAAGACAGGCCTGCCCACAGGAGGACGAGGGGGAGGAGGACCATGGTCATTGGAATGTGAATGTATGGTTATCGGAATGTGGATTTGACCTGGCAGGGCCCCCTGAGATACAGTTTCGCAGGCCTGTGGAAATCAGCGGACAGACTGTGGGAATGTTCTTTGTGGAGGTGTGGAAATGGCGTCTGTCCTTTATGTGATATGGCTCTTGGAGAGTGTAAAATCCACACAGGATATGTTTGTTTTCAACCCGCTTGTGAAGATTATCAGAGATCACAAAGAAAGGAATATATGATAACAACAAGAAGATGAGGAAAATAACAAAGAGACTTTCTGGACAGAACTGGACAGAACTGTGTAATTAAAGCAGCAAAAACAGTGATGTTTGGATCCCTTTCAGAGCTCGAAATATGGGTACCCCCAATAAAATTTTTAAAATCTGGCAGTATAATTTGGAACTAATGTGATTTGGAATTAATGTGATTTAATTGGCCTGTTAATAAAAATTATTTGAAAAAAATAAATAAAAGTCTACTCTAATCTGTGTAGGCTTACAAACAATAAAGGGAAAATGTTCTGAATCGTCTGCACATCAAGAAACCATGGCTGGAAAGCAGTAAGTACAAAACTGTTGAGCAAAACACTCACTTCCCACTTCTCCTGTCTATCTCCTTGCAGTTAAGACAGCATCATCTCTAAAACATGTCACAAAATATAACCAAATTGGCATAGTTCATTTTTTTTCTTTGCTTCTGCAAATCAAATACTTCACCAAGCCAGTTATTTCACCATTAGCCTAATGACAGCAAATTTATTGCCAGGCTCTAAAGAGTATCCAGGCTTTTCCCAGCCCAGTGGAAAGTTTGTTTATTTTTCTGCCTTGAATAGCTTCCTACCCTACTTGCTGCCACTGTGCCACATTGTGAACTGCTTTTGAAATGCTGTTTCAGTATTTGTTTGCCATACAGCATAGGTAGTCCCTCGCCAGGACAGCCTCTTCCTCTGCTTCTGACATGTCCTGCATTCGCCCCTCTGCCTTGGACTGCTCTGACCTGTCTTCTTTCCCCCTCCCTGACTCTTGCCTCACGCGGACACCAAACCCCATAAATCATTGGTCTGCTCTCTGGTGTCAGCAGCCCCCAACCCCCTGCCTCCACAACTCACTCCTCAGAGCCCCACCAGTCCCTGACAATCATCCCTCAAAATTTGCAGTTCTCCAAATTTTGCAGTGCAGTTCTCCAGCCAAGAAATATGTAAATACTAATACTAAGAACAATAATGCACAGACTAGGGTAAAGCGTGCATAAGACATCTGAAGGCAGCCCTGTTTAGGGAAGCTTTTAATGTTTAACAGACCATTGTATTTTAATATTTTGTTGGAAGCCACCCAGAGTGGCTGGGGAAACCCAGCCAGATGGGTGGGGTATAAATAATAAATTATATTATTATTATAAAATGATATTTTACTGAAAACAACATACAAAAATGTTATTTTTGTTTTTTTGCAAAACTGTTTTTGCAATTATTTTGCAAAAATGTTTATATTAGGTAAATTTGCATGCATTAGGAAAAATTCACATGGAAACGCTGACAAATGCACTTATTTCTACATATGCACATTTTGCCAAGAAGCCCACTACAGTGGTACCTTGGATTATGAACCATCCTACTTATGAACGCTTTGCATTACGAACTCCACAAACCCGGAAGTAGGTGCTCCGGGTTGCAAACTTTGCCCCGGGATAAGAACATAATCCACTTCCAGGGCCACGGACGCCTATGTAGGGAATGCGTGCCTCAGGTTAAAAACGCTTCGGGTTAAGAACTGACTTCTGGAATGCATTAAGTTCATAACCCGAGGCACCACTGTACCGCAAATGAGGAAAGCAGACACTTGCTGTTTGAAAAACTGAGGCAATGCAGGGGGGGGAGGGAATGAGAAAAGGGGCGCTTGAACGAATGAATTTTATTATTACGGTCACAGACCAGTTCCGGCTCACTTACAATATCAGGGAAATCATAAAACACAACAGGAATACATTGAATTGCAATTGGGTATAACAGAGACAATTCAGATATAGTGGCAGTTAAAAATATATATTAGATCTTGATCACTAAATTATAAACTAAAATTGTCATTTAAAACCTTAATCATTTTGGTAGTACAGCTTTAAAAGGGGCACTTTATCTATATCCCTTCCTCACTTTGTGACCCTCTCTCCCTGTGGCACATTCTGATCCAGTTGGGCTTTCGATTCGTTGTGGCAAAGGAGTCTATATGACAATCATTGTGCATAAGGGTGTGGTGCTGCATACAAAATGAGAGCCAGCTGCTTAGCAATTCACATGGGTCAATATGGATATAGATGTATATACATGGCTGTGAATATATAATCACACGAAAAAAGAAAAGCTATTCCTATTGGGTGGCTTGCTTCCTTTTACTCTCCCCCCTCCCCACTTTTCTGCAGAATCTTTAACATATTGAAAAAACTAGATACAGAACAATAGCATCTAATTAATAATATTTAATTGAAAAAAAATCACATGGTGGAGTAATAAAGGTGCAGGTCAGGCAGATGTGGTCATTTATAAAAATGAACAGAGGTCATCTGCACAATTCTCAGATAATAACGGAGTAAGCATTGAACAGAAGGGTAATGTCAAGTCTACACATGCAAATTATGTTATGAATATGGGCCTCTGGGTATAGATGTAAGCGCTGTAGTCTAATACTTCCACAATCCTCCAATGAATCATATTTCACCAGCGGGGGGTGGAGGGATGTTCCGTAGAACTACACAAGTAGAAATACCTACTGTGGATTATTGAATCTACATCAGCAGCAGAAAGCCTAGTAGATTTTGTGACAAAGGACAAAACGGGTCTATAGTAAATGTGAGTAACATAAAGTGAGCATAAGCAAACACACACACACACACACACACACACACCTACAGATAAAGCCAGAGATGTGGCAAATAGAGCGGTTCAAACAATAGGAAGCCAGCAGAACTTATGCTAGAGTCAGGGCTGGGATTTATGCCCACTGAGCCAGGATGGGGGATTTATACTGGCTTAGTACTGGAGAGCAAGTGTGGTGTAGTGGTTAAGAGCGGTGGGACTCGTAATCTGGTGAACCAGGTTCGCGTCTCCGCTCCTCCACATGTAGCTGCTGGGTGACCTTGGGCCAGTCACACTTCTCTGAAGTCTCTCAGCCTCACTCACCTCACCTGTTTGTTGTGGGGGACGAAGGGAAAGGAGAATGTTAGCCACTTTGAGACTCCTTAGGATAGTGATAAAGTGGGATATCAAATCCAAACTCCTCCTCATCCTCCTCCTCCTCCTCCTCCTCCTCCTCTTCTTCGCCCCAGCTCAGCTGGCACAGCCCAAGATCTGCTGCATACAAACTTCTCCGCTCGGGTGGAGCTGAGATTTGGATTGTGCAGAAAATTGGCAAAACTGCCAGCCCCACCCCAAGCCCCATAAAACCTCTCACACACCTGAGTTTGGGATCTCTTCGACCATATCATATTCTTGCATTCCATGATGTGGAGACGTTTTCATTTCTAAAAACTCATTGTTAATCCAAACCAGGCAATTTGGGTCAACCTGGGATTTGTCCAGAGCAGGTCAAGGCAGCTCCAGGTCTGCTTCTTGTTGGGCCCACCCAGAGCAGTCCAGGGCTGCTAAAAGCAGGGGGCTCAGGCAACCACATGTTTAATCAGGATTTTAAACACTAATTAAAGATAGGGTTGGTGGAGGGGGGGAGATGACATAGGAAGAGACTCTCTCTTGTCCTTCCTTCCTTCCTTCCTTCCTCCCCTCTTCACTGCCAACTAGATGTTTAATTAGGGTTTAAATCCTTGATTAAACATGTAATCAGGTGCAGGGAGAAGGAGATGGACACATCAAACATTAAAAAACTTCCCAATACAGGGCTGCCTTCAGAAGTCTTCTGAAAGTTTGTAGTTCTTTATCTCCTTGCCATCTGAAGGTGGGGGGTGTTTCACAGGGAGGCCACCACTGCCAAAAAGGCCCTCTGCCTTCTACTTTCCCTTTCACTGCCAGCCAAATGTTTAATTAGGGGTTAAAAGCCTAATTAAATAATGAGGACTGTACAAGGCCCCTCCGTCTCTCTGTATATGAATATGTGTATCTATATCTGTATCAGCTGTATATCTGCATTTGACGGAAAGCGAGGAACAAAACTTGATCCACTTCCAGGGTGGTGGCAGTGATAAATGCTGTAAATGTGTAACAACTGAGAAACAGATCTGTAATCAAACTAGTGTAGTCAGTTTCATTTCTTAAGGTAGTAACAAACTTCAGCTTCTATTTGATCGCAGGCAGACAGATATTCCACAGCATTCATCATATTTATGCTACAATCTCATGATTTTACATCCTTCATTACAGAAATGGAACACACTCCCTTTTTTATATATATAAAAGGGGGGGGGGGGAGCACAAAACCAAAATGACTGGTGGAAGATAGTTGCAAAAACTGCCAAAGCCTGCAACAATTTGATTTGTCTGTCATCAGGAAACTTTCCAAAAGCTACAAAAGGATAGACACAGATAAACAGAACAGTTTCCCCCATCTTTTGATGTCTAGAGTACAGGCTTGTTTCTCCTGCATACTTCAACTTTGTATCGAAAAGCTTGTGTTCTCCTCTACCAGCTTCCGGAAGAATGAGGAGGCACGCTACGGCTGCGTGGAATATCTGTGATAACACTGCCTCCCAGCATCTGTTGCCCATTCCTTTGTCCTGTCAAGTCATGGCTTAGTGATGGGGCAGTGCTTTCTGATCAATGGTGGTACTTTTGTGATTTCCCTATGCCTGTTGGCTGCAGTAAAGACAATGCCAGAGAAGTTTAAAGCATATTTGCTCCCTTGTCCTGAAATGATGCTACTGCTCATATCCTATGAGAGAAGGGGGCAAAACCATCACTGCATGGGGCTTTCCTGCACTGATAGATATACAGTGGTACCTGTACTTAATTCGTTCCGGAGGTCCGTTCTTAACCTGAAACTGTTCTTAACCTGAAGCACCACTTTAGCTAATGGGGCCTCCCGCTGCTGCCGCCCCGCCGCCGGAGCACGATTTCTGTTCTCATCCTGAAGCAAAGTTCTTAACCTGAAGCACTATTTCTGGGTTAGCAGAGTCTGTAACCTCGAGCGTATGTAACCCGAGGTACCGCTGTACTATGGAATATGCATATAACTGGGTGGTTTGGATTGTTCAAATGACACTTTTGCCTCTCATTCTGCACAAATGTGTCCTAACACACGGTCCTATAATCAAAAAATTTTCTTTTTTAAAAAAAATCAGATTATGGAAGCATGTTACAAAATCCATTGCAATGGCGAAACAGAAGTACAAAAAGATTGGCATCAGTCACATCTGCTTCATGTCTAGTACAAAGTTTTTCATCTTTATCACTGAATTATTTTGCTCCCGTTTTTGTCACAATATGTGTACTGATAATTAATTTGACTATCCTTTCATTGTACCACGTCCTCAGACATGTTCACAATGAATAAGTCCCACTGAACACAGTGGGACTTATGTCTGAGTAAACATGCAAAGGAGTGTCTTGTTAGGCGTCATTCACATAACAGATGTTAGTTCCAACAGTAAAACCATTGCGAAAGAGAAAATATTCATTATTAAGGTATAAACACTTTCTCCCCCAACATGAATTGAATAAATATTAAGGCTGTTTAATGCAACACTGCACTGCATTAATTTCCATGTAGAGAAAAATGTATACAACAAGATGTGTGAAAACTGCAGGCTGTTATATTTTGATGCATACAAACACCTAGAAGGAACTTCATGTACTGGTTTCTTAATCTCATGTACACATAACAAAATAAACTATGGCATGATTTTCACACATCATAATGGGCTGTATATCTTTTTTCCCTTCTCTATTTAGGAAAAATCTTATGCAAAGGCTTTTAATTAAAACATATTTGGAGATAACATAATTTTTGTGTGTGTTTTTCAGGCTGAGTGATTCAAGTAACAGAAGTTGTCAAGAATGAATGACTTAACCTGGATAATTGCCAGCCGTGAGAAACCCATTCCATGTTGCAAATACGATTTTTGTGACAGCAGCAGCTTCCCTTAGACAAGTGATATGATTAGCAAGGAGAAGAGTGACTCCCGAGTGTTATTTTCTCTCGGATGGGAGAGAAGGAGAACTCTCTGAAAAGAAACAAATTACTGTAGAGGAGTCAAGGTTGCGCCAAGAAAAAAGAAAGCTTTCGCCATTGACTGCCCACCAGCTTTTTCATAAGTAACCTGGGCATATGGAGAAGGCCACATGCGGGGGCGGGGAGGGGGGAGCGAAGTGACCTTGCCATATGGAAGCAGTCTCCATAGAGGAAAAAGTTGGAAGACAACATCCAAAAAGGTTACTTTGACACAGAACAGCGGCATGTCTCCATCTGATTTATCTGGGTCATAAAACAGCTGCTGGCTTGTATTGTTTGATTGCTCTCAGTGGGCAAGCAGGTGTGAATGGCAGGTATGATGCATCTGCACATGGAAAGGAATAGCCCAAGAGAGGGAGGAATGGTCAAAGTTAATAATTTTGCTTTGAATTGCCATAGAAAGGTTAGGAAAGCTATTGTGGTATAGACTTTCAGTAACGGGGGAGATAAAACAAGAGATAATTAGCATGTTCTGCATTATACACACACACACACACACACAGCCGCTTTTTAGGTGTCAAACGCTTGTCCCATAAATTATTTATATATATTTAAAAAATAATATTTAATTATTAATAATAGTAATATTTACCGCTAGTAAATAATATTCAATATACTCGTAAGGCAATTTCTAGCTCACCTTTCACCATACGATTCCACAGCAGGTCGCAATACCATAAAACAGTAGAACAGTGTTGCAATAAAACTGAATTTAGTACCATTTATAAAAGCAGATAAAATCCCACATGTTCTTAAAAGCACACAAGGAGCCACAAACCAAACTCCTAGCTTGCAGCAGTGTCAAAACTCCTAATTAGCTCTAAAAGGCCGAGGTGAACATAAGAGGTTTCACATGGCACCAAATTACAAAAGTGTTGTAGCCAGTTGTGCCTCTAGGGGAAGGACATTCCGGGGGGGGGGGCTTTTGCAGGGCGCAAAGGGCCCCATCGGGCCCCTTCATGCCGTGTAATGTCAAGCACTCGCCGTGTCAGGTATCACACATATGTGTGGGGCACCCCCAATGGGGGGGGGACAGAACTCTGTACGCCTGCTGCTATTCTTTTTTTTAACACCCCCACACACATATCAGCATGCAAGGGTAATCAGTAGCTTCCTCATAGATTCACATATCAAGATACTACAGTGGTACCTCGGGTTACATACACTTCAGGTTACATACGCTTCAGGTTACAGACTCCGCTAACCCAGAAATAGTGCTTCAGGTTAAGAACTTTGCTTCAGGGTGAGAACAGAAATCGTGCTCCGGCGGCGCAGCGGCAGCAGGAGGCCCCATTAGCTAAAGTGGTGCTTCAGGTTAAGAACAGTTTCAGGTTAAGTACGGACCTCCGGAACGAATTAAGTACTTAACCTGAGGTACCACTGTAATGCTCTCTTTCCTGTACAGTGGTACCTCGGGTTGCATACACTTCAGGTTACAGATGCTTCAGGTTACAGACTCCACTAACCCAGAAATAGTACCTTGGGTTAAGAACTTTGCTTCAGGATGAGAACAGAAATCGTGCTCCGGTGGTGCTTCAGGTGGTGCTTCAGGTTAAATACAGTTTCAGGTTAAAAACAGACCTCCAGAACAAATTAAGTTCTTAACCCAAGGTATCACTGTATATTCCTCCGAAGCTTCAAATAGAGTCAGCAGCCAATAAATATGGCTTGTTTAACTGTCCATCTTTTTGCCAGAGCTACATTAGTGCAAAGTGCTGCAGTGGAGCAGTGCCCGTACTTATTTAACTCAATCAAATATTAAAGCACTCTAGTTCCCCCACCACCACCCGCCACAGACTTTTGACCCCAAGCATTTCAAAATATGCTAAAGTGAGGGCAGAGTTGTGCTCATAGTACCATGACCTAGATTATAATTTTCAAGAACTCACGCATGCTTCATCTATTGATTCCAGTGTGCAATTCATATATTACCTTGAAAAGTGAGGTTATGAATCTTACTATGACTCAAAGAGCTGAGATTTAAGGTAATTAGTGATATTATATGGGTCAACTTTTGACATATCAGTTTGCAGCAAAATCCTATGTGTGTCTACTCAGAAGCCAGTTCCATTTAATTATGTGGAATTCAATCTTAGGTAAGTTTGCATAGGACTATGCCTGTTAGTGACCACAATTAGCCATGTGGTAAGAATTGCGCATATCTCATTGTGGTGTCACATCAATGATGTTTTGTGGGTTTTAGGGTTCATCCCTAATTTGTATGTTAGAATCTTAATAACTATACTGTAAGAAGTATAGAAAGGTTAGGTGAGTAAACTCACATAGCCTTCCAACATTATAACATTATTAGCATTATTTTTTAAATAAATATCTTTATTTTGTTTTGTAACATTTAAACGTTCCACTAAAATCCACTTTAATACAAATAGTCTGGGATTACATCAGGCGACTTTCTGTCAAGAAGTGTATCTTCTTCTCAGCTTTTGTTCTTGGTCTTAAGCAAAATCTTTGAGGAAGAAAAATGACTTATATTCTTAACGTTGGAAGCATTAAGATAAATTCAACAGTGGAAACAAGTTTTGATGGATGCAATAATGGATTAATGAATGGTTTAGTTTATGTAAAATATGCAGGGATTTATATATGCAAAATGAACCATGGAAAGAGAAGAATGAAAGTCATTGACATTTTAAGGTTGTTTAAATGAATATTCTAAATTGTAAAAGAGAAAATTTAATAAAAAATATGCACAAAAAATGATTTATACTCTTTAGACATAAAAGACAAAAGGATTAAATCTGGAGAAGATTTTGTTTGTATTTCTGATGGAAAACTGGAAATGCTGTCTATTATACTCAATTTCTTCCCTTCCTTTTTAGTTTATATTCAGTAGCAATTCAATTATTATGAACAGATGGTTACCATGGCCTTTATTTAATGCATGTGATTTCCTGGTACCCCTTTCTGCTTGTGTTTCATGATCAAAATGGATTTCCTTGCATATTAAATTTTAGTCTCTGTGCCACGTGCATGTTCAATGAAATTCTCACCATGTCATGTTTACAGGCATAAATTCCCATTGCATCACTTTATTAATATTACAGTATATGACTTGTTTGGTCAGCTTTAATTGGCCCAGGCATTGTAATTGTGATTTTGTGTGTGTGTGTGCTGTAACAATGATGTTCCAGTATGTTTATTGCTGTTGCTTCTGACTGGTTGTAAACCCTTTGGGGATTCGCATGAATATGAAGTGCCATAGAGATAAAACAAATGAGTAAATAATTAATCAAACCAGAAACTAAAATGCTAAATGGCAAAACCGAGAGGCTACCTGCTACAAACCACTGTTCCTTCCACAGTTCTGAATGTTCCCTAATGCTTGTTATTCCTCCTGGAAAATCAAATATTTAAACAATATCCCTTTGCCAAGAATTATTGCCAGGTTTTACAAGGGGTGGTGTTGTAATACTGGGACAGATGGTCTTTTTTTCCTTTCCTTATTCTTCTTTTTGGAGCTCAAGTTCTAAAGTACTACACTGGTACCTCGGGTTAAGTACTTAATTCATTCCAGAGGTCCGTTCTTAACCTGAAACTGTTCTTAACCTGAAGCACCACTTTAGCTAATGGGGCCTCCCACTGCACCGCCGGAGCACGATTTCTGTTCTCATCCTGAAGCAAAGTTCTTAACCCAAGGTACTATTTCTGGGTTAGCGGAGTCTGTAACCTGAAGCGTATGTAACCTGAAGTGTATGTAACCCGTGGTACCACTGTATTGATGTAAATACACTTCAGGAACAGAAACCTTTTTAAACTTTAAAATGGTCACATCTCGACTTGAAGATAAAAGGTTCTTGCATAACTTGGGATGAGTTTAACTCCTGCTTAGCATTTGTTCATATTAGCAGCTTAAAATGCGGCATGGTCTCCCACATATTTTGAACCCCATTTGCACGGTGCTCACATCAGATAAGGGGTGAGGAGGCCTTCACCTGATGCACAGGATGCTTTGGGTTTCCCAATCATGCAACCCCCTTAGAAGTTCTATTCATGAAGCTGTCATCTGTGCATGGCCACTGGCGGAGGAATGGGGAGAGCACACAGCCCCCGGCACCATCGGGGAGGGGGGTACCATCGCAGCTGCCCCCGGACAGGAACCGTACACGCCCCCACCATGCTGGGAGCCACGCCCCCAGATGCATGCCACACCCCACGGGGTGACGTGCCACGCCCCAGGATGCGCACCATAGCCCCGGGACGTGCAGCAGCCATGCCCCCGCCTGCTCTCTGCCCCCCCAGTGCCAGAGCATGCAGCTTCACCACTGTGCATGGGTGCTCACCTGCACATGCACAGCGGCTGTTAAGATATGTTCACATTACCTCTAACTTCAAATCCAGTTTTCTAGTTGGATTGAAGCAGTGCTGGTCAAGAAATGGGAGAATCAATATGGATTGTGGCTAATGTCATGTGCGAGTGCACTGAAAGCATAGTCCATGGTAATGTGAATATACTCCTAGTCAGTTCATCTTCCTCAAATTAAATTGGCAGGTGACGTTGTGGAGAGCTAGGTGGCTTAAACTTTTACATTTCATCACCTAGCCTCTACTTTATCAGGAACTGTTGCCCTGGTGCTTATCTTGTCACTGAAATTCTACTCAGTGTTGATCCAGAGCAGATTCCAACGTATAGTAGGAGAGTAACAACTTAAATGCGTTGCAGGATTCCCAAAAAATAGACCAGAGGCAATTGGTATATTTCATCCAGCAGAGCTTTACTGCTACTGAAGGCAAATGCTCACAAATCCAATACATTCACAATTGGCACTGTCCAAAAGAAATCCAGTTGCAGCAGACTTAACTTAAACTTACAATAACTTATAATAAGTCCAAACCTTAACACTAAGCATACTATGTACGGAACACCACACCAGAAGGAAAAGAGATAGAAAAAGAAACTGAAACGCAGGCTCCTTCTGGCCCTACATGTATAGTCGGCATGACCTTGACAGAAAGAGATAAGACAACCACTTTAAGCCAGTTGTACTCAGCTTCTCTGAAGGAATAACCCAAACACCATGAACCTTCTGCTTGTTTCTTTCACCAAGAGAAGCTTCCAGAACCCTCTTGAATTAATTAGAATAGGAAAGATCTCTACATATCGGATGTGTATTTTCTGCACTAAGAAATGCAAACTGACATATCTATCCCACCAGTTAGCATCACTTCATAAACACCTGCTTGGCTGGCGAAGGTTTCAAGGCTAGTGGGAAAGAGGAAAAAATATATTCTCTTACCTACCCCATCCTATAACCTCCCTGTTCCCACCATCTCATGAGCCCTAAACAGTACTGCAAGGCTCCTGTACTAGGTTTATGTAATCTGCATTGGTGATGTGTTTTGAAGATTATCTCAGGAATGAGAAGATTTAAAAGTTCAAACACCTTATGTAGTCATTCTTTATTAAAAGAAAGATGTGGGCACGCCCACCAGTGGGCTGCATGGGCATGTTTCTAAGTATGGCAGAAGGATGAGGGTTTTGAATGACAGGTAAATAAATACTGCTACACTTCACAGTATACAATTCCTAGACCTTTATTGCTACCCAGCCTACTCAAAACCACCTCCATGAAACTATTTTAAAGAATTTATCTGCTTTCTGCACCACACACCTGCAGGTCCTCTAACTTCACCGCCTATTTAAAAATGCTTGTGTTTAAATAGCAATTCTTACCAATTTATCTTTCATCTTAGAAAAATAAAAGCAGAAGCACACGACAGAACTTTAAAATCAGCAAAAGCACCGATAAGCACTACTGAAAATTGCAGTTGGCTCTCTTTTCACGTGAGGCTTGCGCATATTCAGAAATCAAAGCCATCCATTAGTATAATATCGTTTTCTTAGTACACATTACTTTCAAGGCTGAAACGGTGCTTCCACAATAGAAGCTCACCGAGAAATTGCTGTGGTTTGTTCACTCACTTTTTGCAAGACATCCATACAACACCATCATGCAATTACAGCCTTTCTGAATTTCCTCTGTGGTTCTTCTATCTTCTCTCAGACCACAGAAACTCTGACATTTTTTTAGAAGGATGGAAGAGTTTTGCAGTCTCCACTGGTATAAATGCTGTTTGCACTACTATATTTTTAATGACATGTGGTTTTGAGATGGGCAGTGATTAATAAAAAACAAAGTGCAATGGTTTGGACATCACACTACGTCAAGGCTCATGGTTTGTTGCTCCTTGATAGACAAAAGAAAGAGCAAAATAAGAGCATTTGAGCTGTGTGATTGTGCACATTATGGGTTAAACAAACCACACAACTTGGCTTAGCTTTATGTGTGAATGTGGCCATTGTGTCAGTTATTTAAAAATATATATACATAAAATAAATGTCATTGAGTGGTGATAATAATTTCTACACATCATACAAGCCTGTGCTGTTGGTGAAAGTCTTTTTGAGCCTGACTGGTTATTTTCAAGTGCAATAAACTGTTTACTTACAATGAAATGTTCTTATTAACATATGGTCTACCTAACAGTTGCAATGCAGGGCACAGAAGGGTTTGTTCTGATTTAAATATAGCATGTTATATATAAATAATAATAATACCAACAGTAGCAATTACAAGAGATACCCGTTTAACTCACCAGCATAAAAGAGGATGCTAACAAAAGTGTATTTTCAGTTTTTTGGAAACACACATAGAAATAGAAGTTAAAACAAAAAGACACTAGAAGAAGTGGAATAGGCCAGTCGGTAGAGCATGAGATTCTTAATCTCAGGGTCATGGGTTTGAGGGTTGCCCATGTTGGGCAAAAGATTCCTGCATTGCAGGGGGTTGGACTAGATGGCCCTTGTGGTCCCTTCCAGCTCTATGATTCTAAGTATCATGCTGGACCACACAAAAAAGGATAATGTGAGCCAGCACTAAATATCTCACATGGCCATTGAGATGCCCCAGGGAATCTTACAAAGATCGCACAATAGAGATAGTCTCACGGACCATAGTGTGCTACAAGGGTTATTGGAATGTGCCTTGAAAAAGTACACCATGTTAGACACATCCACTATTCTCCCTCTCTTATTTTAGTTATAAGTTAAATATAAAAGATAGGGGGAAACTAGAAACATTTTTAAATGAGTTTATCAGGTATCAAAGAACTACATACAAAATCTTAAATCTTGCATCTTAAATCTTAAATAATGCAGGAAAAATAGGCTGCATTTGCAATCTTATACAGACTTACCTGGAAGTGCAATTGGGATTGACTTCTTAGTAGATAGGTACTGACAGAGACTTGCCATAGTTCATGTCATCATCATAAATCAACTTCATACCATAGAATCAATTCATTTAACTGGGTTCTTGAATTGTGCCATATTTTAGATGTGGTTGGTGTCTTGAATCTTCTGATTTCAGTACATGTAACGTCCTTCAAGTATACTCAAGGTACACCGGTAATGACTTACAAAGCCCTAAACAACTTGACACCTGCATTTTTGAAGGAGCATTCCTCCAGCATGAATCTCTCCATGTGCTAAGTTCAGTGGCTGATGCGCTGAATTCTGGTTGTCCCACAACATAGGGAAACCTGAAATTCAGCAACCAAATGGCCTATTCTGCGGGGGTATGTGGAATGTCCTCTCCCATAATTTACCACTGGTATGGTGATAAGCTTTCAGCATCTCTTGAAGACTCATTTGGTTCAGTAGGACCTTATGGTGCACAAATGCCCGCCTAAGTTTTCGTACTATTACGTTTGCCCAATTTATTTTGCTGACTGAGGCAGAGCAACAGATGAAGACTCCCTTTGCAAGTCAAAGTGCATGGTAGGAAGGCCCATAGCTCAAAGACAGAACATCTGCCTTGCATGCAGAAGGTTCCCAGTTCAATCCCCAGTCGGAAAAGACTCCTTCATGAAACCCTGGGCAGTTGTTGCCAATCAGTGTACGCAATAATGAGCTAGAACAGACCAATGGTCCTTCTCAGCATATGGCATTTTCCTATGTTTTCTACTGTTTATTGTGATAATTTTTAGGTCACATTGTACAATGGTTTAGATGCATTTTTATTTCATTTATTCATTTAATAAGAATGCTTTTAGGCTGCCCTTCATCCTCACAGATACAAGAAGTGCATATGTTTTTTAATCACACCAAACCATGAGTGCAATAAAACAGTAAGACCGAACTGTCATTAAGTCTTATGAATAACTTTGGAAACCTAACTTATTTTCCTAGTTGCATATTATATGGGAAAAGGAAAATCCATTCTTGAAAAACAAAAACATCCACGTCAACCAGTCTCATGTTTGTCACTTCAATATTTTCTTGCTCTTCTTGATTCTTTTAAACTTTCCTGTCTTTTATTCACTTTTGCACGCCATGCTTTGAATCTAGCGGTATCCCTCACTCACCCCTGCTCCTTGTTTGCATTCCTTTTCCACTGTCTGTTCATTTCTATTTTTTCTAGTTTTGGCTGTATTTCCGAAGTCTACCTCCCCTTTTCTTTTCTTTTCTTTTCTTCAACCAAGAGAACTTGGTCTTATTTTGTTATATTTTCTTCTTCTCAGATTTCATCATTTCCTAACTTTCACTGTGTTCACTTGTCAAATATTGCTAACATTTGCTCTTTTCTTTCTGTTTATTCTGCCCACACTTTGGCTCATTCTCTTATTTTATCCTGATTGGATAATTGTTATGCTCTTTTAGTTGCTTTTTCCTTATGCGCACCTTAAGCTTTTTGTTTGTGTTTTGCATTCCATTACCTACCCTTTTTTATATAATGATCATGTATTCACTTTCATTCTCTAGTTCTGACTTAACTTTTATTTTTAGTTTCACTTTGCTAAATGCTGTGTCCTTCCCACCACTTCATGCTTCTTCCTTTCTCTAATCTATTTACCAGCTAATTTACTCACTTAATTAGTCTCTTAACATTTATTTAAATGTTCCTTATCATTCCTTAATGGAAAAAAAAAATCTTTATGTCAGCTAGCTTATGCCTAATTATTTCTGTTCATCTGTTCCTCCTCCAGTTTTCAATCTCTTAGTTATACTTATAGTTTTAGTTTTGCCTAATTAGAATGCAAGCCCAATGGACAAGGTCTGTCTATTTATACGCCCTGAATCAGGCCTAGATTCTTTAGACATTTCACAATTATATTGTTACAATATCACTTGCAACAAAATATTGCTGTGTATCATAAGGTGGCTACGTGTGTATCACCAAAAAAGTATTTTGGGGGTAAGTGTGCTGAGTTCAAGAGTTGGGTAAGAGTGTTGAGTTATATCTCAACCCACTGGGGCAGCAGAAAGCAAATGTGTTCCAATGTCTATGTGACAGTTCTTCAAATACAGTCGTACCTTGGATCCCAAACGCCTTGGTACTCGGACGTTTTGGCTTCCGAACGCCGCAAACCCGGAAGTGAGTGTTCCGGTTTGAGAACGTTCTTTGGAACCCGAATGTCAGACTGGGCTTCCACAGCTTCCTGTAGCCAATCAGAAGTCATGCTTTGGTTTCCGAACATTTTGAAAGTCAAACTGGCTTCCAGAACTGATTCCGTTCAACTTCCAAGGTATGACTGTATTTGAAAATGGTCATCATATCACCTCTTAATCATCTCCTCTCCAGATTGCACATACCCAACTTCTTCAATATTTAAATATTCAAACATTCCAAGATTTTATTCCCCACAACTGGGACAAATTGTGCTACATTTACCTTTTGCTTATGTAGCTTTCTTTCACAATACTAATAGCTATGCACACTTGCCTTCACAGCCCCCACCCCACCCCCAATTCGGGAATGAAGACTGCCATTCCATGGGGAAGGGGGTGTTAGGGGGGAAAACTCTCAAAGATTTCACTGCACTTGAACTAAAATCCTTCCGACAAAACACCTGCGTTTTCAGGTTGCCATCCCGTTTGAAAGGGCTTCCTTCCACATGAGCAATTCCTTAACATTGCTCACATAGGAGTTTCCCTTTCAGAGAGTCCAGACACTGGCTTTAACTAGTGGGCACAGTCAGAAGCCACAGGATCACTTGGTGTCTGCATCATCTACGCAGCCTTTGATAGCATGTGGCTTTCTCCTTGATCAACAGAGCAGAAGAAGATTTGGTAGCATCCTTTCTAGCTACAGCTGCTGTTAAGAAATACCTCTTTCCTATGGAAAGCTGGGCTGAAGGTTCGTGCTTTATAAATGAGCATGTGCGTAAGAAAAACAAAGTGCATTAATTGTAGAGCTGGACATCTGGTGGAGAGCATTTTGCTAGAATGTGGGTTTCCTTGGGTAATTTTTAGAACCTTAGAACTTCAGCAGGACTCTTCAATAACATATGTGCTTTGAGTCAATGATGTTTTATCATGCACTGCAAGGATTCAGAGGGGAAGTCAGTTCAGAAGAAGCTGCCTTATGCTACATGTTCATCTAGCCCAGCCTAGTATTGTCTAAGGACCACCTGACTTCATATGCTTCACCTGTGTTGCTGAGGTCTTCCAATGGGGCATTTTCAGCAGTCCCACATACTCCTGAAGTTTGGCTGGCCTTTACCAGGGACTGACAAGCCCTGCTCTGTGGAGCTCCTTGCCAACAGATGTTTGGCAAGAGTCATCCCCGCTCTCTTTCAGGCATCTTTTAAAAACTGTATTATTCAGACTGGCCGTTCAAACCTGAGGGTTTTGCTTAGTTTTGTTTTGCTATACAGCTTTTACTGGTGTGTTTGACATTTTTATTATGTTTACTGTAGTATTGCATTTTTAGGTAGTATACTACCTTGCAATATTTCATATGAAAGTGTGGTCTATAAATATTTAAACAAATAACATAATGACTGAAAGTAGTGTATTTTTCTGTGTATAAGACTAGGTTTCACCCCCCTAATAAATAATGTCAAAAATAAGGGGGCGTCTTATACACGGATAGTGCCGAGGCCATTTTCTTAAATCTGAGTCCCCCAAAATAGGGGCGTCTTATACATGGGGGCGTCTTATAGACGGAAAAATATGGTACGTTCATTTGAGTCTTTCCTGTCTTTTTGTTACCTAATACTTTTAATTGGGGAGGGGAGGGGCTGAATTTTGGACTGAGTTTGTGGGTGCCAGTCTCCCCCGTGTCATGAGTTTCTGGGTGCCACACACTGAACCCCTGGATTCAGCAAATGTTGAAACATAAGCCAGGCCAGTTTCCTGATGAGGAAGTCACCTGGGGTGAAGGTGAGGAGGGGTTCTGTGCCAGACAGCACCCGCCCTCTCAACTCATGGTTAGTTTTTGAAGACAAAGGCAGAGTTGGAAGAGGGGTTTTAGAGTTGGGAGTTATGTGACTGGGATAAGCAAAGCAGCAAGCAGGAGAGTCAGAGAGATGTTTGAGAGCAATGGTTGATGTCTGTCTGAATCCAAGGCTGTGGCTATGGGAGAAACAAGTCCCTCTTGGGGGGCCAATGCTATGAACTACACTATAGGCTCAGGTTATATATGTGTGTTGCTGTCGTTGGCATCCATCTGTCTCGAGAGACAATGGAGTGCACCTCCTCCAGTGGTAAAGTCAAACCACTGTGTTAGCAGCACCAAAATGACTTCCCTGGGGCACAAGTCTGAGCAGCTTGTATGGAGATCCCAGATGACAAGACCTCGCTGATGCGCTCCAAAGGAGAGCAGAACAATACGTTTGGCACCAGCTTAGTGGCCAGAAGTTGCCAAAAGGAGGCACACAAGGCATAAACCATAAGTCATAAATACACCACAGTCTCCACTGTGCCTCATTTCCAAAAGAGAGCAGGAACCCTGTGTAAAGCACCTGGAACCCCCTGGAATCTCACACTGCTCAGAGATTGGGGGTGATGTGCAAACAGGACCCTACTGCATGTACAGCATATGCTCAACTTCTATGGTTCCTCTCCACTTCAAAAGAAAGGTTTTCTCAGCAGGTAGCAAAGTTGTGAACCATATGCACAAAGGTAGACAATGCACATTCAGGCTGAGCAAATAAGAGTCTTGTGGCACCATAAAGACTAAATTGTTGCACTGCAGATTGTTGCTCAATCTAATAAGAGTTAAGGATAGCCCATTAACATCCATTTAGCATTGCATTTCATGCTGATCAACCTCTAAGGGCTTGTTCATACACTTTTTAATATATTGCAAGATTTATGGTTCCCCAGATAGCACTGGCCCAGTTTCACAGTCTCCTTCAAGAGGTACTGGAGATCTTGTACAAGCTGGAAGCACAGTATGATAAAACAGCGACAATGACTACAGCTATTCTTATCTTATGGCCATTCAAATTATTTCTTTGATAGCTGTACTGTGCACCATGGGTAGGAAAAATCAGGAAATTTTTAACTATGACACCCACCAAGGTATTGAAAGATATGCATGGAAGATATCTAACTTGAACTCAGCAGAAAAACAGGCAGTAACTTACATGGAAGTGAGAGAACCGCCTCTGATATACTAATGGTGTCTTGGAACAATTGTACTTCGCCTTCCATTTTCCTTCTAATACTTTTTTCAAACTGTTCAGTGCGGCTTCATTTTTAGAAACCCAGATTAGAGACCCAGATACTCAGAGGTAACACACGAAAGGGAATGAATACCTGATAACTAAAAGGAAATTAATTAGTTGTTGAATTGCTGCAATGATGGCACCGGAGGTATCCTAGTTTACAGGAAAAACTTCTAATCTTGAGAATCTGAATTATGTCTAGAAAAAGGTAGAGACCTTCTTTGAAGTGGATGGTGTTAGCTTTGGCCATGATCCAAAAGAATGAGTGTTTGAAAGATGATTTACATGTGCCATTTGAAAGCAGCTCTTTGCCATTTCATAATCAACTGCAGAAGCACCGTGGTTTTCCTAAACTGTAGACTACTGTCCATTGCTATTGGAACGCTCTGTCACAAGAGAGTAGGGCCCTGCGGGACTTGACATCTTTCTGCAGGGCCTGCAGGACAGAGCTGTTCCACCAGGCCTTTGGCCAGGGCACAGCCTGACTCCCTCCTTCGGCAATCTTCACGGAGCTCTGGCCCAATGGTTGTCATTGGTTTGATTTGAATTAATTTTATAATGAATGATTTTAGAGTGTTGTGTTGTGTTGTGTTGTGTTGTACTGTTGTACTGTTTTATTGTTGTTAGCTGCCCTGAGCCCGGCTTCGGCTGGGGAGGGCAGGATATAAATAAAAATTTATTATTATTACTATTATTATTATTATTATTATTATTATTTTAAGACAAGACTGAGGCTGGATCTACACAAGTAGCAGAATAAAGTTATGGAATCCTAAAGTGGTAGGCTATATATTAGATATTGTAACCCAGCCTTCTCATGTGGTTCTTTTTTAACATTTGAGACCATTAAAAACTGTATTTGGCACCCCCTACCTCCAGACTTGATACAATTCTCTCCCCCCGCCTCATTCTGCTGCACTTGAAGCTAATTCACACAATATTTGCTACATGTATAGTAAGCATTATGACAAGACTTCCAAGTATACAAGCTTCACTTAACTTGTATGAACTCATTCAAACCAAATAACCACGCACAAGCTGATGCCAAGTCGCCTTTGTTTTTAGCACACATGTAATGAATCAGGTCAAGTGCATGCATCTGTGTGGGCATGAGATGAAAGAATGAAATGAGACACTGCAATACAGGGAGCTGGTTAGCACAGGAATTGTGTAGAAAAAGATTATTGCTCCTGAACAAAACACTATATTGCATTGTGTTGCTGCTCTCAAATTATGAACTATTAGAGCTTTGTGTTTTCCCCAAAGACGGATGTATGCAAAGGGTGCTGTAATATAGGGTCATGGATAATTGTTTGCAAAAAAATAATAATAGAAAAGGTCTCAATTTGTCAGAAGGCTAGTCCTGAAAAATGAACAGTAATTACCTATCCAGCCAGGTTGTCTATATATCTTTTATGTTCTAGTGACTGGCTATTGTCAAGCAAAAGAGTTTAAATTCCAAATTAAGCTATAAGGGGGCGGGGAAACATATCTGAGACACTTCCATTGCCATGAAAAAGAACAAACCAGACTTGTCCTATAATTATACTTACTTACTTACTACACCAAACCTTTATTAGGCATTACAAATATAGGCCATCATAAAACATCCATGTATAAATTTTTAAAATATATACAAATAAACAGCCATGTAAAAATATGTAATAACGAGGGTTTTCATTGGAGTTTCTTCCCACTAAATAGTGCCATTCACCACTCTTAAGAGATACTATTGATAAAAACTCAGCCACTTTTGCAGTTACTTCCGGTTTAATGTCAGACAGATAGAATCTGATATTTTCATTGTGCTGTGATGTTAGACTACCCCAAATAGAGGATAGCACACATGGGCATAGCTGGCTGAGGAAGATACAAGAGAAACAAATCAACTTGTGTTTGGCTATTATTATCAGTTCAGCAGAACATTAAAAATATGCATAAATAACATATACAACAAAACAAGCCTCTTAAAAAGCAAAACAGTTTAAAAATCAATGAAAGCAATTAGATCAGGAAGTTCCAAGTTCAGGGGAATGCTTGTCCAAAGAAGGGTGTCTTTGAGAGCTGGCAGAATGCCAGTACTAACGGGAGCCTCTCATAATTCAGCAGGGAAGGGATACCACAACATAGCGCCAGTTGTTGTGGGACTACAACTCCCATCATCCCTGGCCATTGTCCATACTGGCTTGGGTTGATGGGAGTTGGACCGCAACAACATGGGGCAGGCACATTTGCTATACCTACTCTAGGTAAAGCTAAAGGGACCCCTGACCATTAGGTCCAGTCATAACCGACTCTGGGGTTGCGGCGCTCATCTTGCTTTATTGGCCGAGGGAGCCGGCGTACAGCTTCCGGGTCATGTGGCCAGCATGACTAAGCCGCTTCTGGCAAACCAGAGCAGCGCACGGAAACGCTGTTTACCTTCCCACTAGAGCGGTACCTATTTATCTACTTGCACTTTGACGTGCTTTCGAACTGCTAGGTTGGCAGGAGCAGGGACCGAGCAACGGGAGCTCACCTCATCGCGGGGATTCGAACTGCCGACCTTCTGATCAGCAAGTCCTAGGCTCTGTGGTTTAACCCACAGCGCCACCCGATCTATTATATCTTGCCTTTATCCATGAAAGAGAACAAAAGCTACCCAGATAACTCACATACCTTCTAGCTTAACTTCAGCTGAATATCTAGTAAATGAAAGCTTTTGCCTGGCTGAGATCCTAGGAAAGTTCTCATTATCTCTTTCACTCTCTCACATATGCTCTTATCTTTCTGGGGCATCAGAGATCACAATGGTAGGATGAAAGTGAATTATAGTGCAATCTTGTACATGTCAGAGGTAATCCTCACTTCATCCCAGGTAAACGTTATGCATCCTTACATGTGAATAAGATTTCTAAATTACTTCCTGAGTCAATTGCAGCTTTTTAAAATTTGTTTTCAGGCAAATATTCTTACAGGAGAACAAAATGTTGTTGTTATTGCCTATTTTGCTACTTTGAGATCTGATGTGTGCAGCATTGATGTGTTGATGGTCATGTTTTGTGACCAGAGTTGGGGGGGGGGGCAGGATAGCATTTTGGTCCTTCAAACACAACTGGTGACACCAATAATAAACCATACTTGAGCTTCTACTAAGATCATGAGAATAGCTGCATCAGGCCAGAACCCTATTCTCATAGTAACCACCCAAATATCCACAGGAAACAGGACTCAAATACAACACTCAATCTCAGTCAGTAGGGTTAAAATGGGAGGGGGAAAAACAGAAGGAAAAACAAATGGGCATTCCAGAAATGTAAGTTTCTTTAGAAGCAAATTGCATTCTCATGTATAAAACAACTTACATTTCAACAAAACCTTGCTTGGGATTGTTCAACTGATATGACTGGCTTAACAATAAGCTCCAAAGCAAAATAAATCAGAACTTTTTATGTATCTGGCGTTTCTAGAATATACTGCTAAAGTGTTTAGCAAAAGGAGATTTTGCTAGCAAGAAATAACTCCATCATAACTGTGTAAGATAGATGTACACTCTAATGTCTTCACCACTATTCCCAGAACTCTGTGTGCTTTAAATATTAACACCATATTACAGATATATACGACTAAATTATGAATCCATGTAAAACATTAAAATATGAGCTATAGAGCTTTGAAACTTCACCCATGAAAGTTTAATACCTTCTGGAATGAATAAGTCAAGTAACTGTGCCAGTTCAGATTTAGTATGGCACAAAATTTTTACTGTCAGATTGTTTATAGGGAGAAAGAGTAGAACTGTTTTATAAGCACTTTCCTTGATATAAAACACTTTTATATTTTCATACGTAGGCATTTTTTATTTTTTATTATTATTTTAAGAGAATGATTAAGATAATTACACAACAAGAAGGGGGGGAATTCATTATTTACAAAAACAAATTTCCTTTGGGGAAGAGTGAATGCTCTCGAAATTAATATTATTCCCAGATTCATTTATATCCTGAAAGGACTTCTAGTTTTTATATCTGAATCATATTTTCAAAAGGCATTTAGGAAATGCCTTTAGGGCTCAGGAACACCAAGAATATCCTTGCAGAGAATGCAGCTACAAATTAAAGAAGGCGGTTTTGGAATCCCAAATTTGGAATTATATCACTAAGCTTACATACAGTCAAGTACTAAATATTGGAATCCCACTGTTGGCCCTAATTTTCTGATGCGGGCAACCCTACAATATATGTACATAGCACCTTTGGTTGGTTGGACAATACTAGGATTGAAAAATTTGAAGTCTCAAGTGACTCTGGAAAAAAATTAACATGGAATATATTGGCTAATAAAAACAAATTTGACTCATTTTCACATGCTAAACTTACTCTGTTGGGAAACCTCACACTAGGAATTGCAAAAAAAGATGGTGATATGGAAAAATTGGATGAAAGCAGGTGTTTTGACATTGGACCAACCGATAGATGGGGAAGATGAATTTTATACTTTTGCTATTTTAAGACAAAAATATCATCTATCAGATGCAACCCAATGGCAATATCTTAAATTACAACATCTCCTAACCAAGTGTGTTTGGTCCATCAGCCTTTTCAGCTTCCAAGATACCTAAGATATTGGAGCAATTGGACAACATTCAAAAATAAAAAGCCAGCAATTGCTTTTTATAGATATATATTAACAATAAAAAAGTTCAATACACAGACAGTAAGAGATGATTGGAATAAAGAATTAGAACTTTCATTATTACCCAGACAGTGAGAAAATGTATTTAAACAAAAGCAACATTGGACTAAGTCCCAGTGCAGTCCACACCACTTATTTCATGGTACATATTATTTGCCTCCAAAAATCATATGTCTTCTTAAACTTCTGCCACAAATGAGGTTAGTGCACACTGGTGCCAGAAAACTTTCAACGTTCAAACTGTATGTTGGAATAGATTTTATTAAGTCTATCTGGTGTTAGATACTACCATAGCAACAATTTATAATGAGTTTCCCATATTACAAGACTTTAATACAGATACGACCAAATATCTGGTCTTAAATTTATTTTATTCCATGTTTTTAACAGTTTATATGGAGTCAAAGTGTGTTTCTGCTCTTGTTCTCCATCTTGGCTGTGAATCCTGGCCTGGGAGGGTGGGACTGTGACTGACTCCAGCTACAAACGCTGAGGCTGCTGAACAGATTCAGGTTGGGGGTATTGTTTAGAGGATTTTATTGCTGCTATTGATATTAAATTTGTGTGTTTATTTTGTATCTTTATTATGATTCATGTGGAAAGTGTTCAGTTTGGCTGTGTGCTTTTTTGATGTTTTATTTATTGTTTACGACTACTTTTGTTGTGTTTGAATTGTTTTGTTTTTATCTTGTAAGCCTCCTAGAGCATGGTTTTAAATAAAATGATGCATGTTTGCAGGTATGTCCTCTCTCCCACATAAGAAGGGATGCTTAAAGTGTATTTTAACCTACACATAGTCCCAATATCATAATGTAACTATTTCATGCACTTCTAAAATAGGTTATAAAAAGGCACCTGTCAATATAAGCCACTGAGAATGGGAATTGCCCCATGACGTGGTTTTGTATTTAGATATGATTGACTTTATGCTTTAACAAAGTCTAGTTAATATATATATATTTGTGGATGCTTACCTATCCCCCCCCCACTCTGCTCATCCAGGCTTTTTCTACCTAGTTCAACTCCACTGGCTCCTACCCAGTGACTTCTGTTCTCCCAGCTCTGCTTCTGCCATTGCTCCTACTTCCCTGTCTCTGCAGATGCCAGGCAGCCATCATAGTGCTACTTTCATTACAATCTAATTCTGCAGCAAAAAGAGGAAGGCAGTGCTTCATAGCACTGAGATGCCATGAGACACGTTTCAGGAGTACGGATGGAATGGGATATAGGCATAGCTGTCAAGCATCCCTTATTTGGTGGGACAGTCCCTTATCCCAGCGCTGTGTCCCGTTGCTGTCCCTTATTGATTATGTCCCTTAAATTTCCCGGGTTTCAAAGGAAGCAGCTCCTCTCCCTCCCTCCCTGCCGGCCAGGGAGGAGGGAGGCTCCAACTGTGTTGCTTGGCTGCGTTGCTCACCCAATAAGGAGTCTAAGAATAACTGGGGGGTGGAGCTTGCATGCCTTGTGCCAATCAAATCGGCCGCGTTGCCTGGGGACTCGCCTTTGCTCAGTGCTTCCCAGCGGAGAGGTGACAGTGGTTTTCCCTGCTGCATCCCCTTTGTCGGGTTGCTGCGCTGTGGGAACCACTGCCTGAGGCTTCATTTGGCTGCTGGTTGACTAAAATCCCTTATTTTGGCTGCTGATCCCTTATTTTTGAGGCTACTGGTCCCTTATTTTCAAATCTGTAAGTTGACAGCTATGGATATAGGTGCAGTTTGTCAAATGGCAACTCACTGGAGGGTCTTTGCTCTTCATCCCATATTGAATAAGAAAGTTAGAAATTGCATGAATGACTTAAGCTGAAATCCTATACAGTGGATGCTCAGGTTGTGAACGTGATCTGTGCAGGAGGCACATTCGCAACCCGCAGCGTTCGCAACCCGCGGCACCGCTTCTGCGCACGTTGTGATTCGATTTAGTGCTTCTGTGCATGCGCGGGTGCCAAAACCCAGAAGTAACCTATTCTGGTACTTCCGGGTTCGGCGCGGTGCGCAACCCAAAAACGCGGTGCGCAACCCAAAAACGCGCAACCCGAAGCGTCTGTAACCCGAGGTATGACTGTATAAACTTATCAGGAAGTAAGTTTCACCGCACACAGTGGAACTTATTTCTGAGTAAACATACACAGGGTTAATGGAGTTTTGGCGACTTGATTTCGTGATGATTGTGAAGTGTCAGGTACCAATGGCATACAGCTGTATTATAACAATGCCGATTGTATACCACCCTGGGGTCTGAAAAGATGGCGGGTAGTTTTAAAATATTTTAATAGTAAAATACATAAATGTTTTCAGCTGAGATTTCCAGTTGCATATTACTAAAGTGACCCCTGGATTATTCAGCACTGGAACAGGCTATTAATTGATATTTTTTCTTTTTCCCTTCATTGACTTCCCTGATGTTCTTACCCCACCTTATTCGGCCTTTACAGACAAGGCGCCGAAAACTCCTTTTACACTTGTATCAATGTGTGTGGAAAGGGATGTCACATGACAGCACCGTCTTCCTCATAGTTCTGAGTGGGAAGCTGCTGCACTCACTTATCGCCCCACCATTAGCCAACTAAAATACTGGCCCACCAGCTAAACCAAAGGTTGGTGTTTTCACAAACTCTCCACAATTAAATAAAATATTGCTTCAGGAGGCAGCTACTTTCAGATGAGATGGAGAAGGTTAGATAAATGTTCTAAACATTTTTCGCCTGTAAAAAAATTAAACTTGAATCTTTCTATTTAAAATGAATACTGTTTTCCAAAAGAAAACCCTGTGGGTTTCTACCTTTCTACCATCCCATTTAGATTGTTGACACACATACCCCCTCAATTCACGAGGAACACAGAATTTTTGGAAATGCTTTATCCACGCAAACACAAATGTTCTGTCAAGTCATAAGTATGCAACAGCTGTTACCATTAAATAATTATCCAGAATAATAATGCTCTTGAGATGGTATTTGCAAAACATTTCTTCATGTTTCAGAAGACGACGCTGCAAGCTTAGCCTCTTCCCAGATAATTAGTGCTAGGCTGTTCATTTCTTTGAACCAGGGAATCACTTTATTATTCTTCCTTTCAACTGCTTTAAATGATTCATTCCCACTCTCTAACACCTACTGACAGAACCACAAATCCAAACTAGTATTTAAATTCCATTTTCGGTGTCACTTGCCTCCATATGATAACAATAAGTTTAACATGGATAAAATAACGATGCTGATTACCCAAATCTGTATGTGGGTTAAAAAAGAGAGAGAGAGATTTTCCATCTCCTATTAGAGCGCTACAGATGGCGCATCTTTCAATACTGCCTCCTACACATGTGAAACAAGGGGCAACAGCTCGATCCGTTTACAGCTTTCTTCCCTCAATATAAGAGGGTTGGTGGGCGGGAGGGAAGGAAGGAGGGGAGACTTGTGGGGAAGAGGAAGAAATCTTTGGCGCTGTGTGGCTGCTGAGCTGAAGCGCTGAGGCACCAACCCAGCACACTCGCCCCAGTCTGACCCCTGCTCCCCAACACCAGCAAGAGAAAGACGCCAAGCAGTTGCCCCTCTTCCATAAGTGGCCACTCTCTCCACTCCAACTTGCCACTTCTCCCGCAGAGGGACGGGGTACCCCTCTGCCTTCCGGGATCAAGCCCTGAAACTGCCACACCGCTTTCTCCTTCCTGGCCAGGGGTGTCCTAACCAGGGGTGTGCCATTAAAAAAAGGGGGGGGGAGATAAGCCCCACCCTGCATAACTGATCACAAGACACATACTATTTGAATAGCAATGCTCATCAACTTGGGAGGGGGCCCCGCGGACCCCTTATTTATTGGGAGGATCGAAAGGATCCTCGGCCCCTAGGAGTTGGCTCCTGGGGTCCTAACTCTCCAGTCGCCAGCGCCACCTGGCCGTCTTTCCCCGCCCCATCCTCGCTCTAAAGCGAGACTGCTGGCCGCCCACACGGCTGTCTAGGAATGTCTCCTCTCTGCGGAACCACGATCTCTCTCTCTCTCTGCCTGGACCGCTCCGCGCACCCCCACAATCCCTTGCACCGCGCAGGACTTCGCTGGCCCTGCTATGCCCCCTGCATTGCCTCGCCTGGCGACAAGCCCCCCGGCTGCTGCTGCTGCACCACCAGCTCCTCCTCCCCTCCCTTGGCCGCCCCCCGCCCCGCTTTGTCCAGGAACGCCTCCCTCAGCCTGGGCACCCCAGCGCCACCCTGCCTAGTGATAAGGGGACCGCCGCCGCCACCACCACCCTGACGCGCCAGCAGCAGCAGCAGCACCCAGGATGTTGCCCTCCCGAGAGCCCTGCACGGCTTTCCTCCCCTCACGCCCCGCCACCTCCTCTTCCCCGGCGGCGCCCACGCAAATCTCGCGCCTCCTCACCGTCCCAGCTCCGACTCCAGGTCGTAATAGTCGGCCAAGGTGTCTCTGTTGGAGCCGTCGATCCAGTAGTCCGGGACGACGGTGGGTCCGGCGGCGGCAGGGGCGCCCCCGGCCCGGCCCGAGGTCGGGGCAGAGGCGGCGGGGGCGGCGGTGGACGAGGTGGGGGCGGAGGAGGGCGACGACGAAGACGACGACGACGAGGGCATGGTGACTTTCAGCATGCTGCGGCGCGCGGCAACGGCGCGGGCGTCCGGCTCTTCAGGGGCTGAGGGGGAGCGAGAGGAACAAAGCGGCGGCTAAGCGAGAGAGGCGGGCTCGGCGGCGGCGGCGGCTCCGAGAGAGCGGCGCTGCTTGCTGGCGCTGCCGGCGGCGGCTGCCTGAGGAGCCGGAGCTGCCGGCCAAACTTCGAGGCGGGCGCAGCAGCAACAGAGGCGCTCGGAGACTGGCGGAACGGAAAGGGAGCTGGGGAGGAGGCTGCGGGAGGAGCGCGCGCGCGCCACCTCTAGCGCGCGCGCGCCCGGACACACCGAAAGTGTGTGTGTGTGTGTGTGTGTGTGTGTGTGTGGAGCGGGGGGGCGTCGCCCCGAAGAGAAGCGGCTCTGGCCGAGCAGAAACCCACCCTTCCCGTCTTCTTGGCCGCTGCCTGACGAGGAGGGCAAGTTGAGGTTGGGCGCAGCGCGTAACGTGAGGGAAGGCGAGAGGGCGCGCGCGCCTCTCTCTCTCTCTATCTCTGCGTGTACGAGTGAATGCGCGCGCGCGTGTGTGCCAAGTGGACGGATGGTGGAGGGAGCCGGGCGGGCTTCAGAGGTTCCTTTCGTCGAATGAGGGGGTTGCCGCTACCGCCGCCGCCGCCGCTGCCGCTGCTGCCATCGCAACACACGAAGGCAGCAGCGGCTGGCAGCCGTCCCGGGCTCGGCTCAGCGCAGCCGCTGCCCTGCCTGCCTGCCTGCCAGCCACTCTCTGCGCGCGCGGGCGGGCGGACGGGCGGGGTGTGTATGCGAGACCCAGACAAGCCGGGCAGAGGGACCCCGCGTGGGGCGCTTTCCCGCAGGGCCCTAATGCGCCCCGCCTTCCTCGCCCCGGTGGAAGGAGGCGGCTCGCGCTCCACACTCCGCTCCACTCTTGTGCGCTTCAGCAATGGAAGCAAATTAGAGAGAGAGACCCCTCGCTACCCTCGTCCTCCTTTCTCTACGAGGGTCAGGTTGCAAAGCCATCAGTCCCGCGCAAAAGGAGGTTTCCTTTGGATTCGAAACAGGGGTGCCAACTTGAACGAAATATGGGGGGGGATGTCAATGAAGCTCCGCCCTGCATAATCGATCAGAAGATCCAGCAAACTCACACAGTCACACCGCTTTTGAATGGCGATGCCCATAAACATTTTATTGAGAGGGAGGCGAAGGGATCTCTGCCCCTAGGAGTTGGCTCATATGATACAAGAGGAAGATTTGGGGTTCTGGACCTAAGTATCAACCAACCCCATTGGTCGAGTATCACATGCTTTTACTAGGCTCAGCACGGGCAGTTTCACACACTAGGCAAAGGCCAACCCAGGTTGCCCACAAAACTTCCACGCAACCCGTCACAACTCCCTAAGGAGTGTGCCATGTGATGTGATGCACATATTTGCAAATGTGCATTTGTCCTGTCATATTCATCCTACTTTTCTTAAGGCAAAGCTTTCCTATGCTAGAGTCTGCTTCACATGCAAGGAGTGTTATCCTCCACTGGAGAACATATATCGGGGTGATGTGAGCCGAATGGCTCATGTGCATAATAACCAGCCACTGCACTCATTTACTGTGCCTTGTGGATTATGTGCACACAGTCTGACCATGCTTATAATGAATTACCAGTTGTTTCACTCCTTAGCTGTTGAACTCACGTCACCTCTAATACATGTATGTGCATATACATGTCTACACACATGTAGAGAAGAAGGGATGGAAACAGTGGGGTCTAAGGACAATGAAATGTAAATAATACAGGATATGGCAATTTTGAGTAAAATGCATGCAAATTGACCATGCATGAGAGCAGGGACTGGTGAGACTGTCATCCCTTGGATTGATGGATGAATTGACACCTATGGTGGGACTGGAAACCATTATCTTAGTTCGAGATAATGAACTTGATATATTCAATATTTCCTGATGAGTTCCAGTTCAGCAATTTCATGCTGCAGTCCCCTTTGAAATCACTTCGTTGGAGAACAGTGGAGTATCCCGGGAGACCAAAATTATCTTCCTTTGGTTTCTTAATGTTGCCATTTCTGATACTAGACATGTGTCAATCTATTTGTTTGCACAGCAACTGACCTGATGGTTCTATGTAGAAACTGCATGCTGAAAATACTTGGAAGGTAAGTACACTTTGACATGTTTAGGTGTACAATTAAAACATCGAAACCATATATAGGGTTCTTACATAAATTAATGCATTGCCAGTAAGCATTAGAAACAATGAAATTTAAGTGAAGAAGAGTGTAATGCAAAAACTAGCCCAGGTGACTTTTGGAGCAAGGTAGGTTGGAAATAAAAAGGTAAAAATGATGTCAAACACCTGAGAAGTGATGCATTCTATTGATGGCATGGAACTGCTGTACTCAGAAATTATCTGTAGATTGATATCCACAATTATGAACTATTGAAATTATAGTGTAAAAATCTGGGGGGGGGGGGAGTAGAATAAGGTGGTGCAGGTTTAAATATTACAGGTTTGCTGGCCACATCACAGAGGCTTCCTTGCTTTTTAAGGATTTGAACAGATTTTCAAGGTCTCTCTATAGTCAGTGAAGATTGTATCTGACATTACCAAAAGGCATTAACTGCAATCATGTATGCCAAATGTGTGTAGTTCTGCTGCTGGTCTAGTAGTAACTTTGATCAGGGCATTACATGTGCCATGTGGGACATTTTTCAGCCCAAAGGCCAAATTGCTTAGCTGTGATCCGTTCCATCCCTGCTGCCGGAGCCAACTCCCTTTCTTTCCTGCTGAAAGGTACCTGGTGAAGGCAGCAAGAATGGTACAGGATGCAGCTGTGGCTTTCCTCCATCACTTCAGCATCATTTGAGCACCAAGACCTTACAAAGGGGCAATAAGCCCTGGGAAATTCTAATTCTCATGGATCCTGGAGTCCAATCCACTGTTCCTCCAACATTCCAGGGTAAGGGATGGGGAACCTGCAGCTCTCCCAATGCTGTTTGATTACAAGTTCTATCACCCCAGAAACATTGGCTTGGGGCTGATGGTTGGAATCCAACAATATCTAGAGGGCCACAGGTTTCTCATACCTGTCCTAGGTCTTAGTCAATGCTGCTACTGCTAATCTTCATTTTTCACTGTCAGTAGCATAGGTTTGTGGGGAGGATGAGAAGGGGGTGGCTTAAGAGAGTTCCAAATGGACTTGCTCTTAAAATGAGCTAATTTGGGCTCGGTCTAAACCAAGTCCTAATTTTAAGCATGCCTGGGAAAGCTCACCCATCACTTGTTAAAAGATTCCTGCTATGCTCACCACGGTGTTGTTTTCATCGGTGTTGTTGGATTGTGAGGCCTTTGTTCTCTTAAGACACCCAGTTTATGCATGCATGCCTCCTCCTTGATGCCCCGCTTGCTGTTTCTTGCTGCCCAGCCTGGAACTTTTCTTGGCTCCTGCACTGCACTTCCTGTTGCTAGGTGACATGCTACTTGATTTTGTGACACGTGGTTATTTTGTGAGAGCAGAGATAAAGAAATATCAAACAGTCGCCAATGACTGCAATGCATTAGCAAACTGCATGCTCTATAAATAAATAAAAAAACCCAGCACTCGTAACATTATAGTTCACTGTATAGTTTCAGCAAGGCAACATTAATATTCCGTTACTAGTATTTAGGCATTCCTTTGTATTGATAAGGTGATTTATCGTTATAGCCTCAGAATTCCAGATATGCTGAGACACATTTATGTTGGAGAGGTCAGCTGCCACCCCCTGTGTGAGGTGCTGTCACCTTGTACGTTGTAAACATACAGAGCCATGTGTCACAAAATCAAATAGGGAGAGGGTTCTGAATTTAAATGGTGCCCACAATCTGCTGTGAGATTAAAGGCAACAGTGACCACAGTGCTGACAAATCCATCATATATATAAATGGGCAATCACAGATCATGAACCTGAGTTTCCTCCATGCTTCCTCCAACTTTCAAACCAAAACTGCAGAAAAATGCTTTCAGGTTTAAAAGTGGCATATTAAGTCCGGTTTGCTAAGCCAAAACTAAGCCAAAACTTAGCTTAGTAAGTGTGAGGAAATGTGGGCTTCTGGATAGATTCTGGATAGATTTTCCTGCTGCACTGAGCTGAGACATAGTTTGGCTTACTGTATCACCTGAATCTGGACTCGTGTTTTTGCATCCCGAGACAAACCATGAGCAATTAACCATAGCACAAACCACATTACAGCTTGTAGTTTGGAGTGAGACACTTCCATATGCTGGCTGAAGAGAAGCAGGAGAGTTTTGCCAATTGCTTCTCCACCCCATAGCTGACTGTTCCACCTGAAAAGCTGCTCTGATGAATCTCCAGGACACCTGTAAGAAGTGGTCCTGGAGGTTGCAGAGGGAATTGCCTCGGAGTGTATTTTCATTTCATTTTTTAAAAAAATTATTTCTAACCCACTCCAAATCCCTCTTGCGGGTTCACACTTTAAAACCACATAACAACAACAAACAGGCGGGGCTGGTTCAGCGATACTAATCCACATTACACACAGTGTAATAAAATAAATAATAAAAAATTAGATTCGTAATAAATAATAAAAAGATTCGTAAGTTCTCCCATAATGGCAGAACACAAAGATACACCACCAGAAGAAACCCGTGCTGCTGAACTAGCAGGCAGTGGCACCAGTACTTAACTACCACTGGTGGAGCAATATCAGCACAATCAGTAAGAAGTGAGCAGTGGGAGCATTGCAGGTGAATCTCCAATAGCCCATGTGGAGTATTATTAAGAGAGTGGAGAACTGACAAAGGCATACAGAATGGAGGAGTATATGGATGGTGGCACCTATTCACAAGGTGAATAAGCACTCTATCGCAACTCTTTATTTTCCATTCTTCTCACACTCGGTCCTGTGCTGCTGCCACAATAAGCCATCAGAGCTTGGCGTCTGCATGTTGCCCATGGCTTTGCCATGAGGAACAAGCAAAGTTGGGGTAAGGGACCATAGCTCACTGTCTTCTGACTCTGCTCACAGCTACTACTGGTGTATTAAACCAAGCACAGGTCTACATTAACCAAACTGATATCAACAACAACAACAGAAAACCCCAAATGAAACAAATGTGAAGTTGATGGGATGAAGGAGGCAGTGGCAAAACAAAAGGCATTCTAGGAAATGGTTGGTTCTGTGACCTGAAATAATAGAACTGTAGAGTTGGAAGTGGACCACACGGGTCGTCTGTTCCAACCTTGCTCAACGTGGGGCTTGAACCCACAGCTTTGAGATTTAAGAGTCTCATGCATAGGCCATTGGTCCTTGAACGATTCCCTATGGTGGCAACACTGTAGGCTTAATGGCTATGCAAGAGCCTACCACTCACCCCAAGCAGTAGCAGCCATTGTCACCTGTCTTCTCTTTATGATTACCCAGGAGCAGTGAACTTTGGACAAAAGTTTCCCCAAATTTGCCATCTTTAAACTGCATCACATATTCACCGCCAGCAACAGAATGGCCTTGTTCTGCACTATTATGTTACTTGAACTGAAGGCTGTATGAAATAAAGCTGTGAGGAGACCAACTTTCTCAAAGGTCCAATGTTTATTTCCTATATAATCACAATCACAACAAAAGAATTAGAGTGATTAAAAGAGATTAAACATTTCCTGGTAATAGCATCACACCAATGGCTTAAACACTGGCAAATGGAGTATGCTATCAGTTGTAGCTAGCCTGGTGTGCAAGGGACAAATAACAAACTGCTTTTATAAACCATGAAATGGTATTGTTTGTGTTTTGACACATTGAGGTCAAGCTGGAATATAAGCATGCAGTAGCTAATAGATACTTCAGCTCTTTAGAAATTATATAAAGCAGAGGTGTCAAACACATTAGCAGGAAGGCTATCTTCCCCATGCTGATACAGACATAAAATCTTCATTCGCAAAAGGCAAATGTCTCATTCCAGCTGAATTTTCAAGCACAGCAAAGCTAAAGAAACTATTACCGTGTATTTGTCTGAATTTTCTCCCCCATTGCCTGTGACCCTACTCATTTTTTTATTATTATTCATTGCCTTGCATTGCAAGCTTAAATATATAACTTGGAAGCATATCTCATGAGTTTCATTGGGGCAAACTTCCAAGTAATGGGCTGCAACCAACACTCCCATTCTGCTAGTGCAAGAGACACGGGCTAGTAGAACCAAATTTCCCTTTTCTTTCCCTTTTAGTCCTATATGTATACATTTATTAGTAATTTGTATTAATGGATTTATGGTCTATTTTTGTGATATTTGCTGCTGTTCTAATTTTATGTACACTGCTGAGAGATAGGGTGTAGAAATGGCCTAAACAAATAAAACAATGCATTTGTGCCTGGAAAGGAAAATGAAATGTTTCGCCCTGTATGAAAACCTCAGAATGGCACTACCTTGGCTAAATACCCATAGCTCATCGATCCTCGCAGAACCTGAGCCAGTAAAGTGATCGAAAGCAATTCCTCATGTAGGATGGAAGAGTATTGGCTTATCCAACCAGGGAATCCTCAATGCATGTCGTTCAGCAGTTGTTCATAGAGATTTTTGAAAGGACAAGACTGGCGCAGGTCAGAAGAGCTTCAGGCCACACAATCCTGGGCTCATTGACCCAGAAGTCAGTCCCACTGTGTACAATGAAGCTTGCAGGTTGGTCAGCTTAGAGTTGCAGCTTTCACTCTTTTGCAGCCTGGGCTACAAAGAATAATCACCACTTCCGTTGATTTATGCAGAAGTCATGTTAGGTTCTTGCGCCAATAGCTTAACAACTGACTGTGGATCAAGAGGTAAACCACTTCCATCTTGCACCTGCCCTATTATTTTCCTGTTGAAAGTCCTGATTCCCCCTTTGGGGAGAATATACAATTATCCATACTTTCTTCCTTTTAAAATCCTCATCATTCTTGTGATCTTGCACTACTGAAAAGATGGGGGAAATTTTTTTTTCTGGCTTATCAGTGAAACAAAACCCACCCATTTATTTTCAAAATAGACTACTTTTAAATAATTTAAATGCAAATTATTTCTTTTTCAAAACCAGAGCTTATAAAATATGCAGTATCTTTTCCTGGGCTTATTATGCATAATGGCAGAGAACAGATAAAAATACTGCACTTTTTAGTGTTGGCTTCTAATGATTTTGGTAAATGACTTTAATTGTATTTGTGTAATGCATCGAAAACCATTGCTAAAAGCCACTTAAATATATATTACATCAAGCCAATATTTATTTCTTCCATTTATTTCCTGTCTTTCTTCAGTTTTAAAGGAATCTATTTTTATAAAGGGGGGGGTTAATTGATAAAAACATTTCTATACAGTCACATGATAACATATCAGGGTGGTGTACAACAATAAAATACAAATCTCCTATGTGCACCCCACCAAAGAATTAGTTATTTTGTTGCATGATATAATTGTTCGTATGTTTTGAGGAAAGGGACATGGGTGGCACTGTGGGTTAAACCACATAGCCTAGGGCTTGCTGATCAGAAGGTTGGCGGTTCGAATCCCCACGACGGGGTGAGCTCCCATTGCTCGGTCCCTGCTCCTGCCAACCTAGCAGTTCGAAAGCACGTCAAAGTGCTAGTACGGTATTTTTCGCTCTATAGGATGCACTTTTCCCCCTCCAAAAATTAAGGGGAAATGTGTGTGTGTCCTATGGAGCGAATGCAGGCTCCTTGGCTTCAGCGATAGCAACGCGAAGCCTCCGAAGCGCAGAGGGAGCGCTCCCTCCGCGCTCCTTGGCTTCGCGTTGCTTTCGCTGAAGCCTGGAGAGCGAGAGGGGTTGGTGCGCACCGACCCCTCTCGCTCTCCTGGCTTCAGGGATAGCTGCCTGAAGCCTTCAGAGTGCAGCGCGAGTTCCCGCTGTGCTCCACAGGCTTCAGGTTCCTTTCGCTGAAGCCAGGAGAGTCTTGCTCTCCCGGCTTCAGCAAAAGGAACCCGAAGCCTGCGGAGCGCAGCGGGAACTCGCGCTGCGCTCCATAGGCTTCAGGAATAGCCGCACGCAGCCAAATCCGTGCATGGCTTCCTCTTTAGCCATGCACAACCTCTCCAGCTGGGAGAGGCTGCACGGGGCTAAAGAAGCCATAGCCGCGCGCAGCCTATCCCTGCCAGAGGGGCTGCACGTGGCTAAAGAAGCCAAGACAGCGAGCGGCTCCAGCCCCAGCAGCTCTGGGAGAAGTGGACAAGATTTTTTCCCCCTTGATTTCTCCCTCTAAAAACTAGGTGTGCTTTATGGTCCGGTGCTCCTTATGGAGTGAAAAATACGGTAGATAAATAGGTACCGCTCTGGCGGGAAGGTAAACAGCATTTCCGTGCGCTGCTCTGGTTCACCAGAAGCAGCTTAGTCATGCTGGCCACGTGACCCGGAAGCTGTACGCTGGCTCCCACTTGGGGGCAGTGGTGTATGGTTTGCTTCTTA